CGCTGCAAGGGGATTAGGGCGGGAAAAGAGAGGAACCTGGGAGAAGGACGGAGATAAAACTTACGCTACGGAGTAGAAGGGCGAGAGAGAAAAGGCAAACGGAAATGATGCGGAAGCCACGTGGTGGCTCAAGGTTAGATGGTTTGGAACTCTACCATACGGAGTCGACGACTATTTTTGAGCCCCTTCTCTCCGGATACGACCTTCGTGTTTGTGTCTCCTGGTGCTACTCTGGCGGTGTTGATCTTGCCGGGTTTCGGTTTTTTCTCGGTTCTGGAACTCTGGTCGAACTGGCTGGTTTGTCCACACTCCGTCTGGTGATATTTGGTAACCGGTGGTATGTGCGATGTCGGGTACACTCGGACGGGCGCAGCGTGTATACCACTATACTATACTTACTCCGGCGTAGAACCTACGGAAGAAATTGTCATTGCATTTCTGCATATCTCTACCCCCTAATGATCATCGCAGCACTAGCAGGAGTCAGCTTATCCCTGGACAATAATAGACACGATATACGAATCTCCGATATAGACTTCCAATGGAAGCCGCATGGAATTCACTAGTGGGGGTGGTTTTACCCTCAGAACCTCGTTCTGCGAGAGACCCATCACGTAAGTCTGATGTATCTTGTGTTTACCCGGCAGTTATACTGTTATACCGCGTACAGAAGGGAAGACGCATCGAATGGGAGTTGGATGTCACATGGAACTGCACCCTGCGGCTCTACGGAGGACGTACGGAGTAGTAGAGTCTATACCCAGCCTTCTAGAGCCAACCCGAGGTTACGTAGGACTCTGGAGTGCGAAGGAAAATTAGGATTGCCCCATGGCTCCCATCGGTTAAGCCAACAAGGTTGAACTCAGTCGGTCCCAGCCGCCTGCTTTTTCTCCATAGGTCGGTTTAGCTTGGGATTAGTTTTCGGTTGCAAACTCTCGCTCAAAAAGGTGCCATGTGATCGATCATACGGAGACTAGATGGTATCAACCGAGATAGGGCGAGCCGAAGGGATTGGAAAGGGGAGAGAGTGAGAAGGCAAAAATAAATACATAAAATAAAATAAAAATAAAAATAAATAAGAAAACCTCGTAATTCGGTTCGTCCGGTCGGTCGGTCGCCGGTCGTCGGTGGAAATGCGCCCGCAACCCAAATCATAAATCATCGTTATATCATAATATCATATGTTGCGCCCCGCCCAGGAACCCATTAGGGTGATACTGAGGGCCTACTCCGTATTTCCATGGTAGGATTAATGAGTTAATCTATTTGGGAGGATGGCGGGCTCCGGTCTGTTGGGTTTCACCAGCTGGAGCGTGGTTTTTTCGCCAGTCTGGTTCAGGGGGAGGCGCTAGAAGGCTTCCAGAATCGTTCTGGAAAACACTAGAAGGGTGGGGATTACGCAGTGCGGCGTAGTTTTTTCACTAGTTTTTGTCCCCTTCGTTTGCGTTGGCAATCCTTGGGTCGGGAAAATACGATCCTTCGATTCCCTCTGTTTTAGTCGCCTTCGAAAAATCTTCCGTGGTTCTAGGGGGGAAATGGCGAAATCCTCCGGAGGCTGTCCAAGTAAGGGATTGATTGCTGCGACGGAAGGCGGAGATGATGTAATGGAATGGATTGACTGAAATTTGAGCCGGAGGAATGCAGATCGGGACTCCGAGCACCGAAGGCTGAGGAGTCCGTAGTCCGTGGGATGACTATGTACCTGTACATCCATGCGCATACTGGTTCCGGCAGCTGGACCTGTGCCTGTACACTCTCCCGAAGTGCAAGGTACAATTACCTCCCGTACGTTTCGGCGTCGGACGAGGTGGTAATTTTACCGTCCCGCGGATGGAGGCACACGTGGAGGATCTTCCGGGAAGGCGGTAGAGCTGAACCTTCTCAGCTGATCTGCTGGACTCCGGAGTCCTACTCTTCCCTATTCTTCCCTGCTCTTCCCTGCTCTTCCCTGCTCTTCCCTGCTCTCCTCGTAAATCCCTGGTCCGGTTGCCAATTGCTGCTGCCTGCCCCCGTCCGTCCCTCCATGCCAATAGGAAATCCCCCATCCCGTTGATTGTCTTCCCGACCGGCAGGCGCAGGCTGACCGGCTGCTTTGGCCTTCTGACAAAGCAAGGGCGATGCCGTCCTGTCTGGCCGCCGTAGATCCTTGCTTTCCACGCGAGCCCGTCAAGCGTCGCCAATGTGGCAGCTCAATGCCTCGCTCGGGCCTTTTCCAAGGGAACAGGGATGTCGCGTTGTTTGTCTCCTCGGCCGTTCCCGATTGATTACCTCCCTCCTTCCTTCCTTACCTTCGGCTCCCCCTTCGTATCAGCTTGGCCTGCTCTCCCGGCGAAGGATTGAGGTGATCCAGTCCCCCGGGTCTTGTCCACGGGGTTGGCGACGTTCGTCTCCATGCTGCTGTCGCTGATACTCCGGACTCTGCCCCGGTGTTAAATATAGAAATCCATCGCATCCTTTGGACCCTCCTCGGGCTGGGCATGGGCATGGGCATGGGGAATGGCGGTTCTCTTGTCCCCCCAATTCCCCTGACAACGGGGGGATGAAAGAAAAGCAGTACTTACGGTTGACTGCAGCGCCTTCCTTGGCCAGAGTCTGGACAACTGTTTGTCATGTCATCGGCATGAAGATCACGGAAATCACACTAAACAATCGCCGAATGAACCCCCCCCAAGGACCACAAACCCCGCCCCCAACCCTCGACTGGCCGCAGGACCTCGCCTCGTAGGTACCCAACTCTGACCAGACACTAACTGGCAGGCCAATTTCATGCAGTAGTCGGCCCTGCTGCCCCGTTGCTGATTCGTCGCATGCCCGATTGACATGCTGAGGCACGCCTTCAAAACTGTTGAGCGTCGACTACTGTGGTCAGAAATTAAAGCTATTTGGCCGCCCCAGCGTCAAGTCGCCGGGATTCTCACGACCATTCCGAACTCCGCAGTCCGCAAGATAAGGATCTCCCAGACACATGCGCCTATGCCTAAATGGACTCTGGGTGGAGGAGTGTCGTCTCGCCGGACTGGGAAAACGTTCACCTCACTATGCCCAAGTCATGCTCACTAAAGGAATTAGTCTCGATCAAGCGAGAATCATCTGCTTCCCCCCCTTACGTCTGGCCTGCAAACCTCCATCAATTAATTCCCGTCGATAACGCGACGGTTACACAACCCAGTCGCCTTTCGCCTTGGTTTTGGCACCCTTGCTGGCTTATTATATCAGATCAGATCATCTCATTCCAGTTGGCTCCGTAATCCCCACCCCCCTCATGTCTTTGTGGCGATCATTCTCCTCTGTGTTTCGGTCCTGGTCCTTGTCTCGCCTGTCGTGTCAGGTCTACTTTTCTCGTTCCCCAGAACGGCCGGATTCGACTGTGTCCAAACCTAACCAGTTTGGTCGGGTCCAATGCAGACTACGATGGAAAGAGCAAAGAAGGATTTCTGCGACTCCACAACGCGGCGTCCCCCAGTCCTCGGCAGTCTGAGTGCCCAGCCCACACACCTTATGCATCGAGAATCGGCACAAACTGAATAAATAGAAAAAAGAAGAAAGAAGAAAGAAGAAAACACCACCCCAAAGGTTTGCTGCATATTCTTACATGTGCCATGCAAGGGAAATGAGGTGAGTGAGGGGAACTACTGGGATTCGGCGCATGCCACATGCCACATGCCACACCCACCACACATGTTCCATGTACCATGCCCCCATGCTCTCGACCTCGATGGTTCGATCAGTGAGGAGAGGGTGACTGAGGTTACAGTACATATGTGGACAACATGGTATACGGTGCCACGCTACATGCATGCTCTGTATGCTCCGTGCAGATCCCATTGAAATTTCTTTCCCTCTTTGGGGCCGGCTTCTTGCCTTGACGGAGTATCTCTATCCCCTGTGTTTACAGGAAGAATTCAATACCAGTCAACACTTATCCTCTGTGCCTAAACAGGTAGGAGTCACGAATGGAAGTTAAAAAAAAAAATGACAAGGAATGCTCCCAGGGCCATCAAGGGAAAGAAAAGGATTCGGATCACGATGCACACAAGACAGTTACGGAGTAGGTCTTAATCTCGCTGTCCTGACTATTATCTACATCCTCCATATCATCTTTCACCAATTCCCCCATTTGGCAGTTGATCTACTTTCGAGAGAAGCGAACCACTTCAGCCCAGTCGTGTCGATAGCATTGAACGATTACTCCCTACATTATTAATATCCACTAATCAACAATCCAGTTAGTCCTAGGCTCCTGCCTCTCAGTACTACGCTCCCAGACTACCCGTAGACGGTAAGTCACCTCGAACTAAAATCCTAGCTGCGTCACTAGGATATAGAAATTAGAAACCCCCTTCCCATCCATCACAATCACATCATTCGGTTTCATTTGGCGTTCGGGATTCCCTCGCCAATGAGATTCGAGCGATGGTCCAACGCTTCTGGATGCCCTTTTCCAACAGTTCAACTTTTCACTACCCTGTACGCAGTAGTAGGGTAGTTAGTAGGTGGTTAGTACGCTGTACAATGCCTACCTCTACAAGGGTATTTACCTGCATGGGGTTCAATCCGTAGATGGGGATTTGGATCACGTTGGTCTCACTTTCTCTCTCTGTGCATGGCTGTGTCTCCCTGGTCTGACTGTCTATATCTATCGATTCTCCAATGTCGAAGGTCTGGGCTCTCTCTTGGTAACCCCGTGATTATTTCATCTCTCGGTTTTGGTTCACCGAGGGCTGTGGATACTGGATCCTAGGTGATTAGTAGTGCTCCTACGCTGTGCGTAAGATGGACTTGGTTCTAGGCTAAGCAGGCCTGAGTCTGACAGCGTACAATATATAGTGGATAGTAGTAGACGGACCATCGGAGTTCCCGGAGTTTTGGAATAGGTCGATTTTGATTAATATAGCTAGAGGGGTGGTTATTTTTAATTTTTTTCTTCTCTTGGTATCTCCCCCAAATTTACTCCGTACTCCCCCCCACCCACCGATTCCTGATCCCTCGACCCTTCTCTATCATCCGTCCCGCCACCATTTCCCCAGGGAACCACCCGATCCCGCCATGGCAACCACCTCTTCGAAGCTGATTTCGACTCGGAACATCCGGCCGTCCGCGGTCCCGCTGCCCGCGCCCACGGGGCTGATCAGGCCCCAGCTCACTAGCTTCTCCCACGCCTCGCGCGCCACGTCGCGACCCCAGACTCGTCCGGGCGTCGCCGCCGCCCCGGACACCGACGCCGACGTCTTCGCCGCCGTCAGGAGCCGCACGTACTCGGCGTACGCGGCCGGGAAGGAGAGCGCCAGCGGTCCGGCGGCCTGGAACGAGGCCGCCTCGAGGCCCGGATCGAACAGCGCCGCGAGCCGCGTGGCGGCGAGGAGCAGCGAGAGGGGCAGCGATGACGAGCTGGCTGTCGCCGTGGCGGAGAAGGGCAGCGGGGCGGGGTCCGGGCAGGAGAGGCTCTGGCTGCTGAAGGTGGTTGGGGTGGGGATCTGCAGGGACGGTGGAAGAGCGTTGTTATTGTTGTTGTGGTCGTGGTCGGTGGGATAGGTGCTGTAGTGCAGTTCGCCCAGTCCGATCAAGGCGCTGGTCAGGAACTCCTTGACGGACTTTGATTGGTGATAGATTCGTTGGAGGTGAGCCTGGAAAGCTTCGTCGCGCCAAAGACCCTATTTCGGGGTTAGTCCTCGAGGTTCTAGAAGGGGAGGTAGAACAAAAGGCGAAAGCTTACCTGGAGATAGACCCTCCAGCCCTCCAGTAGTCTATTCCATCCTGCGGACTTGACAAGCGCGTGCTTCTCCGCATCGGTCCCCTCCAGAAGGTCTCGAACTTCGCTCTCCTCCAGGTTTAACCCGGCAAAGCAAATGTCGGAGAAGGTGTCAAACGTCCGGGGGAGGGGAACGTAGACGTATCGGTGGCTGAATCGGCTCTTCACTCGCTTTTCCAGCATCTCGGTGACGTCCACCTTGGTCGTCAGCCCGAGGACCGCCACCGGGGCCTTGCGCGCCTGCGCAATATCAAACAGGTTATACAGCAGGGTTTGGCGCGGGTGCGTCACGAAGAGATCGAACTCGTCCAGTATGATGACTATGGACTTGGCTGCCGTCACGGTCTCCGCGTTTTCTGGTGAGCCAAACAGCTCCTCGGGATGCGACAACAGCGCCAAAAGGGTCGCCATCGTGTCGGCGTAGCTGCCCACCTTGCCGGCTTCGTCTTCCGTGTTCGTCTCCCGACCAAGCTGGCGCCACATCTCACGAAGCGCCAATCGATCATCGGTGTGTAGGAATCCGTTGAGGCGAACGACGTGGAAATCGTTCTTGTGTTCTCTTCTCAATGACGAGATGATGGTCTCGACCATCGCCGTCTTCCCGCAGCCTCTCGATCCCAGAAGCAGCATGGAGTTTCCCTCGCCGACGCTGACCGTCTGCTCAAGCAATTGTTCGACTTTTTGATATTCGTTCTCCACTCCTTTAAGCGGAATCCGTCGCTTGCCGTTCAATTTCTCCAGGACAATTGAGGTCAATGTCCGCAGTTCGTCCACCAGTCCTGCCTCAGATAAAGCACGAAATGCCTCGGCGTAGCTAGGAAGAGAGGTGCCCACGACTGCAACCTCGTCCGGACCTTGACTCTCCTGTTGTGTCAAGTTTTGCTGCAACTGCATCGACACCAGCTCATCCAGTCCGTCCTGGTAATCATCCGCCAAGGGCGGTTGCTGCGACCCGTATCCCGGAGCGGCAGCTCCATCCGTATCCTCCTTCGCAGTATCAAATCGCACAGTATTCCTCTTAGGCCGCGTGGACCGCGTCCTAGTAACTCTTGCCTTCCGTTTCCTCTCGTCTTCTTCCTCCTCATCGTCGTCGTCGTCCTCCTCGTCTTCGTCCTCTGGCTCTTGTGGGGACTCCTCAGCATTCCCTTCAGTCTCGGACGTCCGTCTCGTCTTCCGTGTACTCCTTGGGGTAGTCCCCGTTTGCCCAGTAGTTGACCTCCTCGCCGGCGTTTGATTGTTGACCTCGTCTTCGAACCTTTGCGGCGCTTTGCGCTGCCGTCCACTTGACCGCAGTCCCGTCCTCGAGGGCGTATCCGCATGATCCTCCCCCTGCGCATTCGGTTTGCTCATCCCTTCTTGACCCGGTGTCTGCCCTGCTTTGGACGATCGGCGACGCGCCGACCTCGACGTACTAGGCGATCCTTCGTCTTCTGTCCCCTCCTTGAGATCTCCTAGCGACTCTTGTCCGGCGACCTGTCTCCGCGGCGTAGGCGACGTCTCCTGCTCATCGCGCATCGCGGTGTCTCCATCCTCATCCACGACTTGCTGGTCGGATACCCTGCGCCTCTTGGCGGAGCGTGGGTCCTTCATTGTGGTTCTAGGCTGTGTATGTATTCGCTCGGTCGGGGTAGGCGCCGTGTTCATTCGAGTGCGCAACTCGAGGTTATGGGGTGTCGAGTCGAGGTATTCGGTATTCGGCGTAGAATGAAACAAAGATTGGGTTTCGCAATTCGGCGTCCTCGTCGAGGAAAAGATATTTAGGTCTTCCTCCTAAGTTATCGTCTTTAGCTCTCGATCCCGATCTATAAGCAACCAAGCTCAGCTCGGGGAAGATATATCGACTGAAGCTTGAGGCAAGAAAGAAATCTTTTCGGCGATTGCAGGCAACGCGATGGCCTTTGGAGGAATAGCTCTGGTATCCCAGAAAATGAACGAGGTATATTCCGGTTTCCTCAAATTGACGACCGAGGCGACGATGGGAATGGCGATAGCCAATGGGTCGTTGTTTGGTGAAGGGACAGTCCCGTTCGGAGCGAATCCAGGAACGCTGCGGATCTCGTCGCCTGAGGCAGAACGCGTGACGCGAAGTCAGGTGAGTCCTTGATTCATGCGGCAGTTTGGCTTAATGGGGTTTTGTTAATCTGTACTCTGTGATCTTATATCTGTTGACTTTAGGGGTAATTCAGATCATCAGAGGAAATGGGCTGGTGCTGAAGGGGGTTTTGTAAATGGAGATGGGGATGTATATTTTGTTGATCTGCTGGTGCTTTTTCAACATGATTTTTACCACTGAGCTATAGAACTACTTGCATATTCGAGATCCAGACCTCATTGTAATATATATATATATATATAGCTATACATTTACCTCAAGGATGCAATGATCAACACTATCACAGGACATAGTGAGGTCTGTACTTGCGCATACGCCAAGTGGATATTACCAGCTTTCCATGCAACTGGAATTGTCATGTCCGTATGTATGCATTTCATATCATTCAAGAAGAGAAAGATAGGTACTAGGTTACATGCTTTAGATCAGGTCCCATTGTTGTTCGTTCGCCTGTAGACAAATAAAGAAAGGATGAAACACCATTGCGCCGCCCTGCGTTCACAAGCCAAAAGAATAGAAAATAGATAGTAAGATATGATAGGTGGAACAATGCATAAAATCAAACCGTTGATTGACTTGCTTGAAGCTGCTCCTGAAGGGTCGATAGATCATTGTAAAGCTGAATGGGTATGGGGAAGTGTCTGGTTGGATCGAAGTCGGTTCACCCCATGTGCTCTGAAAAATTGGATAGAGTCGGGTTGAATGGGCAGTCCTGTCTGCATATAAACCGACAGGGTGGATTCAACATATGAGTGACGATAGGCGGGCGAAAAGGCCGATGGGATCTGATTTTGGCATTCGAGCTTGTGGACACGATTCAACCTTGAATTCGGTCAGTCGATCGACGTCTGTGGAGATGTTCTGGCAATGATTGCAGCCGAGGACCGACAGGAGTGATGACTGGACAAGTGGAAGAGAAGAGGCAAGGATCATTTGGATCCCCATCCACGTAGTTTCATCCCTTCTTCAATCGCACTCCATATACCCTCGACAACCTCGCGATCCCGCCAACGTCCAGCCCCATGCGAACCACCCTTCTCGTCCCATCGCTCAACCGAAAAGCTTTGGACACCGCGCCCCCAGCCGCGGACTTCCCGCGGAACATCCTCACCGCGCCATCCAACGTAGACACCAGTAGCGTGCTTGAACAGCTCGGGCGGCGACGACCACTTGTACGACTTGAATTGCCAGGTTTGACCGGTAGTGAAGACCGCCACGAGCCGGTTCCAATAGTCCGGTCGGAAGTTGGCAGTACTGTCGACCAGAATGAAGCGGGTTGGCTTTCTTGAGCCGTGCGAGCCCACGGCGCGAGAAGAGGAACTGGACGGATCGGCATTCATGCGCAGCGGGCGCGAGATGTACAGGATATTGGAGCTGGGCATGGAGAGCGTGGGATGGTCCGGAGGTACAAAGACACCGTCCTGAAGAAATGACCGGACGTTGGACATGCGGATGAGCGACGACGCCGACGGGGAGAGAAGGATGATGGGGTCCTGCGTCTTGGAGCTGCCTTTTCGGGGTTGCGAGAGCCCGGCCGACGGCGCGGGCACCATGGACTGTGGTTTGCTTCCGGGTTTGGTGCCGGGAGGATATTGTCCGGTTCGCGAGCGGTTACGACCGAGGAAGGTCTCTGCGGTTTTGCGGACATGGGAGAAATCCTGCATGGAGGGGAAATCAATCAGTATCAGGCCCGGCCAGACGAAAGGCAGATTACGTCGCGCTTTGACCTACCGTAGGCTTTATCCCTCGCAACACACTGTTGCGATCACCCAGCTTCCGCTCTCCATTGTAAATCTCCTGCAATCTGGGGTCGACGACCTTGGAGGCCTTTGCTTGCTGAGCCCCCGCAGGAGGCGCGCCGGCTCCGGGTGCACCGCTGGCAACAGTAGAGACGCCACCGGTAGCACCAGAAGCGATATTCGCCGAGGCTTGAGCCTGAGCTGCTGCAGAAGCAGCCGCCGCAGCGGCACCCTCCAAGGGTTTGATGTATTCACTCTCGTCGGAGGCGCCTTCCAGCCAGGTGATGAGATCCAACCGTTCGACGAAAATGAGATTCTGCACCTTTTCTTCCTCCTCGCCTTCCTTGCGCTCTTTCTGCTTCAGCGACTCGTTCAATTCTTGTGCGGAGGCGATGTACTCGGGAATTGCGACATCCTTCTTTTGCCAGGCGAACAAGATACTGCGCAGGTCGACGGCGGAGTTAGAGGAGCTGGAGACGAAGCGGGTCGGCGCCGTCAGGGGAATTGTCTGTAGCTGTGGGGTGGTGAAGTAGAGATGGGTGGCTTTGGCCAGGTCGTCGGTGGCATTCTGGTCTGAGAGCTCATCGGAGGTGGTCGGCGTGGGAAGACTGCCAGCTGCGATGGCCCGGCGAAGGGCCAGCAGAGGGTCTTGCAAAGAGGGATCACTGGCCATGGTGATATTATACGGACGACGGGGTCAGAGCTATCACCGCCCAGAATGCGTGAGAGAAGCCAGACGGGGCGAACAGGAGGGTCGACGGAGAAGCTGCTGAGCTGCTCTCGATGAAGCGAACGAAAGAAAGCGAGGCGGACGGCACGTGATCTGCCTCTATCTGCAGAACAATAAAAGGACCACTTTCTTCTCATCAACTCTTCACCACCAGCACCACAAGGCGATGCAGTCCCAAAAGGATTGTTGCTCATCGTGTATAGCACGTCTTTTCATTGGTCCACAGATGCATCCCCCTACTGCCATGTCTTCACTCCGACCCTTGATCGCAGTTGGATCCGAGTAACTACTACTACTACTACTACTACTACTACTACTACTACTACTACTACTACAACTACAACTACTAGTAGTAGTTCGAGGCTAGGAAAATGTGCCAGGATCAACGCAGATCAAGGGCCCGCAGACAAGGGTCGCCATGAACTATGGAGTACAGGCTCTTCCGACTTGCCGTTGGGCAATTGTTTGAGCAATTATGGATTGGCAGCACCCGTACAGAGTAGACACGGGCGGTTGGCAATCGGCAGTCCCTACAGAGTTGTCAACCTCGGCTATTCTGAGCAGTTCTTGTCCTTCTGCAACTCCCCTGGTTCTCACGTCCATATCTTCATTCTTCTCTCGATCCCTCACCTGCTACCTTCGATATCCCCCCTTCCTGCCCCACAATGTCTCCCCCACGGACCCGAGCTCCCGCCCGCCAACTGGACGAGTTCGAGGAGTCAGTATACGAGTACTCCAACCGAATCAGCTGGGATGATAGCGAAGAAGTTAGCCTCCCTTGTTCCACCTCCCCAGCCCATCTACAGATACAAAATCCTTCCCTTCCTCCTAAGAACCCCGAACCCCTACTAAACGCAACCCAAATATCAACAGCACTGGGACATCGACCGCTCCAGCAACATCCGGTTCGAGTCCGCAACCCGCGGCCCCCCAGCCCGCGTCTCCTTCCAGTTCACCGTGGCGCCCAAGCTCTGCAATCTGATAGGCAACCTGCACGGCGGATGCGCGGCGACCCTGATCGACGTCCTCTCGACTTGCATCCTGCTGGGGGTGTCGAGTCCCGGCCATTTCGGCCTGGGCGGCGTCAGTCGGCATCTCAAGGTGACGTATCTGCGGCCGGTGCCGCAGGGGACCGAAGCGCGCCTGACCTGCGAGCTCGTGCATGTGGGCAAGCGGTTGGCGTTCATGAAGGCGGAGATCTCGAGAGTCGACACGGGGGCGCTGTGCATTATTGGGGAGCATGAGAAGGCGAATACGGATCCCGAGGCTGGGGCGAAGGTCTAGGCGAGAGGCTAATCGAGATCTAGATGAGGGAAGTCTACTATTTATTCATATTATTTATTTTATAGCCTGGAACGATCCTACGTGGTCGATGTGTGACTGGATGGGTCGACTTTGTACATACACGGATCATAAAGACTCGAATCCTATTGACTACGAAGTATTGACATGAAAAAGCGTCAAACGGGAACGATCTACCGGTCAGATCGAATCACTAACAAAGCAGGCACTCGGATTCCAAGATGATGTAAGGTTGGTTGTATGATTGATGAGGAATGGATATAGAGAAAAAAGGAAATGAGAAATAAGAACAAAGAAACTTTCAATATTTATGGCTCAACTCAAAGCATCCAAATCAATGATATATTATTATTCAGCTCTCCAGGCCGTCAGTGAAGCGCATCTATTCTTGCGCAAGCTGCTGATCTTCCCGAAGGCCCTCGACGACCAACTCCTCGCCCGTCGCCCGACGGTAGACGTCCCGCACATCGTCTGTTCGATGGTTAGGATCACTGTCGACTATTGTGAAATGATCTCGAGAAAACTTACCGGTCGTGGTCTCAAAGTGAGATGTGGCGTCGTAGCTCTTGGAGAGGAAGATGTTGTCCTTCTCACCGCTCTCCAGAGGCTCGTAGATGGGAATGGGGGGTCCGAAGAACTTCTCCTCAATGGCACCCAGGCGCTCGAAGCCGGGCTCAAGCTCAATGTGGTGGTTGGCATCGCTCTCGGCAATGGTCGAGACGATGGCGATGTAGTAGCCCTTGGGGCAAACGTTGTGCGCGGACGAGACCATGGCAATGTAGATGTCTAATCGATCTCAGTCAAAACGATGTCTCAATTCGGATCGGAAAACTTACCGTGCTTCCGGCCAACCTGGGACTGGGGAATGATCAGCTGCAGAGAGTCGCTGGCGTCGGTCTTGTCGATGGGGTGGTTCAGAATGCAGATGGCCTTCAGCAGGTAGCCGGTAACTCTGGCCTTGCTGGGGAAGTAGGAGGGGTCGGCCAGGATCTTCTTGGTCTTGGTGGTGAAGTGCATGGTCTCGCCGTTGTCCTCACGGTCCTTCATCGTGGCCTTGATGCCCGACACCTTGCCGCTCTCGTCGTACTGCACCTCGTCGATGTTGGTGTTGAGCATGTAGGTGCCTCCGTAGATGGCGGAGAGACGGGCGAAACCCTGAGGAAGCTCACCCAGGCCGTAGAGAGGGTAGATGTACGGCGACTTGCCGTACCGGGCCATGGAGTTGACGTACAGGCGGATGCGGTTGATGGTTTCGGGGGCCATTCCCGACTTGTTGATGTACTCATCAGACTGGTACAGGGCCATGGAGTGTCCGACGAAGTCACGGGTGTTGTCCTCCAGTCCGAACTTGTCATAGACATCCTTCATGGTGCACTCGTGAATGTTCAGGCCTAACCGACGGCGTTAGCAACTAGCCTGTGACAATCGGGGGGAAATAAGACCGACGCACCCTGGTGAGAGGAGGGGTTGTCCTCCTTGAATTCACCAACCCACTCCAAGAACTTCTTGGCCCTGCGCTTCTCGAACATGCCCATCAGAGACGAGCGCAGAGCTTCGGCGGAATCCGAAGGCACCTTGGCCACGGTAGCCTTAGGACCCTTTCCTTGCTGGACGTAGCTGCCGGCAATCTGCTTGAACTCCAGGTATCTCGTCACGTCGGTGGAGACCAGAATGTTGGTCAACTCGCCGTTCGCCATCAGCAGCTTGGGGACCAGGTCAATGTTCCAGTCGTTGACCCGTCCATACTTCTTCCAGGGCTCCTCGCCGGGGCGGACATTGCCGTACTTCTTGAACAACTGTTGCGAGCGACCGAGTCAGCTACAAACCCAGAAAAACGAGGTCACAAGCTAGCAAGAGGGATCTGACTTACAGTTTCGATGTTCACCGAAGCAGCCTCTCTGTGTAGATAATTTTCTTTGTCAGTGAGGGGGGTGGCGAGATGGGCGGGAGAGGGGGGAAAGACTGCCAACTCACCCTCCGTAGTGATCGTTGCGGTCGATGTGGAGGACCTTGTTTCCCTTGACACTGAGGACGCTGTATGGAATCGATCAGTTGCCGTATTCTAGATCGCCTGGCAGGAAGATTCATACCCAGAAAGCACACACTCCGTCAAACCTGCGAGAAAGGAGGGGGATTCGTTAGCCAGCTGCAGTCAAGCGGCGGGGTAGGGCAGCAGGCGTCATACCAGTGCCGAGCACGACAACATCGTATTCGGGGGCAATATCTTCCATGGTGGGCAGTAAGGAAGTCGGGAAACAGTCGAGCAGGAAGTCGGACGCAGCAACGGCAGCAGAAGATGCAGAGAATGCAGGTGGGAGGAGGGAAGTGGGAAGATGCGGAGACAGCGAGGCGGGAGAGAATGGGTTGCGGTGAAGTAGTCTAGTCGAGCGCTAGTCCGCAGCTGTCGTTGCTTTGGAACCCCCGCGGATCCTCGATTTGAAAGGGGCTCCACCGCTGCGAAGCACCGTGAAACTAGGAGGGTTGGGCGTCTCGAACGACGCCCTTCTCCTTTTCCTGCCCCTTTTCGCCCTCGATGGAGCCCTATCAATATCGCCGTAATTTATCCCGGTGCTCCCCTTTCCGTTGCCCCTGTCACGTCACGCTATTGACTCGGTCTAATTTTATTGGGCCCCGTAGACTATTCCATGACTCCATTATTCCCTTCTACGCAGTACTCGGTCTCCACGAGTCCGGCAATCAGACACCGTCGTTGAAATTGGAACTAATACAGACAATAAATAAATAATCCTACATACAGATCCAATAGTCGACCACTATTGGAATGACCGGTCATATGGTGGACAGCTCCACGCCTCATTTACTCGTCATCTTGAGGCCGGTATCCCTCCTTGTACAGTCGCTGGGCCTCTTCCCAGGCATACCACCGCTCCCGGAGGACGTGCTTGATGCTCTTCTGCGTGACGCGGATCTGTGCAACGCATGGCCGTTAGTTATGTATTTCCTAGAGAAATCACACCCCGTCCACCCCCGGGGATAAGGATTGACTGCCAAAAGCCCAAGCCACAAAGGAATTGGAACTGAACGAGGAAATAGGAAGAAGAAGAGGAGGAGGAGGAAAGAAACACTCACCACCCGGTCGCGGTCATTAGCTTCATACTCGCCGTATCCCGCCTTCAATCGCTCTCGTTCCAAGTTGGAAGTGGCTATGCGGTTGCGTTCCTTGGCACACACCCACCACAGAGCATGTAGGTCATCCCAAGACTTCTCGCGGAGCTCCTGGATAGACCACGAACGGCCTGAACAACTTGGGATTAGCACCGTGGATACCAACCACAAATTTCCGATTTCTCGTCTGTAGGCGGACTAACCATGTGCGTTGTCATATTCCGGAGTGCTCAAAGGTTGACGGTCCTTGGGGAAGAAGCCCCAAAGGCCATGGTCCGGGGTCGGATGACGCTTGTCCAGCTCCCCCGGCGAGACGGGCTTGGGCAATGGGTACTTCGACACGCCAAGTTTGAATCGAGGACCGGTGCGGTGGATTGCAGACACGCCGCGAGTCTTGTTGAGGTCGCGACCAGGACCGGCAGCGACGGCGGTCGTCGAAAAGTTCGAGGTCTGGACGGCGGACCGGGTCAAGGAGAAATGGAGGGATGGCGCCAGGTAGGCGGGAGGCAAGTCGGCCAGCGGAAGGCCATTGCACTGGCGGGCGAGCCGCGCAATGGATTGACGATGCATTGCGAACGGACCGGAGAGGATATCGTCGAACGGCTGGGAAACTCGCGAGAGGTCCGTCTTGCGGGCGCCGGAGCAAAAGCTGGCGGAGTGGACTTTTCGGCGCCTAGGTCACGTGCACCACGGCGCCTGTGCCACCCCAGTCCGGGCATTCAGCCGCTGCGATGTAGCCAGACATCCTGAGTCAGAAATGAAATAGCAGGCTTTGCGATGCTTGGCTGGGTTTTACATCCATGTGCCATTCTTCATGCACCTAGCCTCGAAACTTCGTATCGAACCTAGACATTGAAAAGCGGCCGTAGAGATGGCATCTGCAGCAGCTCTATTCTGTGGGCATATGGCATCAGATGGTACCAGGGAAATGAAAGTCTTGCTTCACAGTAGCTCACCATCATAGACTCGGTCAAATCCACTTCCCAGCCTGTATTCCCATTGTCCTCGTTGGGGTTACGCTGAAGCTGCAAGATTAACCGCGGGCGGCTGCCATGGTCCGTGCAGACCAGGGAAGCGCGCGGTTGCAGCCACTCCACCTCCAGCATCCGTCGCATGAATGTGGGCACAGTTCCTTGAAGCACCAGTCCTCGATCTTGACCTCCTCCGCTACTCTCTGTTGGAATCGTTGTACTTTGGATCATTGAACTCCGGCCCCATCAGCACAGCTTCTGGAGACTATATTTTCATTATGAATAGGCCAGGTGTGTCCTTTTCCTTCTTTTGTCTTATCCATGGCTCGGGATTGTTATAACCCGATGGCCCATTTGATCGGTGTCCTTGTTGCGTCTGTGGCTCTTGAGCAGCACCTGGGTTTACGGCATGATTTTGGACCATGTGGAGTCTTTCGTTACTACGTCTTTCGTCCATGCTCTAATTGCGAGCCTATCGGTGACCCTTGTCTCTGCGACCGAGCTGCTTCGCAACGCCATGCCAAGAAACCCTTCAAACCCTGATCAAGGGGCCACCGAGTCTTTGGATTGAGTCGCCTATGGTGTTGAACAATGCTAATGCATGTTTGGATATATTAGGCCCGGGCCCACAGCCTCTCCGGGGCATGTCCGGATTCCCCGCACAGCAACAAGTACAAGCTCGAAATGCGACACTAGCATCTGCACGTTTGCCAAACGGAAAACTTGGTGTGATTGCCCGAAAACTGATCTCCGAGTTGATCATGGTCGAGGGAAACTAACGAGGGACAAATTGACCAGGCACTGGAGCAAATTGGAACTTTAACTTGCCCGTGAGCGGAACACCAGGAATCCAGAGCAACCAACAGCGTGCGATGGCCAATATGGGGACTTTTGCTCAGAGTCTCAGCGGTTCGCAGCCTGCTACTCCTCTTGATCTGTCGTGAGTGTGCCGTCACCCTTGGCTGCAAGCCTTTAGACCACCCACAAGTTCAATTTTGACACATGTGATTTGAGATGCGAAAATGGCACTGACAGTTACCCTCGCACTAGTGACTTTCCCTCGCTATCCGGGGCGCCTCCGCAATCTCAAGCTCAAAATCCAGGGCACTTGGTATGGGCGAATGCCAGTCAACGAGCCATGCAACAGACACCTGTCCAGAGGCAGCAGCACCCCGCTTCTCAAGCCCCGTCACGAGCACCTCAAACACAAACCCATCACCCGCAACAGCAATCACAAACCCCCCACGACGATGTATTTCCCTCCGGAGCCCAGTTTGCGAATCGGTTGGATGATTTCAGAAATGGCGGACAAGGCATCAGCGGTCAGCTGGGAGCGGGCGCTCAGCCCCAGACAGGCAACATCGAGGAGTTCCCACCGCTGGGGCGGAACGTGCCTGCCGAGTTGGGCCAGGATCGCCGGGGATCCTTGATGCAGAATGCAGGATTCGGCAATTATGCTTCGGGCATGTCTTTTGCTGGCGCAAACCAGGCCCAAACGGCACAAAATCGCAGCATCATCTCGTCGGTAAACGGGCCAGAACGGATGATGTCGCCGGCCACGCCGGGTGCAGCAGGTAAATTCCATCAGAGCGTAATGGCTATCGGAACGTGCATTGATCATCTCAGGAATTGGAACTTCTCGATCACCTGTGAATCAGGCAGTCAATGGGGTACCAGGACAAGAAAAAGAGGTTTGTTTCCTTTCTATCCGAGCATTTACTTCTCATTACCTTGCTAAGGAAGTAGTTACAGGAATCTAGCAGCGCCATCCTGTCGAGCCAGCGTGCCCTCGCGGAACAGCAATCGTTACAATTCCCGACTCAAGGGCAGGAGTCATCCGAAGCTGCGCAAAGTGCCGAACAGCCACCGCTAGCCGAGATGAGCGAACTTGACAAATTTGGACTCGCAGGACTTCTTCGCATGATCCACAGTGACAGCCCCGATGTTGCTAGCCTTGCAGTTGGTCAAGATCTGATGACATTGGGTCTAGACTTGAATCAGCCGGAGTAGGTTGCCTGCTAATATTGACAGCGGTGTCTGTCGGGTTTGCTAACTTCTATCATCATAGGCCTTTGCATACATCGTTCGCTTCGCCGTTCGTTGCTTCTATGACGGGCGTGCCACTGGAGCAAGATTTCGCCTTGCCTTCGTGCTACAATGTTGCCAACATCCAGCCCCTTCAGTCGCGCATCCCTAGCTTCAGCGACGAAACGTTATTCTTCATTTTCTACAGCATGCCCCGTGATATCATGCAGGAGGTGGTTGCGGAAGAATTGATGGGTCGCAAGTGGAGATACCACAAGATTGAGAGATGCTGGCTTACTCGTGATGAAACGTATCCTGGACCCGTTGATGTCGACAGAGGTGTTAGTGAACGGGGTGTCTATCTCCTCTGGGATCCCGCCAGCTGGAAGAAGATTCGGGTAAGTAGCGAAGCCATTTTGATGCACCAGGTAGCCCATTGCTAACCATTCGTCTCAGCGCGAGTTCATTCTCCGATACGAAGACCTGGACAACCGGATGGACCCGCAGCGTAATCTGGCACGCATGGGAGTTCCACCTCCGGGGTCATGAATTATCTGAGAGGAGCACAAGTGATGGGATCAGCACCGGCGTTGGGTTCTCTGCCAGTTTCCTATGGTTTTTCAGGTGTGGTCTGCTACCGTGCACCAAGGTGTTTCTCAACTTTAGGGGTCGCTATGGGATCGTAGGATACTATCGAAATCAAATGACTTGTATGATCTTACCAGTTCTTTCCATGACCGTAGATCGATCTGCAATAGCAATTTCGACACTGGGTGCTACCCAAAGCAGCTACAAACTTGCGACGGTCAATCATACGGAGCCAAGTGCCAACTCCAACCGTCGTCCTTGCTCGGGCCATCTAACCAGCCAGCAGGCATCGGACCAATGAGAAAAATGCTCAGGAGGTAACTAACTATTCATAGGCCCCTAAATAACCTCCCGTCGTACTCTGAGGGATCCTCTTGTCAGATTGTGGTCCTTCGCCACCCAATGGCGATCGAGCCTGCCGTCCCAAAGGTTCTCCGGAGAGATTCTCGGACACTTTCTATATGCCCCTAAGATCGGACCGGAATCGACTTGAGTCGTTATACATGCTACAAGTCAAGGTATAAATACCCCTTCAAGCGTTCAGAAATGGTTCTTGTTACTACAGTTCTTTCTCAACTCATCAGCCATTTTCTCGAGCTACATATCTACCGTTTGTTTGCCTGCTGTGTCATCGTTTCATAACGATATATAGTATCCCAAGTTCTACATTATACAGCCCCCTTTCTTGAATAACCCTTAACCATGGCCATGAAATCCGAGATTTTGGCGATGTACCAGCAGCAAGACTTCGCCGCTCGGTACAAGATCGCCGAACAAGTCACTGGCCCATTCGCGCAGGCGCTGGTTGACATGTCTGGCGTAGCTGAGCCTACCCAAAAGCCGTTGGCTATTTTCGACAATGCTTGTGGCACGGGCATCATTTCGAGCGTGCTCCGCCAAAAGGTAGACACTGACTACCAGAAGAGCTGGAAACTTACCTGCGGCGATTTCAGTGAGGCGATGGTTGAATTCACAAAGCTCGCGATCGAGGCTGAAGGCTGGGCAAACGCCGAGGCCAAAATCGTGAATGCACAAGACACGGGGCTTCCCAGTGGAGAGTTTACCCATGTCTTTGCGGGCTTTGGTAGGTGGTTGACGAATGTATTTGTTAGTTGTGGATATGATCTGATTCGTGTTGTCTTTCCTAGCGTTCACGACGTTTCCTGATCCTAAAGCTGCAGTGAAAGGTGAGTTGACATATCCCCAAGTGATGCAGTTGCGAGCATCATGGACTAACATAACAAGAATGTTTCCGAGTCCTTCAGCCGGGTGGTATTGTCAGCAGCTCAACCTGGCAATCAAGTATGTCATTACCCAATCCCTTAAAACCAATGAGGCTTGCTTTAACTAATTCACAACTCAGCAAACTGGATCGAGATTGCGAAGACTGTTGTCGAAAGAATGCCACCCGGAGACCTTCGTTTTCCATCTGTGAAAGAATTCCTCGCGATCTTCAATGAGGGCTGGGACTCCGAGTCCTATGTACGCTCCCAGTTCGAACAAGAGGGATTCGAGGATGTGAATACCACTACTGTTGACAAGTATTTGTCAGTCACCATACCGGAGTTCATGGAGCTTATCAGGCCAATACTTGGCGCGGGGATGGGCAAATTCTGGACCCAGGCACAACGGGAAGAGCATGAGAAAGATGTCATCCCCGCGATTAGGAGGTACCTAGAAGAGACCTATGGTGCGGATGGATTGGTTCCTTTGGAGCCTGTGGCGGTTCTTGCGACGGCTCGTAAGCCTTGGTGATTATGATACTATCAAGTATGGTCATCATAGACAGGCATTTCATATGGCTGTGCCGGCGAGGGGCTTAGTGTAACTGGTTTCGAGCACGTCGAGAAGGATTCTATTTTTGTTATGGAGACTGTGTACTTGATATCTGCCTGACTGGTAATTCGATTCTGTTCATCATCTTGAGCTGACGGCTGGTTTGAATTTGGCATATGCAATCGAATTAGAATCAATGGACATGCTTCAAGATATAAATTTAGAGCACCTGGATTCTTTGTCCATGCCGTAAAGACCGAGATCCAGCCTCGCAAGAGCACCAGTACTAAAGTAGATTCGAAGACAAAGAAAGGAGTCTTTGTCCAATCACGTGCGTACCCCTCATGCTTACATCACCCAAACGGCGCCAAACCCAAAGGAGCAAAGCATAAACACCCGCGATTGTCGAGTTCCGCAAAAACAGCGGCGCCCGCCAAAACAATAATCCCTCCAAGTCCATTCAATCCGCCCAGTCCCTGTGCGATCCGCATCCTGCCCATCGATTCCCAGACGCCCTCCCATGCGCTTCAGTTGCTAGTTGATGGGGCAGTCCTGGAGTCGCAAACATGAGGATTACGGAGATCATTATTGACGTGAGCTTTTTTCTTTGTTCCGCCGTGGAAAGAGGGGCGGAGATGGAAGAGCGATCACTGCTAACGCTCGAGGCAACAGGGTTTCAAATCGTATGCCGTGCGTACGGTGATTTCAGGATGGTATGCGCTGCGCTGAATCCCTTGCTTTGGGTTCATGTCATTACATCTCCAGATGAAAGCCCGATGATCTTTCTTTGAGGTCTGCGGCTTGGGTCGGTCGCAAACGAAGGTGCTGACTTTTTTGCTTCTCTCATAGGGATGAATCGTTTAACTCCATCACTGGCCTTAACGGCAGTGGTAAATCCAACATCCTCGATGCCATCTGTTTCGTCCTAGGTATTACGAATATGACCACCGTCCGCGCGCAGAACTTGCAGGACCTTATCTACAAGCGTGGTCAAGCCGGCGTGACCAAAGCCAGTGTCACTATTGTATTTGATAACCGCGACACCGCAAAATCGCCTATTGGTTTCGAAGAATATGCGAACATCTCCGTGACCCGACAGATCGTTCTCGGCGGCACGAGCAAATACCTGATCAACGGACACCGTGCGCAGCAGCAGACGGTGCAGAACCTGTTCCAGAGTGTGCAACTCAACATCAACAACCCCAATTTCCTGATTATGCAGGGTCGGATCACAAAGGTTCTGAATATGAAGGCGGTTGAGATCTTGTCCATGATCGAGGAAGCGGCTGGTACGCGAATGTTCGAGGATAGGCGAGAGAAGGCGGTGAAGACAATGGGCAAGAAAGAATTAAAGCTGCGCGAAATCGAGGGTCTTCTGAAGGAAGAAATTGAGCCAAAGCTGGAAAAGCTGCGATCCGAGAAGCGAGCTTTTCTTGATTTCCAACAGACACAAAACGATCTTGAGCGACTGACACGCTTGGTCGTTGCTCACGATTACCTTCGGGGTGGCGAGCGTTTGCGAGTTACGGGCGAGGAATGCGAAGCCAAAAGACGCAAGGTGCAAACGCTCGAAGATAATGCGACTCGGCTTAAGAGCGAGATAAATCATCTGGAAGAAGATGTGAAGAGAGTGAGGACCGCTCGCGACAAGGAATTACGAAAGGGCGGCAAATTTCAAGCTCTTGAGGATGAGGCCAAGTCGCATTCGCATGAACTCGTTCGGTTGACCACCGTGTTCGATCTAAAGAATGCTAGTATCTCGGAAGAGAAAGAGAAGCAAAAGGAGGTCCACAGAACTGTGAAGGATCTGGAGAAAGTTCTGAAGGAGAAGAAGAAGATCTACGACAAACTGCAGGCCCAATATGACTCCGCCAAGGCAGAACTGGACGCCCAAACCGCCGAGGTGGAGCAAAAGGAGGAATTGCTCCAGACACTACAGACCGGTGTGGCTTCGAAAGAAGGCCAGGAAAGTGGATACCAAGGCCAATTACAAGACGCCCGTAACCGTGCCAGTACCGCTGCTACGGAGCAAGAACAAGCCAAGCTGAAGATTGCCAACCTGGAAAAACGAATCAAGGAAGAGGAGCCGAGAGCGAAAAAGGCCAAAGAGCAGAATTCGGGTCTCCTTAAGGACCTCGAAGGCCTCAAATCGCAAGCTAAGAAGCTTGATGCGGAGCTTGCAAGACTTGGCTTTGAACCGGGCCGAGAGGAGCAGCTCTATCAGGAACAAACTACTCTGCAGAGGGAGATCCGCGAATTGCGTCAGAATGCGGACGGCCTCCAACGCAGGGTTGCGAACATCGACTTCCAATACGCCGACCCTCACCCGAACTTCGATCGGTCCAAAGTCAAGGGACTAGTGGCCCAGCTTTTCACGTTGAACAAAGAGAAGCTTCAAGCTGCTACCGCGCTGGAGATTTGTGCCGGTGGTCGTTTGTACAACGTGGTGGTTGACTCTGCAGAAACCGGTACCCAGCTGCTCCAGAAGGGAAAACTTCGCAAGCGAGTGACAATCATCCCGCTAAACAAGATATCATCTTTCAAGGCATCCGCCGAGAAGATTGGGGCGGCACAGAACATTGCCCCTGGGAAGGTGGACCTGGCCTTGTCCCTTATTGGATATGATGAGGAAGTTACGGCGGCCATGAACTACGTTTTTGGCAATACCCTGATTTGCAATGACGCAGACACGGCCAAGAAGGTCACCTTTGACCCATCCGTGCGAGTTAAAAGCGTTACCTTCGATGGCGATGTATATGACCCTTCTGGTACGCTGTCTGGTGGTAGCTCTCCAAACTCAAGCGGTGTGCTTGTTACCCTGCAAAAGTTGAACGAGATCACGAGGGAGATTAGAAGCAAGGAGCGCCTGTTGGCTACTTTGGAAGACACCATGAGAAAAGAGAAAAAGAAGCTCGATGCGGCTCGCTCGATCAAGCAGGAACTGGACCTGAAGAACCACGAGATTAAGCTTACAGAGGAGCAAATAAGCAGCAACTCTTCCTCATCGGTACGTGGTCCCGGAAGGGCATTAGACGTTATATATGTCGGAGCTAACCTGTTATAGATCATTCAAGCCGTCGAGGAGATGAAAGAGAACATCCAGCAATTGAAGAACGACATTTCTGACGCGAAGTCTCGTCAGAGTGAGGCATCCAAGGATATTAAGCGAATCGAGAAGGATATGAGTGAGTTTAACAACAACAAAGACAGCAAGCTCGCCGAGCTGCAAGAGTCGCTGGATTCTCTCAAGAAGAGTCTTTCAAAGAACTCGAACTCCGTCAAGACACTGCAGAAGGAGCTTCAAGATTCTCGATTGGAATCGGAGCAGGTCGGTGGCGACCTTTCAGCGGCCGAGGAGCAAAGTACCGAGGCCGAGAATACTCTTCAATCACAGATGGAGGAGATCGAGTCGATGAAGAGGGACCAAGCTCGTATCAAGGTAAAGAGCAGTCCAAACCTGTGATTTCTAGTCAGAATGCTAACTCTTCGCCAAAAGGACGCCCATGACATGGCTCAAGCACAGCTTGATGACGAAAGAGCCAAGCTGACTGGCTTTGACGACGAGTTGCGCGACTTGGACGCGACCATGAAGGCGAAGAACTCCCAAGTTACAGAAGAGGGTCTCGAAATGCAAAAACTCGGTCATCAACTTGAGAAGTTGCAGAAGGATCAACAAGCTGCAGCCCAGGCCGTCTCTTACATGGAAGAAGAGCATGAATGGATTGCGGATGAAAAGGACAATTTCGGACGGTCCAACACTGCGTACGACTTCAAGAACCAGAACATCGCCGAATGCAAGTCGACGTTACGCAACCTGACGGAACGATTCCAAGGAATGAAGAAGAAGATCAACCCTAAGGTGATGAACATGATCGACAGCGTGGAGAAGAAAGAGGCTGCGTTGAAGAACATGATGAAGACGGTCATTCGAGATAAGCGCAAGATTGAAGAGACCATCATCAATCTCAACGAGTACAAGAAGGAGGCTCTTCACAAGACCTGGACCAAGGTCAACGCCGATTTTGGACAGATCTTCTCAGAGCTCCTTCCCGGCAGCTTTGCGAAATTGGATCCCCCCGAAGGCAAGGATATCACCGATGGTCTGGAAGTCAAGGTGTCTCTGGGTAAGGTCTGGAAACAGAGTCTGACGGAATTGAGTGGAGGACAACGGTACGTGAAGCAGCTCTTGAAGTCACTGGAAGAATCCCCAAAACTGACCCTCTCACAGATCGCTTATCGCTCTTTCGCTCATTATGGCCCTCCTGCAATTCAAGCCAGCACCGATGTATATTCTGGACGAGGTGGATGCAGCACTGGATCTGTCGCATACCCAGAACATTGGTCGTCTGATCAAGACCCGGTTCAAGGGCTCCCAGTTCATCATCGTTTCCTTGAAGGACGGCATGTTCCAGAACGCCAACCGGATCTTCCGAACGAGATTCAGCGAGGGAACGAGTATTGTCCAGGCTCTCACTCCGGCCGACATGAAATGATTGGGTTGGGATGCCGTGCTTTTTTTCTTGATTATATTTTCTGCTTCTTCCTATTCTTGCTGTCCATATTGTTGCGTCGTTGGTCTTTTGCCAGTTGATTCTCCGACCGTTCTATCGTTTCTGGGTTGGCATTGCGGGACAGGTCATGGAGGACTATTTACGAAGGTGTTTCTCGGATCATATATATTGGCTGCTTTTACCTGTGATGATACACGCCTGATAATGAATGAACCCATTCTATTCTCTGGAGCCAGGCCGCAAGGCAAATACCCGAGACCCAATCGAGTAATCCGACTTGTGCCAACGCCTTTTCCTTTGACTTTGAACCTCTCTTCTTCTTCTTCTCTCTCCCCACACTCTTCCTCTCTTCATCCCCCACATTACCTGTCGCCACCAGATATCTGCCCCGGAAGTATCGTTGTTCATTCAGTGCCCTGGTGACGTATACCCCCGCCGGTTAGTGCGAGACACTGGCGGCGTTCCGGAATTCACCGCCACATTGCCATTCGCCGCGGCATCTCTCCTGTGCCGATCCACCCAGCGTCTGGACGTCTTTTTCGACGGAGCGCCGGAAAATATTCTCTAGAACGAAGGAGTGTGGTATTACGGAGTACGACCCTTTAACCCTCCCTATTGATCTTTCCGACTCCTCCGCTTGAGTGATTCCGACCGATCGTCCACCACCCCCGTGTCCCCTTACCCCGTACCTCTCTCTCCACTCCACTCCCGACACAATGGATGAGGAACCGTCCCTGAACATCCCCTCACTCCTCACCCTCGCGGTTGTCTCTTACTTCGTCATCCGCTGGTTTCTCAACCGAGATGGGTCCCCCGGTGCAGGTGGCGGCCGCAGTCGTGCCCGTGGCGCTGTTGATCCAGCCCAAGTCGAACAAATATCCCAGATGTTTCCGCAGTTGAGCACGCGCGATATCATGTGGGATTTGCAACGCAACGGAGGCAACGTTGCGGCGACGACGGAGAGAATCTTGACTGGACGGGGGTTGGAAACGGTATGTCCCCCTCTCAACGCTTTCGCCCCGGCCTGCCGTGCGCTCAACTATTGTATCATCGTTAAACTAATGTCGATAATATCTAGCCACCACCCTCATTCCAGCCCCAAATCGCCATCCCAAGACCGACTGCGCAAACGACCGCGACTTCGACGGCGACGGCGACCGCAAAGGCAGAAGGCCAGGATTTGATCTCGCGATACAACCTCCAGGGCAAAGCCGATGGCGAGGATACCGCGACCGCGCAAACGGCACCTAGCGGATGGTCGCAAAATAAGGACGAGCGACAGCGCCTATTGCAGAAACGGAGGGATGATATGATTCTGGCCGCGCGGAAGAAAATGATGCAGAAGCAGCAGGGCACGGCCTAGTGAGATTGTGAACTTCTTCCAAACATGATTCTTTGGAGATGGAAATTGTGCTTTCGCTTTTGACCTGGACAGATTGAACGCAACCACCTCTCCCTCTTGTTTTTCTTTTCCTCTTCTTTCAACCATTCAGAACACATTACTTGTTATTTCTTACGCAGGATGGTGCCCTGCCAGTTGGGCCGGGGCTGTAAGATTAAATGCAGGCATTCTTGCTTTCTAGGAAAGTTCGTTACTTTGTGACTCTCAAGTTGGTTCGCAGTTTCTTCTTCGTTCCCCCGCCCCCGGTCCAGTCTATCCTCTATCATCTCTTCTCATTTCTCATTTGACATTTACTGGAGTCTTGGTTGCCAAAGCGTCGCATGTTTATGGTGTTGTAGGGTTGAAATCAGAATACCTGCGATTATAGGGAATGAAGGGTATATATACATATAAAACAAATCCAAAAATGACTGTTTCTTTGTACACCAATAACTCCAGCTCATGAGCGAGCAAAGACAATATGCATCAGAATTCCATGTCGTCCTCATCATCCTGCGTCGCGTCATATGCGCCGTTGGCCATGTCCTCCGCCATCTGCTCCCGTCGTGCTTGTTCCTTGGACGCACCAATCCGCCTGTTGATGTGTGAGATTCTCTTCCGTTCCTGGCTTTCCGAGACGACACTACATACCTTAGACCATCCACAACACCCGCAATGAACCCTCTCCCCTCAGTGATCTCCATCGCCCCAACACCTGTCAGGGCCACTCCACCTCCACCCGTTGCGGCCGCATCCAGTACATCGGTGCCGGATCGAATCTTCGCCGTCCGCACTTCCCGTAACTCCTTCAGCAGCCGTCGCACCTGGTTCGGCTCCACCAGATCGTCGCTCGCGGCATCCAGCAGCATCGTGCCCATTTCCAACCAGTGGAACGGCAGTGCGGGCGGCTCACCAGCCGGGACATAATCTTGCGCGACATTCTGGGGCAGGAATGGCGAGGACGGGTAGTATCGTTGGCCGTCGGGAGTATATCGAGGGGTGGCTACGGGTCTTTGTTGCCCGCGCTCGCTGAGACTTGGCTGCCCGGGGAGAGGGGGTGGAGGGGAGAATGCGTTCTGATAGTCCTGGTGTTGGGTTTCGATTTCGAGGATCAGCGAGAGAGATTCGGGGTGAAGCCAGGGCGGAGGGAGAATGTTTGCGCGTCGTTGGCGTTTGAGAAGCAGCGCGAGCCAGAGGGGGAGCGTGGCTCGGCGGGGTGGGAGGAGCGGTTCGACGGGGCCCTGAGAGAAAAAGAATCACGACAAGGTCAATGGCTGATACGGCACAGAGGAAGGCAATTCTGCAGCACTCACGCCGAGCAGCTCCAGGCCCTCCAAGCGTTGACGCGGAAGGATCGTGACCATTTCCATCTCGGCCAGAAACGAGATCTCCGGGGGCGTAATGCCCCGCGGGAGGGGGAAGGCCATTGACCGTCAATGCAAGCGGGATCGAGGGTCAGGAATGTTCGCCTTGGGCCTGGAAGTCGCAGAAGCGCAAGGGAGGGCCGATCGAGCGAGGCAAAAGCGAAGAATCGAGCGAAAGAAGGCCGCGGAACGAGCATCCCACCGCCTGTTTGCCCTGTTTGCAGGCGCGCCGTTTCGGGCAGGTGAGCCTCGCCCTCGTTCTTTCCCTCTTCGGCTTCGCTTCTCTCTTGCTTTTTCTTTTCTTTGGCTTTCCTTTCCTCTTCTTCCTTAACGTCTTGGATTCGACTCCCCTGGTCAATGGCCTCGCCGTCGACTCCATGAATTCCCTCAAGCCCGACTCGGGCCTGGCTCGCGCCGCCCGCTACGCTGTTCCTTTCGTGCTGTTGCTGGTCCCCATTTGGATGACGAAAGTCAACACCGTCGTTCCAGAACCCTATTTGGACGAAGTTTTCCATGTTCCCCAGGCCCAGGCATACTGGTATCACAAGTGGACGCATTGGGATCCTAAGATCACGACCCCTCCGGGCCTGTACCTGTGGTCCTATGTCGTCTGTGCCGGTATCCTGGCCCTCCGCGGCACCCCGACGGAGCTCGACCCCGAAGCTCTGCGCGCGACCAACGTGGCGGCCGGGGCTGTATTCTTGCCTTTGAGGCTGCAGAACCTGCTGGATACGTTGCGGAAGCAGCGCAACACTCGCCCCGCGGGGGCATGGCTGAGCCATACCGTCTTGAACATCTGCCTCTTCCCGCCGATCTTCTTTTTCTCCGGCCTCTACTACACCGATATCCTCTCGCTGCTGGTGGTGATCGAGGCCTACAACTGGGACCTGAAGCGCACGTCGACAATCACCACTGTTCCCTATCGACACGTCGTGTTTATTGTGTTCGCGTTGCTGTCGCTCGTCTTCCGACAGACCAACATCTTCTGGGTCACGGTTTTCCTGGGAGGATTGCAGGCGGTACGAACCCTGAAGGAAGACACCAAAAATACTGGACCAGAGTCGAAGAATGCGTTGCATGATCCTCTGGTGTCCGAGGCTGCAATTGGAGGTGAGTGACCGAGCGCAATTCCGCAAAAAAATTGCATGCTAATTTGGCTAAGACTATTTCCAAACGGCCCTTTCCCTCGGCGTCGCCGTTCTCCGCAATCTGGGCCGCATCATCCTGGCGGCTATCCCCTATGTCATTGTCCTCGCGGTCTTCGGTGGTTTCGTCGTGTGGAATGATGGCGTTGCATTGGGTAGGTTTACAATATCAAACGGAAGAACCGAGGACCTTGAAAGCTAATAAGAGCGCAGGGCACAAAGAGTTCCACTCTGTAGGGGTACATCTGGCGCAGATGCTCTATATTTGGCCGTATATTGCGTTCTTCTCGTGGCCCATACTCGTTACGCCAATTCTCAATCTGCTGCTGCCGCAGTCCTGGTTGCCCAGATTCTTGAATTACGGATTCCCAGAGAAGCAGAGGAAACTGCCTCGGTTCTGGACAGCTCTGGCAGTTATTCCAGCCATGCTTGCCGTTGTGCACTTCAACACAATCGTCCATCCGTTTACCCTTGCCGACAATCGCCATTATATGTTCTATGTCTTTCGCGTACTCCTTGGCAGTCACCCCGCCGCAAGATATGCCGCCACTCTCGTCTACTTCATTTGCGGCTGGGCTGTCATTTCTGCGTTCGGGTTTGTGCTATATCCAGCGGCTCCCCAGTTTATTCGGGTGCCCGCATCCTCTTCTACCCAGTCGCCGAAAAAGCAGGGGGCTAGGGAATCCGGCGCAAAGCCGAAAGCGGAACGCAAATCGAAGGCTTCTTCTAAGAAACCCACTGCACCTGCACCCCCTCGGGCGCCTCCAATCAGCCCCGAAGCCTACGCCCAGCTGCAACAACATATCATTCAGCGCCAAAGACAAGAAAACCAGGGGCCGCGAGTGAGCTTTGTTCTCGTCTGGCTGGCAGCGACCACTGTGTCTCTAATTGTCGCTCCTCTCGTCGAGCCGCGGTACGCTGTTATTCCGTGGGTTATGTGGAGGCTACACTTGCCACCGCAGCCTACGCCGCAAGCGTACCGGCAACAGCGCCCTCGTGATGAGAAGGAGGCTCTTCATAAGGATATCGCAACTAACTTCCCTCTGTTCTTGGAGACGCTGTGGTTCCTGGTCATCAATGGGGTGACGGGGTATGTGTTCCTGTATAAAGGTTTTGAATGGCCCCAGGAACCTGGCAATATCCAACGTTTCATGTGGTAATTACCTTTAATCATCACTTTTTTCTTGCTGTGTGTTAGTATACTGGAATTGGAAGGATGGAATCCATGTATGTACATAGATCGAGGCTGCCAAAAAACTGGCGAGTTGTTGTACGATATAGTTAGCCTATAATTGTTAGCCAGGCCAATCTGGTCCGTTTAAACTTCGTTTTCCCGTTCTCATCCCTTTCATGCACTCAAGGAGTTAATATCGCGAAGACACCGGGGCTTAATTTGGCTCTCAGCGACAATCTGAATCCGACCCATCCATGACGCTGACACGGCTTCGCTTCTCGGGCAAGTTATCTTTGCTCCCGTCTTCCTTTCTCTTCTCGTCACCTCCTCGTCTGCTCGCAACCATGGCGCACGAAGACGCCAACCAGCCCGCCAAAAGGATAAAACTATCGTCTCCCGACACCGACAGGGCGGGCAAAACACCAGCAGCCCCTTCGGCGTCGCTCTTGGCATCTCTGCATCGACCCATCAGTCCGCCCTTGCCATCTTCATCCTCATCTCCCTCTCAATCGTCAAAGCCCAGTGAACCTCTCAATCCGAAGGCAATCAAATCAAAGACACTCTCCTCGCCGTTTCAACTAACAAACATCCGCGACTTGGCGCCATCTTCCGCCAATAATGTCGACACCATCCGACTGCGCGATCTTCTCGGTGATCCCATGATTCGCGAATGCTGGCAGTTCAACTACTTGTTCGATGTAGATTTTTTGATGAGGCAATTTGACGAGGATGTACGGTCTCTCGTGGATGTCAAGGTCGTGCATGGTTCGTGGAAGAGGGAGGCGCCGAATCGCTTGCACATTGACGTAACTCTCCCCGATCTTTTTCTGTCTTTCCCTTCTTTATTCGTTTTCTGCCCGAGTTGTGTTTATGCGAAACTTTGGGCAAGTGATTGACTGATTGTTTCTAGGAAGCATGTTCGCGGTATCCCAATGTCGAGCCCATTGTGGCCTATATGCCCGAGGCGTTTGGAACGCATCATTGCAAGATGATGATATTAATGAGACATGACGATCTCGCCCAGTATGATCTCCACGCATATTGAGACCTGACCTGTATCTTATACATCGGGTGGTCAAACCCCAGGGAGAAAAGCATTCTGACCAAATCTACAGGGTAATCATTCACACGGCCAACATGATCCCCGGAGACTGGGCAAACATGTGCCAGGCTGTCTGGCGCTCTCCGCTCCTTCCGTTACAGCAGCAGAAGCAAGGTCCAGCAGAGACATCATCGTCGGCCCTGGGTACCGGGTCCCGTTTCAAGCGCGACCTCCTCGCGTATCTGAGCGAGTACGGGCCGAAGAAGACAGGCCGTCTGGTAGACCAGCTCCGTCGGTATGATTTCGGCTCGGTGCGCGCGGCTCTGGTGGCTAGCGTGCCGTCAAAGCAGAAATTCGGGGGCCTCGATTCAAGTAGGAAGACGATCTGGGGATGGCCGGGGCTTAGGGATGTGCTTGATAATGTGCCCATACGTCGGGATGAGAACAAGACACCACATGTTGTTTGTCAGGTTCGTCTACTTTTCTCTGTCTCTCCCCAGGCTACACCCCATCTCTGCACATGCATGTCCTAACAGAAATGGTAGATGTCTTCTATCGCCTCCCTCGGACAAACAGATAAATGGTTAAAAGACGTCTTCTTCCGCTCTCTTGCCCAGACAGAACGAAACGGAAAAGAAGGCAAGCGCAGCAGCACACCCAAGTACTCCATCATCTTCCCCACTGCCGACGAGATCCGTCGCTCCCTGAACGGATACGGCTCCGGCGGGTCCATCCACATGAAGATCCAAAGCGCCGCGCAGCAGAAGCAGTTGCAGTATATGCGGCCGTACCTGCGACATTGGGCCGGAGACGCGGTCACGGACTCAACTGCCACTCGAGATGCAGGCCGTCGTCGCGCAGCACCACACATTAAGACCTATATCCGGTTCTCTGATGAAGAGATGGATTCCATCGACTGGGCGATGCTGACGTCGGCGAACCTGTCAACACAGGCGTGGGGCGCTGGCGTCAATGCGAACGACGAGGTTCGGATCTGTAGCTGGGAGATTGGAGTGGTTGTGTGGCCGGCGTTGTTTGCTGAGGATGCAGAGGGAGTAGAAGGGTCAGTGATGGTGCCATGCTTCAAGACAGATGTCCCCCGGTGCGAGGATGGGAAGGAATCAGTCCGGGTAGGTCTCCGTATGCCGTACGGTCTGCCGCTTGTGGACTACGGAGTCGACGAGAACCCCTGGTGCGCGACGGCCAGCCACAATGAACCAGACTGGATGGGACAAAGGTGGATAGATGATCCTCTGTAGCTTCTGATCGCTGCAAGAAGCTCCCTCGCTATCACAACACGCCATCCATAGCTACGACAGCTCAAGCCACCTTCCATATAGACAATAGACGAAAGACGATCAAAAAAGTCCTCTCAGCATTCGTAACTCATCGAAATAGATAAATGCTATGATATGATATTGTAAAACCCCCTCGCACAAGCTATAATGAACCTAACAGAGAACGATATCCCTCTAGGAGCGAGTGCCGAACTTCTCGATCAGGGCCGCAACCTCCTTGATGTACTGAGCCTGGGCCTTGGCGGCGGAGATGCCGCTGATTTCCTTCCACGCGTTGTACTTGTACTTGGACTGTTGATTATTGCTGCGTTAGTCTTTGTCCATCCAGTCTCTTCTCATAGAGAGCGAGAGCGAAGAGTGAAAGGAAGAGAGACGAACCTCGATCTGGTAAAACGACGGCTCAGCGGGCTTCTCACCACGGGCCTGCTTGAAGTACTTGTAGAGCTGTATCAAATCCATAACTATTAGCATCGATCCATCACCGAAACAGAAAACACCCCGAACGGACGACCGCTGGAGGGGACAGAGAGAGGTGGGGGGGGAAAGAGCATACCGTCAACATCTCCGTCTGCCCGGGCTCCTTCTCCAGCATCTTGACGACCTTGGTAGCGAACTCGAAACCGGCCTTCAGAGCGGTGGCCTGCTCGCCCTCGACGGAGGCGGAGTCATCGCCTGCCAGAACGAGCTCGACGGCGACCTTGAGCAGGTCGGCGTTGATGCCGGCGGCGGCGGACTGGACCTCCGGGGTGTACTGGGCGCCGGACTGCGCGACGGAGAGGGCGGTGAAGAAGGGTTCGAGAGACATGGTTGCGTGTTTTTGGGGATTTGATTTCTGGGGATCGAGTGGATGGTTTGGAGATGGGGAGAGGAGGAGGAAGAGGTGAAGACGTGCCGAGGGGAAGTTGGTGGGAAGAAAGTGGGGGGGCACGTTTGTTGATGGTGGGGTTGTTCTGGTGCTCGGCGTTGGGACTGCACGGTCCCCGATTCTGCGATGAGAGGAGATATAGCTCTCGTTCTATAGCTTTACAGTTCTATGGAGATAGGTATATGATATCAAGTGGAGTACAGGATTAAGTGTTCCTTGTTGACTCTGTATATACACGCCCTGACCCGCGAGTCGAGATCAAATATCAAGTCAAGCCAAGTCGAGTCTATTCTAACGCCTCCAATGCTATTCATCTCATACCAGGACATTACTTTAACGATAGTCGGAAACCAGAGGATGGAATCACCAGTCCACCGCCCATCCGTTATGGGTCAGGAACTCCTCGCAGGCCGCCTTCAGCGCGTAGTTCGGTCGCAGGTCGTTGGTCGTCATCGCCACGCGCGTGATGGGATCGACTCCGGACTGCTCGACATACTTGACGATGCCAATCCGGTCGAAGCTGGTGCCCGACGGCGTGATCACCGGGTCGTGCATGATCTCGAACGTGATTCCGTCCACCAGATGGTCGGGTACAACCTAATAAGCCGCGATGCATCCATCAGCAATCAGTCCGTTTCGCAATGTAATGTGCCTGGAGACTTACCCTCTCCGCGATCTCTCCCTTCGACGCAATCCGGAACGTCTCCCGCAAGGTATTAACCTTCTTCTCCGTATCCTCGCGAAGCGCTTTCTGATCCTCCACACACCCGATATGTCCGATCTCTCCGCGGTCCAATTTACCCTGCAGCTCCTCCAACGCCCGGTTCAGCTCCGTCTCCATGAGTTGTTCCACGTGGCCTAGCGTTTCGTCCATCTCACGCACTCGACTCGTCTCCTTCGCCGCCCAGATCTGCTGTTTGGCACGTAGCACCGTCTTGGACAGGTTTTCCGTCTGCACGCTCTTGGCCGCAAGACTGGCTCGGTAGGCATCGATGGCGACCTCGTAGGCTTCCTGCGGTCGCTGCAAACCCAGCAGCGCCTGCGCCAGGTACCAGCAGCTCTTCAGGCTCGTGGGGTTCTTCGCACCGTAGAGTTCGACCGCGGCGCGCGCATCGTGTTCAACCCCGGCCCATTTTTCCAGTCGGATGCGCGTCAGGGCGCGGTTCGTGAAGAAGGTAGGTTCGCGGGGATTCTTGAGGATGCTGAAATCAGGGAAATCACGGCAATCAGAGACATGATCACTAGTCGGAAAAACGAAGGGATTCAAGAGGGAGGGGACAGGGCCTGGACTGGCCCGGCGTGCATGTCTCCCACACAACAGAGTTTCAGGCCACTTACGCTTGAGAATACAGCTCCTCGGCTCCGCTATAATCGCCCTCTTTGAAGAGCTGATTGCCCTTCTCTTTCAATTCGAAGGACATATCGGCCTGTGCACGGTCGATGTTGTCACAGGGGGTATTGATGCAACCGAACTGTTCCGGTCCCCTTTTTTTCCCCTCAGTCTTTTCCCTTTTTTTTGATCTCCGAGGGTGACTTGACGGAGGGTTCGGTCGATGGTGGGGCGGAAGCACGTTTGATCCACCGGATTGCGGAGCAATCGACTGGGTTCCCGGGAACTAGAACTATGGCCAGAAGACCACGGAAGAAGGTGGAAGCGACGGAGTTAAAACAGAAGAGATGGAGAGATGGAAGGCCAACGGTCAGAGTCAAGTGAGAGCTCAGGATGGAGTCCGACAGCAAACGGTGAAGCCAGCCAGATGCCACCGAGTCGGCGTTTGGCAGGTGCGTACGGGGATGCGGCCCGTCTCACTTGGATTCAGTCCAGCAATGGAAGTGGCCGTCATGCCGTGTTCAGACCTGCATTGGCGGTTTTAAGAGCAGACTGGACGACGACAAAGCACGGCGAGACCAGATCGAAGGCCGTCGACGCCCGCCGAATCCCGATGACTCAGCCGTCTTTATCGGCGGATTTACTCAGGGTACTTTACGCTCACCATTAACAGACGCAGAAGAAAGTCCAGGCAAAGATTTCATTCAATCGAATTTCCTAATCCTAAGAAGCAGAACTGAAGTACAATCAATTGGCCCGCCAAATGTCATGCCGTTCACTTCGTGTGGTATCATCGAATCGTTGGGGATTGGTTTCAAGGTCGCGTGAGATGTGGTGTTCAAGGAATCGAGTCGCATGGAGTTGATCGTCAATCCAGATCGTGCGCTTAGACTAAGCATATAGAAACACGGCGGAGGTGGAGGACTGTAGTATACAATCTCCGCCGCCAAACGGTCACAGACGGATGGTCGCATTCACATGGCCTGCGGTGGCAAAGGCGGCCATGATCCCGACAGACCGAGAGAATCCAAGACGGGTCTGCCGAGACACGAATCACCCTGCAGCACCGATTTACTGAGCGGCGGCCAGCTGGGTCTCGTAGTCCGAGATGGCCTGGACCTTGGCGGCCGAGGCGCTCTTGGGGTCGAAGCGGTAGGTCACCCACTCGTTGGCCAGCTTCTTCGCCAGCTCGATACCGATGACGCGCTGACCGAAGCAGAGCACCTGGGCGTCGTTGCTGAGGATGGAACGCTCGACCGAGAACGAGTCATGGGCGGTCACGGCCCGAATGCCGGGGACTTTGTTGGCGGAGATGGCAACACCCAACCCAGTGCCACAGATGAAGAGACCACGGTCCGCCTTGCCCTCCTTGATGAGTTTGGCGCCCGCCACGGCGGGGTGAGGGTAGGCCGTCTTGTCGGAGGTCGAGTTGACTCCGACATCCTGGATGGAGTCGACGAGAGGGTTCTTCTCCAGGGCGGCCTTGAGGGTCTCCTTGTACGGTTGACCGGCCTCGTCACAGGCGAAGACGATGCGAAGGGGCTTAGGATCGGCAGACATTGTGAAGTGTGGGTGAGTTGTCAAAGTCAGAAGACTTGTAGTGGTGATAGAGTGACAGAGAAGAGCTTGTGAGGGGAGAAGAGTAGCTGAGAAACGGTTGCGAGTCTGGATTGAAAAAGTAAATCCATCAGTCGAAAGGGGAATCCAGCACCCTTTTATATTCCAATCCCTCAGTCATTTCCCGGGGATTTCCTCCCCTCCATCGTATTTGCGGAGACCGAGCCGTGCCTCCTGCGCCCCAAGGTTCGACGGATGGAGACTGCTGGACAACGAATCGCGTTGTCGCAATCCACTAATGATGCACAACATCTCAATGCGACAGGATCCACCGATGATTGTCCCAGGAGCAGCACGGTCTGGAGGAAGGAATCAGAGACGTCCGAGCAGACCAGGGCCTGGTTACGACCGCCCCACGCATGGCGTCATAGTCGACTGGGATGTCTGGCGGGTTAGTGTTTACAATTGGAGGCAAAAGCAAAAGTTCGTGCTAAGCAGCCCATCCAAAGAAAACAAATGACAGGAGGGACGGAGAGCAGGGAACCGACCATCCTGGCTGGACGGTTCTGCAAGAGCCTGTCTCTGGACCGATACTAGTCGGATCTTTTAGGAGGCTATCGTCCATGGCGCGGCGGGCGAATGACGCCACTGGCCGCAGCCATGTCCGTATAGCCTCGTTCCATCTGGTTCTTCCAGGCGATAACGAAGAGGTGGTCAACGGATATGATTCCTGGAAGTGGAGCTTGTTTGTGAGGGGCCAATGGGCGGATGGCTTGGACAGCGTCTAGGGTCGGAGACTAATTATCTGGCTGGCTGGTATCAAACCGGTTTGCGGATGTGTCTGGATGACTGGACCGTGGGCGCCGATCTCATTCACCATGGTGTGCAGGGGACAGCATAGCGGGCGGTACGTGTTCTGCATGAGGCTTTTCCCGTCCTATGAGATGGACGACGAGGACGACAGCGAAGCTCACCGACGGCCTGAGGACGCAGGCGCGATCAGGTGATCTGCCCGGTTTGCTGCAAACCCAATTTGGCTTCACCTGGCGATTTCTCAAGAATGGGCGTAGCGTAACCTGTGTGGTTTAGTGATCTCATTATCACAAATGCCCTCAGAACCGGTTCTTGACTCCTCTCTCTGAGTGTCCTGTCCGCACACTCTCTGGCCGTAACCCGGCAGCCTGGCATGTCCGGATTGGGCCTTCCGATGCTATACTCCTGATTGGAGGCGCTAGGCCGGATGCAGGCAGTCCGCGCAGCCGGGGCCCACTGCCTCTCCCTGATTGGCGGGTGACAAGGTGGAAGGTCGAGACGTTTGGGACTGGTTTCTCAGGCACCTCCTCGCTTGAGTTGCTTCGAATGGACGCGATGACAACCCCTCCGCGGGGTCCTTCTGGCTCGGCCTTTCTCTGCGCGTCTTTGGCTTCATTCTCGATGTCACCTCGACGTCCCCCTGCCCGTGTGGTCCTCCAGTAACCGCATGGACATACCACTAGTTTTCTCCAGGTTTTCGCCTGTCGCTCCACTTATCACATCCAATCAGTGACTTCACGCTCCGGGGATGCATTTCGCGTGGGCCGATCTCCCTTCTGGTCTCCTTCGTTCTCTCCACCTTCCCCGTCCAAATCTCGACCGAGTCTTTCTCGTGTCGCCCGTCTTCTGAATCTGGATGGTCGCAGCACTAGCGCCGCGGCTTTCCTCGACCCTCTTGGCTGTCAGTTACACCGTCTTCTCTCCATTGAGTCGGTCTGGTATTCTGGGGAATTTGCCCACCCCGCCATCAATAACTCCTTAGTCCTGACACGAGACTTTGTTCCGGTCCCGAGGTGACTTCCTATCGTTCTCACTCCCCCAAAGCCAACCCAATCCAGAAACATACGCCGTGAGAAAGCAAAAGCAACAGACCGTCAGCGTGATCCAATCACATCGGCAACCATGGCGTCCCGGCAATCCTATCCCGTTCTACCCAAGAACTTACTCATCATCTCGCTGAAGATGTACTTCACCCCATCCCGCACCCTCGAGTACCTCCGCGCCCTGCTGGCCCCCGAGAATGATATTGTCCGCCCCCAGAACCGATCTAAACTGCTACTCGCCCTAATCCCCGACTTCCTGACCATCTACCCTTGCAATGAAATCATCCGGAACTACGAATCCTCCACGCTCGACACCACCACCTCCCCCGCATCCTCCTCGCTCCCCCCCCCCTTCCTGCTCGGCGCCCAGGACTGCTTCTGGGAGCCGCTCGGCGCCTACACCGGCGAAGTTTCCCCGCAAGCGCTGAGCAGCATGGGCGTCTCCATCGTCGAGCTGGGCCACGCCGAACGCCGCTCCATCTTCGGCGAGACGGACCACCAAACCGCCCGCAAGGCTGCCGCGGCCTGTGCGCACGCCATGGTGCCCCTCGTCTGTATTGGCGAGATTACGGCCCCGGGCGCCGTGGCGTCGGAGGCCGTTGGTTTGGCTGTCCGGGAGTGCGAGGTCCAGGTGCGCGCCGTGCTGGCGGCCATCCCGTCCGACGCCCCCGTCATCTTCGCCTACGAGCCTGTCTGGGCCATTGGGCAGCCTGTTCCCGCCGGTGTCGACCACATCGCCGCCGTGGTGCAGGGCATCAAGACGGTCGTCGGCAGTCGGGAGGGCGAGGTGCGCATTCTATACGGCGGCAGCGCGGGGCCCGGGCTGTGGGGGCCCGGGGGTCTGGGGAAGGCCGTCGACGGTATGTTCTTGGGTCGGTTTGCGCACGAGGTCGAGGGCGTGCAGAAGGTCGTGCGAGAGGTCGAGGAGACTCTGTGATCCCTCCTGTTCATGCCATGTCATGTTGTGTCAATGCATGAGTTACTGCAGATACGCATGCGGACGGTCGAATATGAAGAGCGAGTTGCATGACGTTGGGGGGGATACTAATTTCGGGCTTCTATCATTCTCGGGATCTTTGCCTTTTAGTTCTGCATCAACCTATGACTGACGACGATGCATGATGATTTCATGAGGCGTTCGAGTTTCATTTATTTAGCACCTGTAATCTGCAAGCCCTACGGCCTAGTCAACGCCACCTACACAGATGGCTTTTGAGGGCTGAGTCTGTTGTTCTTGGAATGGTAAATATTGGCATTTGCTTGACCAATGGGACATTTTGGGACATAAGAATGATTGGATTGCACGACTGCATCGAATATCCTTCTGTAGACAATAGTACTATGCGATAGAATATCATGGGAAACGTTATGTACAGATAACCCCTTGCTTTTGATCTGGTCTGGCGATAGACAACCGTTTAATCCTTCTTCAGCTGTCGTTCCTCGCGCATCTCCTGCTTCACGCGGGTCACGGTGCCCACGCCGCCATACACGATGCCGGTATACATCATCGCCACCGAGGCACCGGCGTTCAGAGCCGCCTGGGCCTGCGCGCCGGTGGTGATGCCGCCGGACGCGAAGATGACCTTGCGCGGGAACTGCGCGGCAACGCTGGGCGGATCCACGGGGGGCACGTTCTCCGCGTCGGGCTCGGCCTGGGTAACGCGCGCGGTTTCTGCCTGCGCAACTCCGGCCAGCTCCGGCGTCACGGGCGTGTCGTCCAGCAGCGCCCGGTAGCGAGCCACCAGGGCCACGGTGCGGTCGAAGAGCTGCGGGCCCGAGTATCCGCCCGTCTCCTTGAGCGTGGTTTGCTCCTTGGCCGGCAGAGCGATGCTCTTGGGCAGGGGCTCCGGACGACGGTTGGTCGTGTTTCCCACGATGACGCCGTCGACACCCGAGCCCCAGACGGCCTCGCAGATACCCGAGACCTGTTCGTCGGCGTCTTCGTCCGGGCTGACCTTGACCATCACGAAGGGCTTGGTCGCGCGGTCGACGCCCTTGGCGGCTCCCACGACGGCTTTCAGGATGGCCGTCAGAGGCGCGGTGGCCTGGAGGTCACGCAGACCGGGGGTGTTGGGGCTGGACACGTTCACGACCAGGATATCGGCGTACTTGGCGAGGCGGTCGACGCAGTAGACGTAGTCCCGCTTGACGGCTTCGATGTCCGAGTCGGGCGTGGCCTTGTTCTTGGCCACCTGCACGGCCAAGAGCTTACCGGGAAGAAGACTGCCGGGGGGAACACTGGCCTCCCCGTTCAAGACCCGCTCCACGGCTTGCTCATGCAGCCCGAATCCCTGCGAGTAGGCGAAGTCACGCACTCGCTGCTCCAGGATCGCGGCCATGTGATCTGCTCCCTTCGAGTTAAGTCCGTACCGGTTGATCATAGCCTTCTGCGAGGGGAGTCGGAACACGCGGGGGCGGGGGTTGCCATCCTGCGGCAACGGCGTGGTACCGCCGACTTCGACGATGGCAGGCCCGGTTGCGAACAGCGGATCGGGGACTTCGGCATGCTTGTCCAGACCACCGGAGATACCAATGGGGTTGGCGAGTGTGTATCCGAAGACCTAGATCAGATTAGCCGACCACACCTCAACTAGAGGATAGTAAAGACATAACTAACCTCGGTCGACAAAGCACCATCTCCATCCAGGTTTCCACGCTCTCGGGGGTGCAGTCCAAACTGGTACAGCGTCTTCAAGGTATCCACCCCAAGGTGATGAGCATCCTCCGCATCGGGGTATAGGAGTCGGATCAGCGGAACCACACCGTAGCGGTGCACGCTGGCTCTCGTATCCGTGCCATACACATAGCCAACCAAAAGTGTCAGAGCCAAAGACGTGCCGAGCACGATTCTCCGGGATCCGCGGCCGGCTTTCTTAGGCGCCTCCTTCGCGGTCTCCTTCACGGTCTCCGCGGCCGCGTCGGCGGTGCCGGCGGCCTTGGTGGTAGTCGTGTCGGAGGCATATCTAACGACACCTTGCTGATTGCGCCAGATCGACGGACGCTGTGCGCAGCGGAAGGACGGCAATGCGCGGGCCCGGGGCCCTGCAGACCTCCAGGCTAACGCGACTGAGCTTGCGACCATATTGATTGGAGTTGGCCTAAAGAATGCTCGTCAGCTGCGTGGTTCCATTGTACCTGCGTTTAATTGCAATTGATGAATGTGTAATAGTACAGGCGGAATGTAACTTCCAAACATGAACTATACATTAAAATCCATCAATTGCTCAATGGTCAATCGTGCCTCCAAGACGGCCATAAATCGGCCCCTCTCGGTAAAGGTGCTGTCCGATGACGACGTCGCGAAGATGCAAGACATAGTGAACGCATGCGCAACTTACCCACAAGAATTGGAGAATCAATTAATTTCCGGCAATTGAGGTTTGCGCCACAGGCATCCCCAAGTAAATCAAGCAGTCAATCCGCACGGGGACGTCACTCGAGGATGTTGCAGGGTCGTCGAAGACATTCCGCCGGTTTGTTTCTTGCGTCAACGCATGCGGCGGGCGGTCGGAGATTCATCTGGCAGAATGACAATGATATTCCGAGCGGTGTGTTAGGGCATCTTCCCCATTCGACTGCAAAGAAGCAGTAGGGTGTCTACGGAGTGCTTGTGCTCGAGTTCTCACGACCAAGCCCATTACTCGTTTAGACTATACTTGTCTGATATGATAGATGCAGATTGCATTGCACATGTCTAGATTCAAGCAGCGCTGGTCTTTTTTTCTAGACTATTGCCAACACTGCCAACTGCCTATTGCATACAAGAAGAAAAAAAAAAGAACAAAACGGCCCAACCAGAAATTCTCGCTAAATGAAACTCCATTTCCATTCATGCCACTCAACGCCTGCTGTGTTGCTAGCAGCCTCGACCGAAGGCGGGCTGGCTCGGTCCCAACTGCATGCAGCGTGCCCAGGAACCTGCACCGGACCAAGGAAAGATGGGTGAGAAGAACAATAGATTCCAGCGTCTCGGAGCAAAGCCACATAAGAGGGTATGAGGATGTGCAAATTATGGTAATATAAGATCAGAAGTATACAAGGTGATGATCGTAATCCAGAATCACTGCCACGGAAGAGAGGTAACTAACCCTCAGGCCCAATGCATTCACTCGTCGTCGTCACTCATCCTGTCTGCCTCACCAGGTGCGTCCTGATCTGCTGATTGCTGATCAACACTGTGCTCGCGATCGTCTGCCTCGGCGTGTTCCTGAGGCGACTCGGCTTCGTCGGCGACGCCCTCCGGTGGTGGCGGCATGGTTTTCGCGAACTTAGGATCCATAGCTGCCCTGTGCAACCCTCGTTTGTACACTTCGGCCTCATCTGGGTCGCGAACGGCCACTTGAATTTGATCGACCTGATCCTCCTTGGTCTTCGGGCGCGTAGGGGCCAGACCAGCTTGGGCAATGGTACGGGCTCGCTCGGGCTTGAGGCGTGTCTTTCCAAGGATCGGGTAATAAAAGGCCGCTTTTTGCTTGCCTTGCTGCTCTTCATTGGCATTGGACGGATCGAAAAGAGTCAGTGCGACGTCTTTTTGCTTCTGATCGTTGCCAAGCGTTTGGGCGCTAGTTGCATAGGTACGCACGCGATCATATCGGTGGAATTTGGTGTTGTCGGCGCTCTCGTGAGCGTAAAGAGCTTCGTTGTCCCGCTCGGGGTTTGTCATGCGTAAGCTCGCAAGGACGTTCTTGGCTGATTCCTTGCTGGCTAAGAACAGGTCGTAATCCCAAGGAACAGGGCCGGGGTCGGGGTATAGACTGGGATTCGTCTTGTGCAGCGCTGCTTTTGTGGAATGTTCCTGGCAGACGCGCTCCTCTGGCGCAGACGGCAGCAAAACGGCAGCATCCATCCGCTTATCTCGCTTTCCAGAAACGTCTTGGACAGGCGCTTTGTCAAACTTGAATTGGACGAAGCCTCCAGGGTCTGGGAATCCCTCCAGGTCGGGAAGAAGCGGGAAGAAGCCAACGGGCTTCAGCTTGGGGTTACTGGGATGTACTGGATGAGCCCACGCATCATGTTCGAGTTTCGTCGGATTGTGGCCTTTGATCCTGCTCGGTGTATCTTCTCCAGAATGTTTACTCTCCGGGTATGCAACATCGAATCCCTTCTGGATGTACTTCTTGATGTAGATGGGATCATCTTGAGACATTTTCGTCTTCTCGTCTTGAAGAGACTTGGATCTGATGGGCGTAACCTTGGGTCCATCAGGGGCGCGAATGCCCGCCGAGATGTATTGCGTGCGACGAAGAAAGCTGACATTTGTGTTCTTGGGCGCCGGGTTTCTCAGCTGGTCCAGCGTCATCAGAAGAGGTAAATCAGCGGGATCAATCGGGTCGGGGTTCTCGGGAGCCATGATGGCTAGTGTAATGCATCCGTATTAGCGCGATATCCCCACCAAATTACTGTCAATGTTGAGATACGTACCACTTTCGTCGCCCAAATGAAGACCAGGGATACCGACTAGGTCAATCGGCATACCACCTTCCGCATCCACATCAATGTTCGGCTCCTCGCGTCTCGCAAGGTTGGAAGCAAATCCCGGAGTGAGAAATCGGTCTAGGCCCTCGTGCGGAATATCCAGAAACTTGGGAGGCATGTCCGGAGGAGGTAGGTCATTGCGATAGCGGGTCGAGGCGATATACTCCTGGTGAAAGCCCCCGGAGGAGCCACCATCCTTAGATTTCGACATTTCGGCTGCAACGATACTGAATCTACCGAGCTTAGGGGAATCTGTCGCCGGCGGAGTGCACACTATAAGCGAAACAAGCTCATGTTAGCAATAGCTCTTGCATCTGCGTTGCGACGATTTCTCATAAACTCACATGGACTGGTGAGGAACAAAGAAGGAATGTCAGAGTCAGAGATTAAAGACCCGGTCGAGTCCGAGGATATGGAAACGACCGGTGCGAGTCCTTAAAATAAAATAATGAATGGGTTAGAAAGATCTTGGAGACCAGCCTCTCAGAAACAATCGGAAGACAAACTTGGGGTTCGCGGGCTCATTCTGCACTGCTTCACCGCCTGAAACTGGGAGTTTAGCGCTGTCAGGTGATGGTCCACAAAGGAAGTTATCCACAGCATAGCCAGGCTGATTATGTCATATTTATGTTTGCACAAGACTCGACCATGAATTGCTCATGTCTTCACACTCTAAGAACATTGCCGTTTGATTAAAAGAAGTGCCATCCAATAGACCTAGTAGTGGTTTGAGTAGAGGTTTTGAAGCGCCTTTCCATAAATTCCAAATTGATCAATCATTCGCCTAGGAGTACAATGCGTTTCAATAGTAAGGGATCTCATAACGTCAAATATTATCATATAAAGAACACAGGGGCAAAGTGGTGCCCAGAAGCCATAGGGATGTGCCCCATATCAGTAAGCCCACATGCACTTGTAGGCCATCAACCTATGGCCCAGCCGGTCATACTCCAGCTGCCCGATCCAGCTGTCATTCGTGCCATTCAGTTTGCCAAAGATGCTGGCTCCTTTCCAGACAACTACTTGCGGATCGAGGTCTCGGGGCGGGGTTCCAATCATGATCTCTTTGGCAAACCCAGGTCGAAGAGTCTGAAGCCGCTCCTCGAGGAAGGAGTGAAAGCCGTTGATCTGGCTGCCTCCTCCCACAAGCATGATGCCACCGAGGAAGTCACGCATTTTACGTTCATCCGACCGAGCCGCGTGGGCGATGGAAGTGAGGATTGCGTTGTCCAGTGGATAAACGGGGAGAATGTCATCACGCTCTTCGACTGCCGGTGCCCGTGGATGCGACACGTTCTGCGTTTGCCCGCCGGCAACGGGGGTGCCAGCACCTCCAGCTTGAGGGGTGCCAACGGCTTCGGGGACAGGGGAGCCGGCCACAGAGGATCGAGGAGTGGCATCTAGCTCTTGCACACGACTGAGCGCATTGACCTGTTGAGAGCGACTTGGCGTTGATTGCACATCCAATGTGTTAGGCTGGCTCTCGCCGTTGGGTTGGCTGGGAGATGGAGGAGCAAGGGCGGTTAATATTTCGGACTGAGCTCCAGATGACGGATCATTCGGTTGTCCATCATATATGTCGACCGAGCGGGATATCAAATTCCTTCTGCCTTTGAGTTTCAGGGTATTATCGAAAATCTCCGGCTGGAAGTAACCCATTGGGGCCAGATGTATCTCATCATATGCCTTGAACGTGTATTTGCTGGTATCTTGACCGGACACACGGAGATGGAAATCATAGACCTGAACGGAGACACTGGCTTCGTTCATGGTACAGATATTCTTCTTCAGCTCCTCGGCTAGCAAGAAGTCATATCGGCGCCATAGATTTATCTCGGCGTAGGGGAAATGGTCGTAGAGCATCATCTTGACGAAAGTCTCGGTGACATCGGATCCGCCATATTTCAGATTCACCCGGGAATTTTCAATACACATCCCTTCCTCCACGCAGCAGATCGATGTCTTCTGGGCGCCGATATCGACCACGCAGGCTGACGTAAAACCGGCGCCGAAGGTAGCTGCCAGACTTTCTTGGATGAAACACGTGCGCGCAAAGGCGAACTCCCTCATCAGCATCTCCAGGACCTGAGACACATATGATTTCTCGTAAAGATCCGGGATGACGAATACGCACGAGTACTGGGGCCATTCCTTTTTGCTTGTAAGGCCGAGCTGGGTTTTAATTGCCTCTTCCAGAATCAACGAGATGTCCAAGAACATGAGTCTTTTGCTTTCGTAGTCTCTCTCATTGCACCACCCGTATCTCATCGGCCAGCACAGCTTATAGCGAGGCTTGGAGGCATCCGGTATCCTCAGGGCATCCTGGCCCGCGATATATTCCGGCGCCGGTTCGGGGAGTTCTGTCCACTCAATACGCGAGGGGTCGTTGTGCTCCGAGATGGTCTCCGGTACCGTCCTCCGATTGTAATTGATCACCATTTCCTTCGAATTCGGAAGAGTTCGGCGCTTGTTCTGACGCATATGGGCCTTGAGGTCTGCGGACATTGTGGTGTACTGCGAGGCAAACTGTATTCAACGACAAGGTCAGTAACTGGGTCTTCAGTATTGTGCACAGGGGACTGTTAATGCTAGGCAACAAACCTCCGGACCAAACATCTTCTCTGGCTCCATCTCAGAGCCATCATCTAGTTTCAGCCTTTTGGGATAAGGCTCATCCCGATCTTCCGATTCGCTTGTCGCGGCTTTCCGCGCAATCACCATCGGGACGGTCTTTGGTAAAGCGTCGCTGGAGAGACCAATTCGCAAGTTCTGGCTGCCGACGTGTATCACAATCACCTTCGAACCAATCGCTTCGGCGCTAGACTCCTCCGAGTCTTCCATATTCGCGTCGCCATCCACATCCGCTTCCGTCTCGGGGAGACCTAGGTCGTTCGCTTTAGACATGGCAAGGGCACGATCCCGGTCTTTGGCGTTTTTGGCCATCCGATTCCGCGTCTCTTCATTTTGCAGTCTGAATGCCAGATATTGATCGTCGCGCTTGAGGTAGTCTCTGTAGGCAGAGAAGGTGATTTGTTAGCGTATGAAATTTTTTAGGAAGCGGAGTAAGCGACTTTCCAGGATAGCCTCCGGCAACCGAAGATCAGACCTGTCACATACGTATAGTAGTTCTTTTGGTTGATCGGGGGGATCTGAGGCCAGTTCGACAGCTCCATATTGTTATCCGTCCTTTCGAGGCCTAAGTGAAAACGGAGGTTAGGACCTGGGCGACACCCCCTAGGAGAGAGATGAATCAACAATAACCATACCTTCATCCCGAAGGAGGGCCTTTCCGGACTTTTTGCCAACCATGGTGTGCAGAGACGGTCAGGAATCAAATTGCCGGGTGTCCCTGTGTAGCGGCCAATGGAGGAAATGGGAAGAGGACGGCGAATGCAGGCAGCGGAGAGAGAGCGGGTGAGTGGACGTGCAATGGACCCTCCAGTGGGTTGACGAAGGGCGTCGTTTCGGGGGGCAGCGCGAGGAGAGACGACGAGCGCAGGTGAAGCCTTTTCTTGGGATCCCCGTCAATGGACAAGCTTGGGCCAAACTGATCGGCACTGCGGGCCAATGGTTGCCACCAGGGGATTTAGTCAGCTCTTGTGCTCTCTCGTGTCGTCTCGACAGATGGATGATTTTCATTCCAGAATCCTGAATATCCAAGCACTTCTCCCTTTTCCCTGGAAGAAACCCCCCAGCGCCGTGTCGACGTCCGCCGGAGTCATCTCGCTCTTGTCCGGACTCCATTCCAGCCTCTCCTTCACCGCTCTCTGTTTGCCTGAGACCGCAACGTCGTCATCGTCTCCTTCCGTCGCCCTCTGACCTTCGCTCCCTTCCCTCTTTCTTTGTTCCAAGCACAGTCATGGGTGGCTCGTTATCGCGTCTCTGGTCCTTCTTCTGGTCCAAAAAGGAAATCCGGATTCTGATTCTGGGCCTCGTACGTGATCTCTGAATTCTGGTCTTTTGCGGCTGTTCGGGACTAATCCAACCGCCCTGTATAGGATAATGCCGGGAAAACGACGCTTCTCTACAGACTGAAGGTAACCACGAGATCACTTCTCCTTCCCTTGTGCCGTCTCTATGTCCCTATTAGTCGCGGAATAGCATGCTAACCAACGCCGCTTGTTTTGATAGATCGGCGAAGTTGTCACTACGATACCCACGATTGGTTTTAACGTCGAGTCGGTGACCTATAGAAATTTGAATTTTAACGTTTGGGTATGGACATCTCCGTGGGCGTTTTTGGGGCCCTGTGTGGGAAGGAGGGAGAACCCTTGCTGATCACTGTTTCTATTTTAGGATCTCGGAGGCCAAACATCCATCCGTCCCTACTGGCGATGCTACTATGCCAACACCGCCGCCGTCGTGTTTGTGATCGACTCTACAGATATTGAACGACTGGGTACGGCGGCAGACGAGCTTGCGGCCATGCTGAACGAGGAGGAGCTCCGCGACGCGGCCTTGTTGGTCTTTGCCAACAAGCAAGACCAGCCGGGTGCCAAGGGAGCGGGAGAGATCTCGGAGGCCTTGAAGCTGGGTGAGCTGCGAGATCGGAACTGGAGTATCGTGGCATGCTCTGCGATCGACGGCAAGGGCCTGAATGAGGGAATGGACTGGTTGGTGGTAAGTATTCGTTCCTCGCTGGGTGGCTCCTCCAGGCACTGATCTCCGTTTCCCGCAGCAAACTCTTCAATCGGAAAACGCATAAGCGCTGGCGTCGTTGTGTGGTGCGATAGATTCTACTCGATATATTCTTCACCTCTTTTATGACGGACTCGGACATTTGGGGGTCTCCCGGCTTGGGGGCGCCTTGTTTTCATCGCATTTCTTCTATTTATTTTTTCTATTAACATCTTTTCTCACGGCCCTGTTTTGGAAGACAGAGTTCATGTCGTTTCTACTGTATACCTTTTTTTTTTTCTTTTTTGACTGGACGTTTGGAAGACTTAGCATAATATCCTAATTGATTGATTGATGGTGAACTCCGATGCCTGTCAGAACTCATCACCAGAAGATATACTTATTATACTACGTGGAAGACTAACTCGATCCAGTAAGCCCAGTGTCGTTGGATTTACTTAGTTTACTTAGATAACTAGGGTCTACTTGGTCTGATAGCAGCAGCAATTGATTGCGTCACGGAAACCGGCGCCCTGCGTGGTTATCACCGTCCACCTATCAGTTGGCCGCACTATCGCCCGATCTCCAGGAAGTCATCCTATGCAACCCCCACCTGCACTGGATATAAAACCATCTTCCCCCAGTCTATCGTTCCCCTCGTCTAAACCCCACATACTCAATCTCCCACCATGGCAATTCCCTCAACCCAGACCGCAGCAGTGCTCCCTCCGGCCGGTGCTACGGCAAAGGCAAGTCTGCAAATCAAGCACGATCACCCGGTGCCTTCGCCCGCAGAGGGAGAAATCCTAGTCAAGTTAGAATTCTCGGGTCTGTGCCATTCGGATGTCCACAGCGTTCGCGGGGAAACGCCGATGTTGACTGATGTGGCGGGGCATGAGGGGGTGGGGAAAGTCGTCAAAGGTACCACATTCGGAGTCGAGATGCGAGGAGATTGACACCTTTATTCTTTAAATCTAATGGATTGATACCGTCGCAGTTGGATCCGGTGTCAATGAACAGGACTGGCTGGGTACGAGAGTTGGCATTAGGCAAGTCTTTCCATTGATCCCGTTACGCCGTGGAAACAGGACAGGTCACTAACGGATAGACAATAGATGGCTATACAGTTCTTGCTTGAAATGCGAAATCTGCGCCATCAATAATACGGCCTGTCCGTATCAAAAGAATGCCGGAGCCGTATGTTCTATCCCGATCGTGCCCTTCATACGACCCATGTTGAAGCAGTGTTCGCTCTAACAAACTGTAGAATGTGCCAGGCACTTTCCAGCGTATATAATCTTTGGGTCCCTTCAATCACATACACATGCTCACCCGCAGTGTCCAGAGTATCTCATCAGCCCTGCAGTCCATGTGACAAGGATTCCCTCGCAGTTGGAGCCAGATGTGGCGGCTCCCCTTCTATGCGGTATGTGGCTTATCTCAAATTCGATTGCAACCCGTTTGACCGTATTACTTACCTACTGTAGCGGGTATTGCCATGTACTCGTCAATCATGAAAACCAAAACTCGCCCGGGTGACTGGCTCGTTCTCCCCGGAGCTGGAGGAGGTCTCGGGCACATGTAAGATTCCATCCGCACTGACTGCATTGTATGTAAACTAAGAAGCTCCAGGGGAGTACAGATTGCTGCTAAGAAAGGGCTCAGGGTTATTGCGGTTGATAGGTACAGTTGATACCAGCTATCGCTCGTCCAAGGCTGACTTCTTTCTGCAGCGGAGAGAAAAAGAAGCAACTTTGTCTTTCGCTTGGGGCTGCGAGCTTCCTGGACTATAAAGTGGACGATATTGAGACGGAAGTGAAGAAGCTTACCTCCGGTTTGGGTGCTCATGCTGTCATTTGTACCGCAAACAGCGAACCGGCCTATACCCAGAGTATGCGACTGCTTCGCAGCCTGGGCGTTCTCGTCTGCGTCGGCATACCGAGTGTGCCGTTCCGATTGCCCGCAACGCCATTCGACATGATTGTTAAGGGTATGCCCATGGTAAACTCTTTTGGAAAAAGCTGACAACCCGTGCTTATGACAGGTTTAACGATCGTCGGAAACTCTGCGGGAACAGCGAAAGAAATGGACGCGCTGATGGAGATGGCAGTGGCAGGTGATGTGACTGCACATATTGAATGCTTCGAGTTTGACAAGATCGATGAGGTATTGCAGCGCCTGGGTCGTTCTGAGATTGAAGGCCGAGCCGTCGTGAAGATCCCTTGATGGTCATATCCCGCTGAAGATTCGGTTACCTGCAGTGAAATGGATAGAAATATTCGTAGCAAGGAGCTCGGTCACAGATAGGCATCAAAAACTACTCAGAAAGCATATCCTCTCGATTGATCCTTTAACGACTACTGGAAATCTCTCCCCACTAACTATGAACAAATATATTTGAATCAGTTACTCGGTATATTGTAGGCGCCACCAGCAGGTGAACAGCGTCGTGCCTCGCCCTCCCACGCCTTTATTTCCTCCAGCAATTTCTCTAAATCGTCACGAACCAACTCAATAGCACCTTCACCCATCAACAACCGCCGAGGCGGAGACCGTTCTTTCTGGCCCACAACGACCTCAAAGAGCACCCGAGCGCATAGTTCCGGGTCCGACCAAGATTTCCGAAACTCCTTATTGCCAATGTATGCAACCAACTGATTGAGCGAGCCTTCGGGGGTGTCATACGCCGGATGGCGCGCAGCAAGCTGCATGCTCGAATCAAAGTTAGTCCGAATCCCCCCGGGGGCCACGACAAGAAACTTGATGTTCCAGTCTGGATTCATTTCCTTCGCGAAGGAATCAGTGAAGCCGTTAAGAGCATGTTTACTATTTCGCAGACCGAATTTTAGGTGTCAGCGTGGCTCTTCAACCCGGAGTGCCTGTGCCTCGCTATATTAGACCCCAGCATCCACTCACCTGGCATGATAGAAAGCACTTCCCGGGAACGTCAACATGCCTCCGATTGAAGAAATCTGCACGATGGTGCCTCCATGTCCCCGCGGATTCCTGTCCCTCATAATCCCAACCGCCTCCTGGGTCAGAAACACAGGCCCCCAGAAGAGGGTCTCCATTTGCAACCGGGCGTCGGACTCGGGAATGGCCTCGGTGTCGCCTATGAGGGCGTATCCGGCATTGTTGATGACCACGTCAATGCGGCCGAACTTATCCACTGCTGCGGACAGGGACTGGGTGATGGCCTCCCTGGAAGTGACATCTAGGCTGAGTTTGAGGATGTTGGGTCCGTCGGGTAGGTAGGAGAGGGAATCGGCGTTGCGGGCCGTGGCTACGATGCGGTGGCCGGCGGCATGGATGCTGCTGGTCAGGGCTTTGCCTAAGCCGGAGGAGCAGCCGGTGACTATGGAGATGTGCTCGTTTAGTGGTAGCTTTGGGGTATGGTTTGGGCTCATGGGGTGGGAGACCTACCGAACCAAACGGTGCTTGAATCTAGCATAATTGTAATGGGATCGTGACTGTATTCAAATTGAAGGTTGACTGAGAGCCGATGAATTGGAATGAAAGAGAGGAAGTCGGAACTCGTGAGGTTTGTAGGTTTTTATAATAGTAGTAGCCGTAGTATGATGATTCTAATCCCAGGTTCTTGCAAATATTTTTGTCTATGATAATATATATAAGCGCATCAAGCATGATGGAGTTAGATCAATCATTATATCCGGAATCATACCCATACTATCCGCCTTTCCAACCGTGTCCAAGCGGAATTAAGCTAGCATGAAGCTATATCCTTTGATATGGCGGAGGGAGATGAGTAGGGCTTACTATACAGCGATGTCATCCCGCCGCCACCGTCAGCAGTCATCATGGGCGCAGTCCACGGCTTTAACGGATATATGACGAAACAGGCACCATGGATTCTTCAGCCAAGAGGATCTCGTCGGAGGTGGAACTTCTGGTGATGCAATGAAATATACTATCGGCGCTTGGAATTTCGGCCGATGGAGGTCGATCTGCGCCTGAGGCCGACCCGAGCTGATCGGTCAATTTGCTCATCAGGCGGAATTCAGTCCCATTGCAACGCTCTGCTTTGTGCGTCTTTTTAATCAGAATTATAAATGACAGAGCTGACTCGACGGAATGACGTCTGGCAGACTGCGCATTCATGAGATCGTGATGTTGACTCGTTTCCTCGGTGTGTGGTATGAGGGAAGCTACTCCCGTCGATCGAATTGCTCTCTGGTTTTCAATCTCGGAAAGTCTAAAGGTTATTGTCAAATTGCTTAATATATCAGGAGTCACTGCATTTTCTTTTCTTTTCTTTTTCCCACATACTCTTAAGCTGGCCGCACACTTTTACCCCCAGCAGCCAGTCGCCCCGATCCGTCGGATCTCATGGCCAATTTCAACGCGTTCGCATTAAACAGCATGATCAGTCGACGACCATTGATTGTGATACAAGGCACAAGTGCGACGAAGGTGTTGCTAGAGCGAAGGAACTAAGGAAAGGTGCGGGTGGTGATTGACGAGTTGGTGCATCTGGATATGTATGGCCAGGTGAACGAGATCGGGGAAAATCGGCGGACTTCTTAGGAAAGGCTTTGTAACGGATGAAAATGTGCGGAAGTATTTCAATTGGGTGCCGCGATAGTCTTTCAATAATCGTCGTATGCCGGATCCAGTTCTTATGATAGGATGAGCCACGGACTGGAATTAGGGCTAGGGTCTGGGACTCAACTAAATTCCGGGATCGGTAGAGCTGCAGTCCGTTATGACCCGGAGGAGGAATGCGCCGCGATGAGTTCCTCCGTGCTTGATCCACCCTGGGATTGATGGATAGTGCCTCAGAGGTAGACAGTGTCGTCTAGAGTTGTGGTCAACGATCTTCGAGCAAATCCGGGGGTGTGCCGGAATCGCAGCCGCTGATTGGCCGACGGGCCGGAGTATAAGGGGGGGTCACATGTTGGCCAGCGACGCTCTCACTTGTCGATCGTCCATCGCCGCTTCTGCTGCTCCTCCACCTGCATCGTCTTCATGCTCTCCGGATTTCCCTCGGCGGGCCCTCGTGTGTTGCTGATAGGGTGTCAGGCACGGTTCGCCGCAACGGAGGCATGGTCCGAAGGTTCCCTGCTAACTCCTTCTGCCCATTGACTAGGCAGGATGCGGCCTCATGTTTGAGCTTATTGCCTCTGTAGAGGGGTCCCGCTGGGGCATGCGACGATGTTCATATCCTTTGCGCAATACTATGGTGGCGAGGGATGCGGTGGATAGTCAAAAAGAGGGCATTCCCTCTCTCAGTCCTAACTTCTATCCGTCCAGTGACTCCCAATTCTCAATTGCACCCGAGCAACTCCGGCTTGTTGCCTTCCTTCTTCTTTCGCCATGGACATCCTCCGGAATAGCAGCCCGGTGGGCGAGCTGATAAATCGCATGGATTGGCAGCATGTCTACATCGCAACCACGGCCTTCCTGGTTACCGCGCTCGTGGCCGTGGTTCTGTTCCTTTCATCCTACAAGGGTCAGATCAACTATAACAGTGGGATCTTCCCCTACGTGAAATTCATCTACGCCAATTTCCTCAAGCCTCACCGGAAGAGCGGGGACGGTCAGCAAGATGCGTTGGAGAGCTTTTATAAAACACAGGTATGAACAATGGCTCGTCAGCTGGTGTCCATAGGTGCGCTGACAGGACTCCAGGCCGGGGTGTACGATGCCACTCGCAAACGCCTTCTGCGGGGCCGAGAAGATATGCTGGGTCTCGTTGCGGCCCAGCTGAGATTCAAGGTGGAGGATAAGCAGCTGAAGGCCGGGAAAGCCGTCTGGGTTGATGTGAGTTGTTCGGACATTCCTTTCACTGCGGATTATCTAGAGAGCTCTTGCTAACTTTTCAGATTGGCGGAGGAACCGGGTGAGCGTTGACAAGACCAGACACATATTGACTCAATTCCTCTGACTGGGATTCTAGATATAATATTGAGGCCATGGCAGAGTTTCTGCCCGTCCATACCTTCTTCTCGCAGGTATATCTCGTCGATCTCTCTCCTTCTCTCTGCGAAGTGGCCCGAGAACGGTTCCGACGATTGGGGTGGAAGAACATCAGCGTGGTCTGCCAGGATGCACGGTCATTCCGCTTGCCAGACGAGGACCACGTCGACCCCCGGGCAAAATCCACTCCCGCAGACATCGGTGCGGACGTGGTCACCATGAGTTACAGTTTGTCCATGATACCCGGTTAGTTGTTGCTCTCACCCCCTGTCTGGGACTGAGTGTTGACCCAATCTAGACTACTATAGTGTGGTCGATTCCTTGACAGACTTGCTGAAACCATCCGGCCTTCTCGGTGTTTGCGACTTTTACGGTAGGTGTCCCTCATTGAAGGCATAGATGGCCACTGACTAGTTCAACAGTCCAGAGCATTGTCGATGTCTCGTCTCGTAACTACATCGGTGGCGCTTTCAACCGTCATGTCAATTGGCTTGGGCGAGTCTTTTGGCGCGCCTGGTTTGATGCAGACCGGGTGAGCCTCGAGGCCGCTCGCCGGGACTATCTAGAATACCGGTTTGGCACGGTTGTTTCTGCCAGCGAAAGAAACTATCTTCTCGGAGGTATCCCCTATTACATCTTCCTCGGCTGTCAGAAAGATATCGCGTCCAGCCAGGCGGGCAGAGATACCATCGAGAAGCTTGATGCCTCCTTCACCGAGTCACCCTACTTGTCCCCTGCCAATCACCAGAAGGAGATGCAGAAGGCTGCAGAGGTCAGCGCACAAGAGGTTCGGTCCAAGGCATACGAGTCAGCTGTGATCAACCTAGGCTCCAACCTTCCACTTCCCTCTTCCTTCTACCAGAACCATCACTACCGGATCTTTTACAATGACCTGCTCCCAAAACACACCCAGTTCGGGAATGAGTACATCTATGCCTTCAATTGGGAGGACCCTCGTGTCGACCACCGGCTTCTCGACATTCAACGTGATGATGTGATCTTGGCTATTACTAGCGCTGGTGATAATATCCTAGACTACCTGCAGAAGAGTCCTCGACGAGTGCACGCAGTTGACTTGAACCCAAACCAAAACCATCTCCTCGAACTCAAGGTGGCTAGCTTCATTGCCCTCAGCCATCGCGATGTTTGGAAGATCTTTGGAGAAGGAAAGCACCCTGAATTCCGCCAGCTGCTGATTTCTCGACTCAGTCCCCACCTGTCAAGTCAAGCGTTCCAATACTGGCTGGAGCACACTCACGTCTTTACATCGAAGTCTGGAAAAGGTCTTTACGAGACCGGTGGATCCCGGCACGCTATCAAAATGGTCCGATATCTGTTCAAGGTGTTCGGTCTTGAGAACCAGGTGCGCCAGCTATGCGATGCCCAAACTCTGGCCGAGCAGCGCCAGATCTGGCCTCGTATTCGTTCAGTCCTGATGAGCAAGCCTCTTCACTGGGCTGTAGTCGGGACCGAGTGGTTCGCATGGAAGGCCGCAGGCGTGCCTCGCAACCAACGTAACATGATCATCGACGATTTCTTCAAGCGAAACGGCTTGACTGCGGATATGAAACAAGCCAAGGACATCAGCGGTCAATCGATCTGGGAATACGTCGTTGACACGCTCGACCCGGTCGTCAAAGACACCCTTATTAGCTCCGACAACTACTTTTATTTCTTGTGTCTCCAAGGCCAATTCTCTCGGAGGCAAGGGAATTCCTACCAAAGAAGCACATCAGATATCTAACAGCTACGCAGATGCCACCCCGCATACCTGTCCCCCAAAGCACATGTGAGGCTATCCTCACCAGGAGCATTCGACGGACTTCGCATCCACACCGACGAGATCAACGAGGTGATCAAGCGCATCACACCGCGAAGTCTAACCATCGCCGTCGTGAGTTACCCATTTAGCCTGATTTCTCCCCAATATATGTACACTCCGTCCTAATTACCCTGACCCCACAGGTCATGGACTCCATGGACTGGTTCGACCCCTCCGGTAGCGACGCCTCCGTCCAAGCCCAGAAGCTCAACCATGCCTTGAAACTCAACGGCCGTATCCTTCTCCGCTCCGCGAGCATCGACCCCTGGTATATTCAGAACTTCGAAGAGAATGGCTTCACGGCGCGACGAGTCGGTGCTCGGTTCCCTGGAACATGCATTGACCGGTATGTTCATACATGTCTTATTCTGCTCCAGCGCAGCGCAATAAAACTAACGGATTGGAAAACAGCGTGAACATGTACGCCTCGACTTGGATCTGCACTAAGACCAAGGAATTGGAACAGTCATCTCTGTCGGATCGATCGATGTCAGCGCTGTCGCTGGGCGACAGTAATGGGAAGAGATCGAATAGCATGGAGCACCTAGAGATATGATTTGATTTGACACGATTTGATACCAGCCTAACTACCCCTTTGCTTTTCTGTTTCTCCGAACCTTGTTCCTTCGTCCAGTATATATCATCATGTTTAAGTTAGGATTCTGTTAGAATTTTTGGCGTGTTTTATATCATCCCCCAATTGGCAGACAGAAGGCAGGAGGTTTGTTTATACCACTAATAGAATTACGATGTCAGTGCTTTAATGACCCATGCGCTAATTTAGTAGACACCCACTCAATCTCCATACAGAAAAAAAAAAAAAAAAAAAAAAAAAAAAAAAAAAAAAAGAGGAACCAATGCATAAAATCATACAGCAGCAGGTCTATATTCAGCTAGCAATAAAGACGAAGTAAAAGAGACGACTACCAATACAACTCTAACCCACGTACATGATTGCAGATCACCCAGGGAATAAGGGACACACAATAAAAAAGGGGGCACAAGATAAAGGAAGAAGACATGGGACTTAAAAAGCTCTGTACAAGTGAATCAATAATATTTCGGCTCATGAAGTCAGGTCACACGAACGGTCATCATATAAAAAATTGAAAGGGATTAGGATCGGCCACGTTTTAGTTCTTTTTTTTCTTCTTCTCCACCTCCCCCTCGTTACACAGCCTCTTCTTTGGCGGATGCGCAAACTCGAGTCTTCCCGTCATTCATCACGAACCGTCAAAGGAGAACCTGGGTAGTTGGAGGCGGTAAGAAAGGAATTATAGTAATAGCATCGATCGAAGTTTAGAAGGAAAAGAAAAAAGCTTCTGAATCGAAATACCCGGAGGGCAATAGGAGAGAACGAGGAAGAGTGGGAGGGTCATAAGAAGGAATCGGATCCATTTATGAACGGCCGTAGCGCGTCTTTCCGAAGGAGAAAGGCACGTAGCGGTACTTGATCATATGCTGGATCTGGCGTCGCACTGTACCCAATGAAGTCAGTAAATCGGCTAGAAGAGATATACAGCGAGGACAGATTGCCAGTTGCAAATGAAGTTGGAATGGAAGGTAGGCGGATACGCACTCGTCAAGACAAACAGGATAATCCAGTAGACGACCAAGACAGGCCAGAAGACGGGAATATCGAAGAAGGTGAACCACGAGCACAGGAAGCCAATGGCGATGGCACGGGTGGCCGAGTGCCAGAACTTGAACTCGGGGAGGCGACGGATGAAGGGCCGGAACTCGTCGTCTTGCTTGGTGGGCAAGCTGGCGGCAGCGTCACCGTCTTCAAGGCCCTCGTCTTGCGTGAGCGACGGGTCAAACTTGGGCTGCAGGAAGAGAAGGAAGAGGTTGAGCAGGTAGATGCCTAGAGTGTATGCGACTGTGGGGACGGATTGCGTGTTAGCTGGCTGCGCGGTGATGTCTTTTCGTCTTTTTCATCTGGTCTTAAATTCCCCGATAAGGAAATATAATGCCGTTGTGGGATTTATTCATGATATGTGCATACCGATGTACCAGCCCTGAGCCAGGACAATTCTCAAAAAGAAGATGACGAGCAGGAGGGCCGTGCCGACCCAGCGATAGACCGTGAAAGGCGTCGAAGCATCGAGGTAGGTTTGGTATTGCTGGAAGTTATTAGCACCAGCGACCATCAATGCCATGACCCGCATAAGCCGGTGCCATGTCTGCACGTCCTTCTAGACCGGCGATTGACTCACTCTGGCAAGTTTCGACGTCTGCGCCGTGACCGCGGTGAACGGAGACTGCTCGGGCTCAGGAACGTCCATGGTGTTGAGGGTGACAAGACGACGGGATGGCCGACAAGGAGAGAGGGAGAGGAGAGAAGAAAGAGAAAGGAAATTCGTCGAGGTCGTTCACACACACTGCAGTCACTCGGCGATAAGAGAGCACAGGATGAGAGACGAGGGAAGCCGATTGCACGAAAGCGTTGGCGACAACAGTCGAACCTCGCAGGAAAAGTGTCCACTGCTGGCGCTAGTCCGTTTTCGGCGCTCCAGCCACTGCGGCTGGCGCACGGCGCTAACCCGTTCCTGGACCCGCTGACTCAGCCTGTTCACGTGCGCGCCTTGCCTCGGGGGAACGGCTCGCTTCGGCATTTTGCGGGGATCATGTCATCATCTATAGTTATAGCTACTTATCTCCTCTCTTCCCCGGACTCCCTCCTCCATTCTCCTCCTCCATTGACCAATCTGAACCGTCATCTCCCCTCTCATCATGTTCGCCCGACAGTGCTCCCGTCTCGTCTCCTCTCGAACCGCAATCCCCTTGACCTCGTACCTGGCCCGCGTGAGACCCTACTCCTCCGCGGCCCCGGCCTACGAGCACATCCTCACATCGAGCCCCAAGGCGGGCGTTGGATTGAGTGAGTGCCATGAGACAATCCGGCCCGATGACAAGATAGAATCTATATTGACCACTCCGCTCGTGACCAGTCACATTAAACCGACCGAAAGCCCTCAATGCGCTCTCCAGCCCTCTCTTCAAGGAGATCAATGACGCCCTGACCAAATACGATGAGGACAAGGACATTGGTGCCATCGTCATCACAGGCAGCGAGAAGGCCTTCGCCGGTACTTTCCCCATTAATATCCCCGTTTAGTCCCTCCGCCCCCTACACCGTCTCAGCCAGATCAATCAACCAATTCTAACCAACATCTTCTCTCCTCCTCCAGCCGGCGCCGACATCAAAGAAATGGCTCCCCTAACCTTCGCCTCCGCCTACACCAACAACTTCATTGCCCCCTGGTCGCACCTCGCCAACGCCATCCGCAAGCCCGTCATCGCCGCCGTCTCGGGCTACGCGCTGGGCGGAGGCTGCGAGCTGGCGCTCATGTGCGACATCATCTACTGCACCAGCGGCGCCACCTTCGGGCAGCCCGAGATCAAGCTCGGCGTGATCCCCGGTGCTGGGGGCTCGCAGCGCCTGACGCGCGCCGTCGGCAAGAGCAAGGCCATGGAGCTGATCCTCACGGGCAAGAACTTCAGCGGCAAGGAGGCCGGCGAGTGGGGCGTCGCCGCGAAGGTCGTCGACGGCGGCAAGGACGAGTTGCTGGCCGAGGCGGTCAAGACGGCTGAGACCATCGCGGGATATAGTCGTGTGGCTGTGCTGGCTGGGAAGGAGGTCGTGAATAAGAGCCAGGAGTTGTCGTTGAAGGAGGGGGTGGAGTATGAGAGGCGGTTGTTCCACGGGCTCTTTGGGAGCAAGGACCAGAAGATTGGTGAGTTTCTTCTTGTGTTTTCCCTCTTGATGGTTTCCAGGGAGTTGCGAACGCCCGGAGATTGATGGCTGACTGACTGGTGGATAGGAATGACGGCATTCGCCGAGAAGAAGAAGCCGGAGTGGTCGAATGAGTAGACGGCCTGCTGTGATTTTTGGCCCAGAAAATAATCGAACTCGTTAGCGACTGTTGATCAGCAATGGTATATTCTTGACTGCAAAGAAAAAGCAAATCCTCGGAATTGATATCGTAAGCGGCCATCGTATTCATTATTGTATTATGTACAGAATTAGGTGTGGTAAGTATACGTGTCAATATTACAAAGATATAGAAAATCAAGCTTGCTTCTCCAGCCCGGCGGTGTCGGTCGGGGCCGGCTTCTGGGTGCGATACTCGTCGACCACGCGGCCCTCGATGGTTTCGTCGAAGACGTCGACCCGCGTGCTGGAGAATTTGCGGGCACTGATTCCCCGCTCGAAGAGCACGTCCAGCTCGGCGAAGGAGCGGCCGTTGGGTTCGGGCACCCGGAAATACGTGTAGATGATGCAGCAGAAGCAGAGGCCTCCCCAGAAGAAGCCGGCGTAGTTGCCCCAGTCCCATGCGCCGGGGTTCAGCATGTACGGCGTCAAGACTCCGCAGATGATGGCGACAATGTTGTACAGGTTGCGGCCGAGGACGACGGTCTTGATCTGAAGTCGTCGGGTGGACAGCTCGGCCACGAGCGAATAGGCCACCGTGCCGACGGTGAGTTGGTAGAACAAGGCCCAGATGACCATCATGGATCCTGTGGCAAGGGACGCCTGCGTTCGGTGCTCATCGGGGACTAGGCCGAGGAATCCCATGACAATCAACATGACGCAGAGACCGCAGAGACCGTATAGATAGAGGGCCCGACGGCCGATTCCCAGGGTCATGAGAAACCATGCGCCGAACACGCCCGCCATGTTGATACCGTACTGGCCCATGGCAAAGGCGTAGGCTTTTGACGTGTCCAAGCCGGCCTGCTTGAGGAAGTAGGTGGAGTAGTTGGAGAAGGAGTTTCCGCTGAGGTTCTGAATGGCCCAAACCATGCACACAATTTCCGTTCGCCGTAGATCGGTACCCTTGAAACAATCCGCGTAGCTGGCACCTCGCGTGATCTTCGCTTCCAATGCCGTAGTGTGGACCATCATCGAGATTGTTTCGTCGGCGTCGAATTCGTTGTCTCGTCGGACACTGGTCAATCGTAACAAGGATTTCTTCGCCTCTTGCGTCTTACCGTTCCGAACAAGCCACCATGGCGATTCGGGAGCGAGGAAGATTCCAATGAGGAGGGGAAGAGGCCACATCCATTGGAGACCGTACGGGATTCGATAGGACCATTCGTCGTCCCGGTCGATCATGGCCGAAATCACACCGACGCCAATCAGCTGTCCCAGGCCCCAGCAGAAATTAACATAGGTCGTGAGGTAACCTCGCAGTGCAACGGGGCAGACTTCGGAGGCATAGGTGACGGTCAGGGTTTGAAAGACGCCCCATGGGATTCCGGCGAGGATTTCGGCAGCGAGCAAAGCCTGGACGTTCGGGGCGGTAAAGAAGATGGCGGTCCATGCCGTGATCAAGATGAGGCAGGCGATGATGGTATAACGATATCCGAAGCGTTCCGAAGCCCAGCCATTGATGAAAAGACCGATAATTTCGCCGACATAAGCACCGTTACTCAAACCTGCTTGCCACTGTAAGAAAGAAACATCCGTTAGCTATGATTGTAGCCACAGGCATGAAGGGAATTAAATTACCCTGGCCGGAACTTCGTAGTCTCCGTTGGCCATCTGCTCGCCGTACTTTTTGCTGAATTGCGGGAAGGCGTAGAAATTGTTGATCAGACTGATGTCGTAGCCCTCCATGACAATACACGTGGAGATAAGGATACTCCATGCGACGGCCTTCGGATAGAGTTTGATCCCTTGCAGCAGGGTCATGTTCTGCTCCTTATCCGTGGCCGCCTTTGCATTTTCCACAATCTTGGCCACAGACGACGAGTCCCGGTGATCGTCTGACGCGCGATCAACGGGGGCAATGGCATCCTGAGCCTTGGAGGCAGCCATGGTGGCAGGCAATTGCAGGCCCCGAAGGGGAGAGAAGAAAAAAAAATAAAAAGAAGAAAAAGACGAAGACCACGATCCTCGCAAGAAGAGAAGGCAACGAGACGACGAAAAACAAAAAAGAGTTGTCACGACTCACGACGTTTCCGCACCCGGCGATTGCGAGTGGGACGGAGGGCGATAGAAATTTATGGCCGCAGCGGGGCCGCCGGAGGTCTGGTTAACAAAATCCCCACAATGCCCCCTGCCCTGCTCTGGACGCCAGGAACATGCCCCGAATGGTCCGCACGGTGCCAGGATTGCGATGCTAGTGAGGAAGAGGTTAAAGAAGACGGCCGGAGAAAAGTCAGAAGGACGGACTGGAGAGAAAGGCCACGAGACTGGCGGGTTGCATTGCGGGGAAAACGGAGGGATTGCAATTTGAGTGGACGCACAGAGAGGCAGATCGGCCAAGCCGTCTAATTTCCGTTAGCAATCCGTCCAGACCGCGGTCTTTGGTTTTTGATGCGTCTTGACTGGCTGGAGGGGAGAGTCCGGGGGAGAGAAGAAGGCGACGCTGCCCTGAGGTGAGCCGCTGGCGATGCTCGAACGAGACGCGACTGTCACTGACTTGTCACTGACACTGTCACCTGACACGACCACTTTATTCTCGGGTTTAAACTCTTTATCTCTAGTCTTTCTATCTCCATGCACCGTCCTCTCATGCTGCCCTCGACGCCTGCAACGCCGCCGCCACGGCCACGTACGATCCCTGCCTCACATCCTCCAAGATCCCTGCTGCCGTCGGGGCCCATCCCAGAACTTTCTTCGCCTTGGCCGCCGATGCATTATTCTCCGTCGACAAGAACCCCGTCACAAACTCGCCCAGTTGGCCCGCCGCCTCGCTCGAAGGCATGGAGCGAACAGGTAGACCCATGATCTCGCCCATGGCCTCCGTCAACTGCCGGTACGTCACCGTGCTCGACACGGCGTTGAAGACCTCCCCGGTCTCTGCCTTCTCCGCAGCCAGGAGATACAATTCCGCCGCCTCGTCCACATGCACCGCCGAAGTCACCGCCGCGCCGTCGTCGATGTACACGGCCTCCCCGGACTGCGCAAACATCTGCATGAACAGTCGCACGCCGCTACCGCCCCGCCCGTAGACGAAAGGCGCCAGTCGAAGCGCAGACACCTTGATGCCCTTCTCGCTTAGCTTCAGCGAATTCTGCTCCGACTTGATCCGGTCATTCAGAGGCTTCTCGTTGAGCGGCGACTCTTCCGTCGTTTCGGCCCCCGTGGCCGCAACCACTAGCGTGCCGGAGGTCGCCACCAGTGGCTTATTGCTTCCTTCCATGCCAGCCGCAAAGGCGCTAATAGCGCTGGCGTCGATGCGCAAGACCTCGTCGTAGCTGTTTTGGAACCCGGCGAAGGCATCCGCTAGGTGAAGGACGATGTCAGCACTGGCGCTTTGCTCGCGCAGAACGTCCACCGATGTGAGGTCCCCGCGGACGGGCACTATGCCCTGTGCGCTCAGTTTGGCATCGCTGGCTTCGGTGCGCGAGAGACCGTAGACTTCGTAGCCTCGGGCGAGGGCCTTTTGAGCGACCATGGACCCAACGTAGCCGCTGGCGCCGGTCATGAAGATTCGTTGTCCAGCCATGGTGAGAGGAGTGAGGAGGGTAGAACGGAGGAATTGATTGGGTTTGAATGTGCTTTTTCGTCTGCTATTTCAGACTGAAGAACGGCATTGTGCAGCCTTATAAGTTGGGGATAGTGGTTTACATCCGAAGTATGTACTTGGGGCTGATTCTGGCGGACTTAACCAATAACCAGTAAACTCCGGTCAAGTCGGTGATAAGCAATGACCGAACCTACGATCCCATTCGGTATCGTTAACTCCTTGTTCTTTGCAATGTCATCTCGCTAGCTATTGCTGAGGAGATATTATGGACATAACAAGAAATGGCCATTGCTTAGGGCTGTATCTGTACAAAGCGGAAATGTCTTCCGGGGGTCGTGCCAGGCTAATGGCCCTATTAAACCCTCAATTGAGATACATTGGTCCAGGACAACAGAAGAGCCCTCCTGTAGGCTCAGGGTCATCGCCTATCTCGTAAGTTGAAGACTGGTGACAGGCTGCTGGCATCGTAAAGTAGGACCGGAGTTAAGGTCCCGGCCTTGGCTCATCTCGCGGCAAAGCTTGACCAGACGGCGCTTATTTTTATTGTTATTTTTAGTTTTTTTATTGTTTTGCATTGGATTGGATTACATCATTCTAGACTATGAATACTGCATGCATAGAATCATCTGTCTTGGTATAACTCCGTCGGCCAAATCGCGCCTTGCCGAACCCTCGCGCTGCCCGAAGATGGTCGAGAGATCGGCATCGCTTCACAGTCACCGACCAGACATGAGAAATTATCGCTCTAGGGACTTGTCGCTCCCAGACCAGCGATCACCCCGGAGGCTATATAAATGAGTGCCTCTTCTCTGTCGATACGAACATGTCACTACTATTGAGGCAATCCATGCCCAGACTGCTGTTCAGCCCTACCCGTCAACTGCTCCACCGGCCCATCTATCGAAGTATATCCAACATGCCGGAATATCTCGACCTACCCGTCTTGCCCGCTGATATCGCCTTCGGTCTGGTGGCCGATTACGAGGCAGACCAACATCCTCAGAAGGTTTCCCTGGTAGCTGGGGCCTACCGCGATGCGAAAGGATTACCCTGGATCCTCCCCAGCGTGAAGCAAGTACGAGAGACATACTCATCCTCCAAATCTACAGCTCTAGCTCTACAGACTACTCGACGCTAATCATATACAGGCCAAAGAGCGCATCGCCGCCGATCCCGCCTCCAACCACGAGTATCTCGGCATCGCCGGGTCCCCGACATACCTGGAACTGGCCAAATCGCTCGTCTTCGGATCTGAGCTGACGGGAAGCCGCAACATCGCCAGTATCCAGACGGTGTCGGGCACGGGCGCCAACCACGTCGGGGCGCTCTTTCTGGCGCAGTCCCTCAAGCCGTCGCAGGTGTTCATCCCCGACCCGACCTGGCTCAACCACAAGACCATCTGGACGCAGGCCGGCCCTCACGTCGTCCAGAAAGAGTACCCCTATTACTCGGCGGACAGGCGCGCGATCGACTTTGACGACATGATATCGACGCTCGAGACGCAGGCCCAGCCACGCGACGTAGTGATCCTGCAGGCGTGTGCGCATAATCCCACGGGACTAGATCTCTCGCGTGACCAGTGGCGCCAAGTGGCGGACGTGGTGGCGCGCAAGAAACTCTTCGCTCTGTTCGATAGTGCCTATCAAGGGTTTGCCACGGGTGACGTGGAAGCGGACGTGTGGTCGGTGCGCTACTTTACGGAGAGGCTGTTCGCCGGGCAGGAGGATCATCCGGGACTGTGCGTGGCGCAGTCGTTCTCGAAGAATTTCGGACTGTACGGGGAGAGGGTGGGAGCGCTGCATTTGGTGACGCCCGCAAACCTTTCCCTGCACGGGGCAAGATCGCATCTGTCGCTGATGGCTCGCGCGGAGTATTCGAATCCGCCCCGATTCGGATCTCGGATTGTAGAGACGGTGCTGGGGGATGAGGAGCTCAGGGCCCAGTGGCGGCAGGATTTGGACACGATGAGCGCGAGGATCCGGGGGATACGCGGGCAGCTACGCCGGAAGTTGGAGGCGTTGGGAACGCCGGGGGACTGGTCTCATATCGAGGAGCAAATCGGCATGTTCAGTTACACAGGCCTCAAGAAGGAGCAGGTCGAGCGGTTGAAGACTGAGTACCATGTGTATCTGCTGCCGTCTGGTAGGGCCAGTCTCTGCGGGCTGAACGAAGACAACGTCGAGTATGTGGCTCGGGCGATCAGCGACGTTGTCAGGCGATCGGGGTAATTGACAGAATATTGTCCGACGCCGCCACGGCGTCATCTTCCTCGCATCATCCATGAATTCATGAATTGAATTCGGTTTCGTCGACGTTGGCTGCCGTTAGTCAGAAATGACGTAGCCTGTAGAACACAACCGCCCGGCAGTATTTCAGGGCGACGCTGGTCAACGATCCTTCATCTCTTCCTCCCTCTTACATCCATCCCTGAATGCACAAGTGAATCTTCCTCAAGAATTACCTCTTTGAACACATCTCAAACTACCACAATGTCGAGTGACAAGAACAACGGCTGTAAGTCCAGGCACTCGCCATTTCTGCACCCCGCATGGCACCCAGGCATCCCGAATAGTCTCAGTCGCTAACGGGTACATCTTCTAGCCGGTTTCCTGGGTGGTCTCGGAAATGGCCTCGGTAAGACTGTCACCGGCGTGACGGGCACCCTGGGCAGCGCGGTCGGCGGCCTGGGACGAACCGTCGGCGGAGTCACCGAAGGCATCGGACGGACGGTCAGCGGAGCCGGCGAAAGCCTCGAGGGCACGACCAAGAACGTGGGCGAGTCGGCGGGAAACACTTTCAAGAGTGACAGTGGCAAGAAATAGGGAGTCCCGACGTTCCCCGAGGTGGCTCTGTATTTTATTACGACGATGTTCATTTATTCTGCTCCGATAGTGTTTATATTAATTCCCTTCACGCGCTAGGTTGAACCTGATGTGAATGTCGATGTCTTGTATAGTCAATCAAGTGTGGTTCATTCTTCAATCCTACCATTATTATCTCCATTCTTATTAGTATCCAAAAGGGCTGCAGGCGGGGAAATTCTTCCGCAGCGGAATGTGGAGCTTCCCGCCGATTGTCTTGTCTGTGATTGATGATTGACAGTGGGAGCTCCAACCCGTTATGGAGTAGAAAATGAGTACCTCCTCCGTAGTACGGCGCAGGTACTAGTAGTAGATGGACGTCGGCAGGATGGGGTCAGCACATCGGACGGCTGGCCGGGTCCATTGACTAAGATGGGATGACGAGGCCGACGGGAGTTTCACGGGCCGTCAATCTGGATCGTAAGGTGCGTGATTTCTGGGAAGGGGGAATTGGATGAATGATCTACTCTCACCTGAAAGTAGGAGTACTGTCCAAATGTCCATACTCCATAGACTCATGATTGACTCGAGATATACTTCGGAGTAAATAAGACATGTGTACCTGAATTGGGGAAACAAGCACCCTGATTGGCCTGGCGACATGCGGGGTAGATCGATTTATTGCCTTCCTATTCTTTCTTTCCCCTGTTTTGGCAGGTGTCCTGGCAGTCCATTCCATCCAGGTGCAGGACGGCTGAATGCATCTAGATCCCTGGATTGTAGTAATCAAGTCGTCGGAGCAATTGACTCCGCGCGGTGACCTGCCCCCCGACGTGCCTGGGTGCCTGGGTGCCTGGGTGCCTGGGTGCCTGCCGACGTCATCGCCTAATTGATCGCCCGTCATTGGCCGAAGCTCTGCGGGATCCATCCGAGAGCTTTTTATTTTCTTGTTTAATTATTATTTTCTAATTTCTATGCATCATTTCTTTCGTTCTTTTTTTCTCCAATTAACACGTTCCTTTTACTATTTCTTCAATCCCTCCCCACTCCCCCCGGGTTACTATATAAACCCCCCCCGCAGTCTTTTTCTCCTTCTCCTTCCTTACCTCTCTTCACTCCGTATATTCCTTCATCTCCTTCTCTACCTCCCTTCCACTATGGGTCAAGACGACGAGCCGAGTATGTCTCATCCTTTCCAATTGACGAATACACAATACCTAATATCGCCCTGTCTAGAGACCTACCGGTACAATGAGACTCCGGTCTACACCACGTCCAATGGCTGCCCTGTCATGGACCCCCAGGCGTCCCAGCGCGTCGGCCGTAATGGCCCCCTTCTGCTGCAAGACTTTCACTTGATTGACCTGCTGGCCCACTTTGACCGCGAGAGGATCCCCGAGCGCGTGGTTCACGCCAAGGGTGCCGGTGCGTACGGCGAGTTCGAGGTCATCGACGACATTAGCGACATCACCGTCGTCGACATGCTCAAGGGCATCGGCAAGAAGACCAAGCTCTTCACCCGTTTCTCGACCGTCGGCGGCGAGAAGGGCTCCCCCGACAGTGCTCGCGACCCCCGCGGGTTCGCCATCAAGTTCTACACCGAGGAGGGCAACTGGGACTGGGTCTTCAACAACACTCCCGTCTTCTTCCTGCGCGACCCCGCCAAGTTCCCCATCTTCATCCACACCCAGAAGCGGAACCCCCAGACCAACCTGAAGGACGCCACCATGTTCTGGGACTACCTGTCCACCCACCACGAGGCTGTCCACCAGGTCATGCATCTCTTCAGCGACCGCGGCACCCCCTACTCCTACCGCCATATGAACGGCTACTCCGGTCACACCTACAAGTGGACCAAGCCGGACGGCACCTTCAACTACGTGCAGATCCACTGCAAGACCGACCAGGGCAACAAGACCTTCAACAACGAGGAGGCCGGCCGCTTGGCGTCCGAGAACCCGGACTGGCACACGCAGGACCTGTTCGACGCCATCAAGCGCGGCGAGAACCCCTCGTGGACCTGCTACGTGCAGGTGCTGAGCCCCGAGCAGGCCGAAAAGTTCCGCTGGAGCGTCTTCGACCTGACCAAGGTCTGGCCCCAGAGCGAGGTGCCCCTGCGCCGCTTCGGCCGCTTCACCCTCAACCGCAACCCCGAGAACTACTTCGCCGAGGTCGAGCAGGCCGCCTTCTCGCCCTCGCACATGGTCCCCGGTGTCGAGCCCTCCGCCGACCCCGTCCTGCAGTCCCGCCTGTTCTCCTACCCGGACACCCACCGCCACCGTCTGGGCGGCAACTACGAGCAGATCCCCGTCAACTGCCCCATGCGCGCCTTCAGCCCCTGGCACCGCGACGGCGCCATGAACGTCAGCGGCAACTACGGCGCCAACCCCAACTACCCGTCCAGCTTCCGCCCGCTGCGCTACGAGCCCGTCAAGGCCAGCCAAGAGCACGAGCAGTGGGCCGGCGGCGTCGTCGCCGAGCAGTTCCCCGTCACCGCCGAGGACTACGTCCAGGCCAACGGTCTCTGGCAGGTCCTGGGCCGCCAGCCCGGCCAGCAGGAGGCCTTCGTGCACAACGTCTCCGGTCATCTGTGCAATGCCCACGAGCGAGTCCGCAAGGCCACTTACGAGATGTTCCGTCGGGTCAACGCCGACTTGGGCGCGCGTCTCGAGAAGGCCACCGAGGCGATTGCCACCGACGCGAAGTCCGCTCGGTTGTAAACCAGATGCCCCCCTTGCTAAAACTCTACGCTGTAAAAAGGGGAGGGGGGGGAAGCTGAGAGCCAGTCACGGATGTAATATTCTAGTACGACCTAATGAATCCCAAATGATACCTTACATTCTTCACCTAATCAGTCTACCTGGTGGCCAAGCCCACCTAATGTCAATGCCTCACCAGGTAGATCAAATCAATTGATTGAATCACAACCACAGCAATTGTAGAAGTCAGTTGTCGTAATAATACCGGCCCTGCTAGGCAGAGGCGTCCGAGGAAGAGAGGGTAAGTGGTAACCAAGGAAGAGCTTTCCAAAATGAATTGCCTAAATGTGACCAAAACGCCCGAAACGGAAATCCAAAGCAAAGAAAAGAAGGAAGGAAAAAGGCACGCCCGCTTAGCTTGGGAACAATGTAGTGATGACGGATGGCTGATGATGGTTCGTAGACGGTCATGTCGATTCTAGTACAGTAACGGCGGCACACAGATAAATGTGTTCTTTATATAACCGTGTGGTCAAGAGAGTGATAGTCCTTGCCGGACGCGGGGTGGTGATTTTCGGTCTTTGGTCTGAGAGCGAAGTCCCAAGTGTGGAGGGAGGCCAGATGTAGAAGTCTGTTTGGTCTGTCTATTGATCATGGAGGCGTGGTGATAGGATGGGTGCTGAGTGCTGATGTGTCCCAGCAGCCCCAGAAGAGCCCTGGCGTCTGGCAGGTTGAGGTAAGACTAGGGGGAGGAGTCTGGAGAGCGGTCGTCGAGCTGGTGGCGTCACGGCAGCCAAACCATCCCGGGTGATGGCACTTGCTTAACGAGGTTTTCGTTGGCATCGTCGAGGTGACTGTGGGGGCCGGTGCGGCGGCTGTAGTGGTTTCCTGGTCTTTGCACCCGAACCATCCTGGTGTTTTGCACGTCGATGTCGATGTTGACGCCGATGCTTCGGTAGTAGTGACGGCGGAGGATGTGGTGGTGGTGGTGGTGGTGGTCGTCGTCGTCTTGTCCTTGCATCCAAACCAACCTGGGGTCTTACAGGTCGATGTAGACGTCGAGGTAGTAGTCGCAGTAGTAGTAGGCGCGGTCGTAGTAGTGCTTTCGTCTAGGCAGCCCCACCATCCAGGAGTTTTGCACGTCGACGTGCTTGAAGTGGTCGAAGTGCTCGTCGCAGATGTCGTGGAGCTCGTGGTCGTCTCTGAGCCATTACTACGGAAGTATTTCCACAACTCGCAATCGTAGCACTCCTCCTCTGCTGCACAAGGAGGAACATCATCATAGACTTTGATGACATCGGAGATGACCGCTTTAATCCGATGGGTTCCAAGTCCAACGCGCCAGCCTTTGTCTCCCACGGTATCGTAGACACACATCTGACCCGTGTGACACGCAGACTCCATGGCATAACCGCCCCATGTACAGACAGAGCTCACTCCGTTACACGTCCCCATGTATATGGGGTCTGCGGTGTGTCCAAAATGGTAGGCCCCGGTGAACTGCCGTGATTGAGGGAGCCTTGCATCATGGCCAGGAGGGCTTGGGAGGCCGAGACGGGCTGCTGGTAGGGCTTCAGGGACGGCTTCAAACGTGACGACAGGCAATCCGTAGGTCAAGCCAAGCAAGCTGGTCATGGCTCCGCCCAGAGAGTGACCAGTGAGCCAAACGTTGGCTTCGGGATATATTTCGGTGACGTTGGCGTAAAGGTCCAGTGCGGCGCGGTAGTAGCGGTTTTCGTCATGCATAGCTTCAACGATGCAGGTTATGTTGGCCGTAAATGCCGACTTCTGACAGTCACATACTTGGCGCCACAGGTACGATCCACCTTGTCCGCAACAGCAACTAAAGAACAAGTTGTCATTTACTTTGTCATTCGTGGTCGTGCCGGCGCCATCAAAAAGGGCAGGTGAGGTCCCTTTCAGGGATATGACGATAGTGCTGTTTGTCTCATCCGCATAGATATGACCCCTAAGGCCGTCGTTGCCCCAACCGAAGCTCGACGAGTAATTGAACGAGCCATTAACATCCTGCCAATCTTCACTCCCGGGTTCCTCGATATAATCATTTGCCGTCATCTGGGCGAAGGTAAGAACGCTCCTTTTCTTCGAGACATCGGGGCCGGCGAGCGTATCCATGACCCATGCCGACGGGGAGAGGACGCTTGCCGATCCGCTAGATCGCGCGGCCATCAAGTGTTCCTCGATTATCATTGGTCGACGATCGGCAAGGCGTTGGATTGTAACCGGCTGGGACGAGGCAATTAACGGGGACTTGATATCAACGGGCTCTTTCTCGAGTCCGTCTTCGGACACGGTCCAAAGGCGAGTATCGGGCTTGACATCAAGGCGCATGTGGAGATCGGGCTGTTCATACGTGCCGCGGTGGAAGAGGTGGCGAAGAGTCTAGAATCAATAGACATCAGAAGAGGATCAGCTGAGCACGACAGGATGTGTCCGACGTACAAACTCATGTTCCCCGGACAGTGGAGGCTGATTCCCTACCAGGGGAATCTGTGGACCAAGGAAGGGAGACCATTCACGGGAACCGAAGTATACAGGCCGAGAGGCGGTGGAGAGGCTTGAAAGGAAGGTAGCACACAAAAGAAGACTAGAGAGACCCATCCCCGACAAGTGACGCTTCTTGTTCCGCTTCTGAGAGCGTTCCATAATGATAAAAGGACGATCAGGGATGTTGGGGATGACAGGTGAGAGGCGAGAGGCAGCAGGAGAGGGAGAGTCTGGCCCAGCGCTGGTTATCAGTTGGGGACGAATGACTTATCGGGCGGTGACACAATGCGGAGGGCCGCACACGTGATCGGCGGGACGCGTGACGGGCAGTCACGGGAAACGATGCTACGCTGCGGTCCCGTGTACGTTCTCGGAGACTGACTTGACCGGCATGTTCGATCGTGACAAATAGTATCAGCTGAAACACTCCATTCCCTGACATCCCCTTCACCCTGTACGCCGGGGGTCCCCGAATACATTCCGATAGCCACTATTGCCTCATACGTTCCGCGATCTGCATCGGCCGATCACCTGAATCCCATCGCGCTGCCGCAAGCCGGATTACTATCCGATCAGGCGCAGGTTAGCCTGGTCAAACAAGCCATGTCTTCTGGTGCCCCTGACAATGGCCCTGACAAGCCTCGTTTGCACTCTGCCCGCTCGTTCCCCAGGATGGACAATGCAGACATGAGCCCTCTGGCTCGCTCGAGAGCTAAAACTGTACAGTCGGTGGCCATAACGGAGTCAGTCGCCCCTGACGCACTTCCATTGTCGACAAATGAAGATGGGCAGGATTCTGGCCCAGATGTCTTTGAGAAAGCGGCATCTCCGGAGGTGGGACTGGGTGAAGATGGACAACAGGAAGAGGAGGGCTCTGTTCTGTCCCGGAGCATTCAGGGACAGCCGGAAGAGTTACCGATCGAGCTGGCTAGCTTAACTGATCGGTAGGTTCAGCCTTCTTCTTTTCACTCTTCGCTTGCTCTGCCCGGCGAAGCAACATTGTAGTGTCGTAGCTGACTCCGTCCCTCGCTAGATTCGTGAACTCATTGAGCGCCAAAGTCCATTCCTCCCCTCCTACAATCGACAAGATATCCAACCTCTACCAGGAATTTTACATCAAGGCAGAATCTCATATCGCTACGCACATATCTGCTCTTGCCTCTCGAATAAATCGCGATCCCGGCCCACTGCCATCCGGCAATACCCCGTCGAAAGCGAAGAATAAGGACGGCGAAAATGTCACTCCTGGCCGACAAATGTTGACTGCTTCCGAAGTTACGGAAAAAAGACAGGCGCGGAAGCTACTCTCTTCCAAGCGCCTCGCTCTAGAAGAAGCAGTGGAACGACGAGCTTGTGAAAGTATTTATGACAAATTATGGAGACACAAAAGCACGCTCGACGAGGTCAGGGATGAGAAACTGCGCTCGAAGACAGCGGCCTTGCTCCTTGTTGGAATCAATCTCAAAGACCTGGGAGTGGATGTTGATATGACAAGTATCAGTCCGGAAAGACAGAAAGAGGTGGACGAGGGTCTCTCGCTTGCTCGTGATTATCTCGCGAAGATGGACCAAGAAAAATTTCCCCTAGGAAAGCTTCAACATCTCGCAGCTGCCCACAAGGCGATAGTAGATGCCTTGACCAAATTACTGCCTTCTTCTTCCTCTGCCGATGAGATCTTACCCACCTTGATCTACTCGCTTGTCACATGCCCGCCTGAGGGCATCAACATCATCAGCAATCTCTATTTCATCCAGCGGTTCAGGTCGTCGGGCAAAATTGATGGTGAAACGGCATACTGCTTGACGAATCTCGAAGCGGCAATCAGCTTCCTGGAAAATGTGGACCTTTCCGAACTTCGCTCGGAAGATCTACCGGAAGGACATACCAAAGCTGCCCTTGAAGCGATGGACCCTCTACCTATCAATAATGAAGCCTCGGTCTCCTCTGCTCAAGCTGATGCATCTGGCGAGTTCTCGAAACCATCCGGCAAGGAGAGTGCCTCCAATACCTTTCCCCGTCGTCATAACCCTGCTTCAACCCAGCAACGCCTTAACAACATATTTCAACCGCCTTCGAAAGTGCTTGGGGCAGCGAACGATGCTGTGCGCAATACCGCGGACCAGGGTTTGAAGAACATCGGTGCATCACTTGACAGTAGCTTCAATTTCTTATTCGGACGGCTGAAAGAATTGCAATCAAGCCAGCCGGCTGGCAAAGAAGGAGGCAATCCTGTCCTGCCAAAAACTCTCGCTGAAGCTCGGCGTCTGGTTACGTCACCAGTTTCTGGCGATCAGAATTCGGCCAAAGAGGACAGTCCGGCGCAATCGACTGCTTCGAATGACCGACCTCCCTTAAGGCGCATCGGCTCGAAGGCCGAGGATGCGTTCCTAGGACTCGTCACAGGCCAAAGAACTCCTCGTGATCGGAGTGTGGACAGTGTTAGGACACAGGGTAGCGGCAGGAAGAATACTGCTGGTACCGGCTCTATCAAAGATGAGCCTTCCCCCGGCTTTTCTCAAGGTCCTGCCGGCTCTGCATCTCAACCCCCCACACCTTTGGAGTCCATGCGGAACTTCGGAAACACTCTCAACCCCCTCAACCATATCCCGGGTATGATAAGAAGCTTCGGACGTCCAGTCCCTGATGGTTCTGGAGGGGTCGCAACGCCTTCTGAGAAGGTAAGATCAGGGCCCGGCTCGCGCGAGGTCTCTTCGGGTAACCCTGCACCGGCTACGAAAATCGACCCTCCCATTCAGCGATTTCTTCAGACCCAAGATGTCAACGAGCTTACCATCGGCGACGTCATCGCGCTACTAGAAGATTACAAGAGAATTTCCGCAGTATTGTTGAAGCAGGACTCCAATTCCAAATGAGCAGCGACCTCCTCTTCACCCCCTTTACACCGGGTTCCTCTTGTCACCTGGTTTTCTATTTCATACTTTTATTTTATGTCGGGATATAACAGCGTTGCGAATCACGGCTACTATAGATCACTCATATCTCTGGCGTTTTATTCACTTTCTGCGTTACACATACCTAAGCCATGGGGATAGTTAGCATCGGTTTGGAGTTAATACATATGACCCATCACAGAATGTCAACATGGACTTGCACAAAGACGCGTAGACTAAATGAACTGGTGGCATTATAAAAGACAACTCGTCTTTGTAGGTAGCTCGTGAGGTACAGGATGCACGCAAACTCGAAATCATCACACATAAACGTTCTGACATAGCCCGAATCTTAACCCCGTGGAAGACATAAAACACGACATCATAGATGTAGTAGACAAGCCGACGAGCACGACACCTCGCAAATCACCAGGATTGAAAGGCATCGCATCGCAGCAAGGACAAGCTGGGCAGACGTGGTACGCTTGCACAATAATTCATGGAGTACGGCCGCGCAGCACCTCCGTTCCGCCTGTTCTCATCCCTTCTAATTTCTTATCGAGATCGGAGGACTGTTCTTCGACGGTGTCATGCCTCCTTTTGATCTCAGCCTCGTAGTTGGCGGCGGTTTTGCGCCGTGCGCGACGGAGATCCTTCATCTGGTTGAGCATCTTGCTGAATTCCTCTATTAATTGGTCGCCACAGTCCTCCCATTCGTCCATGTCCAGGTTAGAAAAATAATCACGGCGTTCTGCATCGGGACTCTCCATTAAGTATGAGATTTTATCTTCAGGCGGGACTTGCGTTGGCGGGGCGGTGGGTGGTGGAGTAGTGGATGGGATGTGGTCGAAGGGTTCGGCTTGAAGTTCAGAGAAGGACTTCTGCCGCAGAACCTCTGGTGGATAGTCAAGATCAAGGTGTCGTTTCTTTGGCTGGATTGGTTCTGGACTAATTCTTCGGACAGAATTGCGTCTCGCAAAGGGGTCATTGATCGGATCTTCGTCATCGAGGGCATCGAGATTTGTCATATCAAACCGATTAAAAGACTGTACGCTACCAGGCCTTCCATAATCCAGGTCAAATAGGCCCTCGTCGTCTCCAGGAGGCTCCGGACTGACAATCGACACGCCTGTCTTCCTGGTCGGTTGCGGTCGGGGGCCAGACGCACGTCGAGTGGGGGTCGATTCCAGCTTGTCGAGAAGGGATGGCTTCGGCGGGCTAAATCTTGTCCTTGGGGTCGTGCTCATGTTATGAGGGAGTGTAATTTTTCTGGGCGCGCTGATGGGTAACGCCTGGTTCGGAGCTCTGGTCTCAGAGATGGACTGGCCGTAAGACGCAGTTTTCATAGGCTCCTCCTGTGCTGGGCTCGTGCTCTTTGGGTACGGCTTTCGGCTTGCGCTCCAGAAATTCTGCAGGCGCTTGCTCAATGGTGCTTCAACGCCTCGGCGTTTTTGGGAGTGGTTGGACTTCGTATCATCGGAATCTTCATCGTCACCCACCACCGAGGTTAACTGGCTCTCATTATCGATGTCGTCCGAATCAAAGCCTGCCGTTTTCAGGGCTCTGTCCCCGAGGTTTTCATACCACTTGGGGTCGTAAGGGCGACGAGTCTGGCGGAAGTGATGCAGAGATTTTGCATGCATGTTCCCATCTGGTCTGTAGTGCTGGGTATTCGTAGCGAGCGGGAATTGGTACGGGACATCATCACCGCCCATGACACTAGTTGCAGCGACGGTAGAGTCATCGATGCCTTCGACATCGGTGTCGAACATGTCTCTTTGCGCAGCATTTTCGGCCGGCGCATGTGCTGGTCCTTGGTACTCGGGCTGCCTATTGGCGTGTGGCGGCAATGACGGCATAAAATTCGTCGATGGAACATCAACTCTTGCCTGGTCAGCCAAGTCTTGCCGCAATTGATGGTTGGGCGCAGCATCATTGATAGGTTGTCGAAGCTGGGTCGCTTCCTTGGAATGTACATAGTCTCCGACCCCCATTGTGAATTAAATTAGGCGGTGACGACAGGGGGAGGAATTGGGCGGGAAATAAGATCATGCAATGGGGATAGTTTGGTTTCCCAGTTCACGATGTGCTAGAAGTGAAGACTCCAGGCCTCCTATAACGGTCTAAGGGGCGGGGCCGTTCATGGTGGTTGGAGAAATCATTTTGGGTGCTGGTCGCAGTTGCCCGATTATCGACACGCGCGGGAACTTTTAAGGCACGCGAGGCTGCCGCGAGGTCACGTGGGGCGGCCTTCACTGCCATCTATGGAACTATATAAGTTTGTCGGAACAGTGTCTATGTGCGCGGCAGTTATGTAGTGGCTACCAAAGCAAGGATCATGCATTCCAAGCGAGGATCCCAGGGATGAATATTTAGCACTTTGGACTACTAATATTAGAATGTCTATATACATGAAGAGTGAATTTTATCATCCATCATCAATCAAAAATGTCATCATCATCAATATGAAACTCCTCCAGAGTAGAAGCCATTCCCTTGCCACGCCTTCTCGATTTCTCAAAAAGCTCCTCCGACCGTTCTATCTCATTTTCCCTCTTGTCGGCCGCTAGTCTCTGCTCTCGTCTGATCTGGATCGAGTCATGAAGGTCGTCTGTCGGCGTCGTCCGTTCATCATCATACTCATCGTTCTCAGGATAAGGCAAGGAAGACACGAACAAGTCCCCGATCCAGAGCGAAACCATGCCCCTGAGCTCCAATAGGTCAGAAGAATCAGAGTATGGAGGAGACATCAGAACTTCGTCCATCCTTGCCGCAATCCTTTGCGCTTCCTCGAGTTCGCTCTTTCTGGCTTCTGCAATGAGAGCCCGCGTTTTATTCCTCGAGCCGCCGTGGCCTTCCAAATCAGATGCTGCATCGTCATCTTCCCAACCCTCCGATGAGTTCTCCTGATGCTCCAGGATCTTTTGGCAAGCAGTTTGGCTCTCTTCCTGGGTGACATAAATCCAGAGCCCGAACATGGCCGGATAAAAGTGCAATGGGCTTATAGCATCTGGATCCACCTTGCGAAATGGATGTTGGATGATTAGTGTCTCGTAATATTGCTTGGCATCTTCGAACCCCTTTCGAGTAAAGAGCATCTTAGATGACTCCGTCGCTTGGGCAGTTCCATCGTCGCCTTGAGGTACGTTTTCGGATGTTTGATGACCGCGTCGGAGCAATATCTCGGCCCCGATGCCCCATCTTCCTTCAGTTCGTACATCAAGTGGGGTGCCATTATACTCCTCGCGAAGAAGCAACCCCCATGCTCTTCCGGCACGAACATAGTCTCTTTGGAGAAGGCAACGATGCAAGATGGATGAGAGAACGCCGAAATGTTGGAGTCGAAGATTACCTTGATGAGCAGCAGACTGCGGGGGATAGATGGGAGATGACAAAGAGGACAGCTCTTTCAGGGTTCTGCCCTGGGTTTGCAGTGGTATGTTCTCATCTTTGGCGGGGCCGTGTGGAAAATTCCCGCCAGGTAGCTCTTGATCGAAAGGAAGACCGGCAACGCGGTACTGATGAGCTTCCTCCGGCGACAATGTCAGCGAGGGGCCGGTAGCTGCCGTCTCTGACGCAGCATCCGTTGTTTCGCCTTCGGTGTCGTTGTCGGTATCGCCCCAATCATCCAGGTCTTTCTTACGTTTCTTCGATTCGAACTGCGCTACGCGCAGACTAACGGGCTGTCGCCATGACGGCAGTGGAAGCGAAAAGGCTGACGCCGAAGGCGTGAATGCCATGGAGCACTCTAGTGTAGCCTTATTATCCCTCTAGGGATGACGAGCTAACGACCATGGAGGCTGGCGGTTAAGGTAGCTGCATGCGCCTAGGTTTTCGGATTGATCGCACTAGTGACCAATGGGTTTTGTTTTTCGCTCTTTTTTTTTGGCGCGCTTTTTGTCTCTGCTCTTTCTTGGAGATTGAATTGATGTCAATTAAATAAAGAGCTCTGGTGAGGGGATAATCTGACGTGTCTAAAAAAGAAATGAAACAAGAGAAATCGAAAGGTGAAAAGTGAAGGGGGAAGATCACCAGCCAAGACCGACAGATCAGATCCGACGGAATCCAGGCAGCCTCAGGCCCCACTCAGCCGGTCCCGATGGAAAAGATACGGGCGGCGGTTGCGCAGGTATTCTGGCAGTACTCCTACCTTGACCGCAGGTACCTCCGTGGTGAGGAAGCAGCAGAGACAGAACCTCGGCCCTAGGTACCAGTACCCGTTCAAAAAGCATCGCGCTGGCGGCCAATCAGCCGGCGGGCAGTGAAGAGGTTCCCTAATCGGGGCAAGGCTGGTCCCGAACGGTGCAAACCCGCCAAACCGTCCAAACCGTCCAAAACATGGCCAAAAGACCCCGTTGAGACTCCGGACTCCGTTATCATCCACCGTCGTCGTCATCGCCGTTTTCCTTTCCTACATCCCCTTCATCCCTCAACTTCCCCTTCCCCCGCGGACCAAGTCGTCAGTTCCCTCCCGTCCCCTACTATTGACTGGCATCCCGACCTGGTTGTCGTGGGGTTCTCTCCAGAAGCCGCTCGAACCCATTCCTCAAACTTCCGACTCCTCTTTACTGTCACGGAGACCGTTGGCACCTGCCGCCCGACGCCCACAATCCAGTCCCTTCTCCATACTCAGCAACTCTACGCTTCGAATTTTCGAAATACGTCGCTCTCGTCATAGCGAATCCTTTTTCGCGATATTAGGCGGCCGAACCGCGTTTATCTTGCTTGGACAATTGATCGATTGAAAAGGCGACAGCCTGGAACCGCTCGCTCTCCAACGCGGGCATCCGGGTCTCCCGGGATATTCAAGTTTGGTATACTGGGTGTTGATATTTACCTGGACTGTCCAATGGTATGTACTTCCCCGATTATGTTTTAGTCCACATCTCTGGTGGACATTATGGATTAGCTGCATGAAACCGGCGTCAAGAAGCGCCGTTGGGGAAGTCATTCACGAGGCCCGTCTGTGTCGTCGCTTTTTCTCTTCTGGGGCCTCTCTTTTTCTCTATGCCCCCTTTTTCTTCTTTCTTCTCCATAATGTCATATCTCCTCGATCTTGCCTTTCTCTTCCCGTGTTGCCTTCTTGTCGCAAGTGATTACTTGTCATCGATCGTCTTACTAATGCGACATTGGTCTTTAGTCATCTAGTTGTCGATGGCAATAGGCGGTTTTCAAATACCCATCCCCACGTCCCGATTCTACACTTGTTACTATGGGACAGTCTTCTTCCACGCAAAGAGACCATCGTCACGACAATCACCTAGAACACATCTTATCTCTGCAGGCAGCCCGTGGTCGGGTTAACAGTGATGCGGACATGAATAACGGGCGCGGCATTGAGCAGACCGGGGACTATGAGCCCCAGTCAGGGCCCGAAATCAACAACAGCGGCATTCAGACTTCCTCTTCCGGTCAACCTACGGAGTCATGGCACCCGTTGGGCTCCCCAGAGCAGCCAGGAACCTCCAGGCATATGGCAAGCATCCAGGAGGAGAACGGGTCACAATATGAATCGAGCCAGCGAGAGTACCGGTCGGCAATATTTGCTCGCATGGCCGCCAGGAGACAGTCCACCATGTCGCGTTTAGGATCAAGGATCTTGCCAAATTCGGTTATCCGTGGGCTTCTCAGCAGCGAAGAAGAAACGCCTGCCGAGGGCCACGCTCATCGACATGGGGTCGTTTCGCGAACCCTCCCACGCTCCGAAGTTAATAATAGTAGTAGTCGCTTCAGCCCGTTCAGCTCTTTTGGCTCAAGGGGTATTTCTAGACGACGTTCGACTCGGGGACCTTACTTCATTCCGCGCAGTGACCCGGGCCTGATTCCGGATACCACTCATTCTTCTACCTTTTTCGATCCCACCACAGACCATGCGCCAGAAAACACGAGGGGATCTTGGCGCCGAAGTGCTCGATTGCACCGTGTGCGACATTCGTTGTCCAGCCCTATCACGCATATGTTTGGTCAGCCGTCCTCGAATATGATCGACCATCCAAGCAGTGTGCAGCAATCACCCATGGATTCAATGTCCAACGAGCCACCACACACTTTCCTTCCGCATCCAGGACCCATGGACACCCGCATGGACTTCGACGAGCCCCACGAACTGGATTCCGTGGAACCTGCCGTGGGAAGCACTCGTCCAACGTCCCCAATGTCATCGCAGTCTGCACAGGGACCAACAGGCCTACGGCAATTCCCCGGCCTTTTACGAGCAAGATCATCTAGGGCTATGCGACGGGAGGAACAGACGCCCCTGTCGCGCGTTCTGCAGCTGGCCGCTGCTGCGATCGCCGCCCAACTTTCCGGTACGACTGGTCCAGTAATGCCTAACATCCAGGCGCTGGGCAACGATGGTTTGGACGGCTCTTTAGAGAACTTCATCCAAAGTCTGCAGCATGCGACGTCGACACAAACAACACCGAATGATTCACCCGGGCCCTCTGGAGACACTGGGAACGGGCCGGCGACACCCGTTAATTTCTTGCGAGTTTTCCGATTTGCCAACTCGGAGAACCCCGGGCCCCTTGGCATGCCGAACCGCTCCGCAGGCGAGTCCGATAACCCTGGCAGAAGTGTGGAAGGGATAGATCTCGAGAACCCCGTGGACGGGCCCGAAGGACGGACTGTCACTCTGGTAGTGGTGGGAGTTCGATCAGTACCATCGGGCAACGGTCCCGGGAGCGACCAGCAGGCAAACGGGGGCCCTGGCCTCGATGCCTTACTCCGTCTGCCGTTTTTGTCTCCAGGAAACCTTTCACGCGGTCCGGAAAATGGCCCTAGTCTTCCACGTGCCGAAGCACGACCAAGATTTGCCGCGCCTAATCGGCATTCCGTGGGGAGTCCCAGCACCCTGACTACCAATGGCGACACTCCTCAACTACAGGGGCAGCAAAGCCCATCTCGACGAATGTCAGACACTGGAGGCCGGGTGCCTCTGTCATCCGTCCCTTCTGTGCTCTCGGAAAGTCCTCCCGGTCCTCATCCTCCTCCATCCACACCGGCCGAGCCAGGACTCTCGGCAGTCTCATCAGGAGCTTCAACCCCGAGCCGTAGGCCATCCTCCGCATCGATGATGCCTCCAAGCGTCCTGCCACAGCTTGACGAGAACCGCGCAATGCAGCCTACGGTTGAAGTTGACGAAAACCCGCCTTTTGCCGCATCGCACCAGCGACGTCGAAGCGATTCCGAATATGCTCGCCATCGTGATCTGGGTTCCGGGGCGGTCCGGCGCAATGGCGTCGTCGAACCCGACCATGCGCCACCCCCTGCTGGCAGAAGCTGGTTGATCTACGTTGTTGGTACCAATCTTTCGGAGAACCACCCTGCGTTTGCAACCCCCAGCCTTTTCACCGACGTGAGTTCGACTCCATCCCTTCTTGTACCGCGCACCGCTCTTACTGACCTGACCCTGCAGAACCCGACCTATGAGGACATGATCCTGCTTTCATCTCTCTTGGGGCCCGTGAAACCCCCCGTTGCCACCCAGGAAGAACTCAGCTCCGCCGGCGGACTGTTCCGTCTCGTGGAATACGGCGGATCGCTCACCGCGGAGGGTTTGGATGGTGCTGGCACCATTCAAGTTCCCGACGGAGATCGATGCCTGATCTGTCTCAGCGACTACGAGGCAGCCGAGGAACTTCGCCAACTGAACAAATGCAAGCATGTCTTCCACCGAGATTGCATAGACCAGGTTCGTCCGATCAGCCCCCGTGGTGAATCTCGCCAGGAACGCACGAGCTAACCTCTTTCAACCAGTGGCTTACCACCGGTCGTAATTCTTGCCCTCTATGTCGAGGCCAGGGCGTTGTCGACTCATCCAACTCGGATCCCGCGACGACTGCCCCGAGCCCTGCGGCTGCTTGAGCAACTCCCCCTTCTTCCTTGGTCTTTTCTACCCTTCCAGACTTCCGAACTATTTCTTTTTAATAGCCCCGAGCCATCTGAGGATTAGCATGAAGCGTCTATTTAGCAGCCTAACGAATTTGTTTATTCCACATATTTTTTTTCCTTTCTCCAAATGGATATCCCGTGCAGCATTGATCTTTCTTTTGTCTCTTCCCCAGCACGCCTCTGTTTTGGTTGTTGGCTGGCCTCCGGGGTCACGAATGCATACAAATTGTCCGGCGTGGCCAGTTGTGTTTCGGTGGCCTGGCAGTCTTTACCATGATGACTCCCTGGGGGGTTCTTGTACTTCATTTTCTATGTGACATACCTTATTGGATATTAAGAATTTATCTGTCTTCCGTGCCAGACTCGTAGTGATCGAGAATTGATACTCTGCAGGGCCCCGCCATCAGCACCCCTCGCGCTGACTCATCGTCAACCCCTCCGCGATCGTCCCGCCGTGCAGAACAGCAGACTTGCCCCGGCGATTTCTGCGATTCAGTCGACCTCCTTTGCCTTTGACCTTTCACTCCTTACCCCCGTCACCTCGTGCAAGATCCGCGGCCAATTGCAGCCAGGCGATCGGTTCCGAAAGAACTTCTCCGCGCACCCCTACGTCATCTCGTCGCAAACGTCACACCCTACGACCTGTCGTTCTATATCCACCTATCTCAGGAAGAAAAGAGAATCAGCTACAATGGCAGCGCCCGTCCGCATCACCGTCCTCATATCCGGAAACGGCTCCAACCTACAGGCGGTCATTGACAAGACGAGCTCCGGCGAGCTCCCCGCAACCATTGTCCGCGTCATCTCGAACCGCAAGGATGCCTACGGCCTCGAGCGCGCCCACAAGGCCAACATCCCGACCCAATACCACAACCTCGTGAAGTACAAGAAGCAATATCCCTCGACGCCCGAGGGCGTCCAGCAGGCGCGGGAAGCCTACGATGCGGAATTGGCGCGGCTGGTGCGGGCTGACAGCCCGGAGCTGGTCTGCTGTCTCGGCTTCATGCACGTGCTCTCGCCGAGGTTCTTGAATCCGCTGGAGGAGGCGAAAATCCGGATCATTAACCTCCATCCTGCCTTGCCCGGGGCGTTTAACGGAGCCGTAAGTCTTCATCCTCATCTTTGTTTTTCTATTGCCCGCCAAGTCTTCCGTCGCTTCTTGCTTCGGCCGGACGGGAATGTATACCCGAATAACCATGCTTTTTAAAATGAATTGTCGGATGAGAGGAGAGAAAAATACGGGACGCTTTCTTGTCGCGATCAAACAATGTCTCATGATTGGATGTTTCGGCCACCCAAGAACATCTACTAATCACTTCCTCGTTATAGAATGCCATTGAGCGGGCTCACGCCGCTTGGCTAGAAGGCAAGATCGACAAGACCGGCGTGATGATCCACAACGTGATCTCGGAGGTCGACATGGGCAAGCCGATTCTGGTGCGAGAAATCCCCTTCGTCAAGGGGGAGGATGAGGACCTAGAAAAATTCGAAGAGAAGGTCCATCGGATCGAGTGGGAGGTTGTGATTGAGGGCGTGCAGCTCACGATCAAGGAGATCAGAGGATGATTCCATTCAGTCTATCATAATATGACAGGGGCTATTCGAACCAAAACCAAAAATTTGCATGAAACTTAAGATGATGATTTAATGATCTCAATACACAGGAAATGCCTCAAGGGACTGTGGAAATTGAAAAGGAACGGTAGGTTCCGTTCGTTGATTTTACAGTCCAACAGTCCAATTCAAAATGAAGGATGATTCTGCATGACGATGGGAACTAATCAGAGCACAGGAAGTCATGGTACGATGCAGAAAACAAAACGAAGATGAAATTAGAAAAAAAGGGATGGGTGGATGATCTCGAATGGCGACAATTCGTAAATTGATTTTTTCTTTTTCTTCTTACCCAATTCTACTCGCTCCACGAAGACTTAATCAATAATACCCTCCTACGGAAGTATCTACACAGGATTCATTCTATGGGACTACGAAAGAAAACGGAGTAATGCCGGCTGGCATGGGTGATATTGGCTCCTGGACGCCTCGAATGGGTCCCTCATAGTTTGACTCATGACCACCATGCCAAGGTGGTATTGTTGAGAAGTTAAAAGTTTCTACTAATCAGACTTACGATTACGATAGCCCCTCTGATCCACGGCGTACGAATGATCAACGCCTAACTGGCAGCGTTCCAGCCAAACAGCCTCGGTGCTGGACGGCATGGTTCTATCCAGTGTCCACAACTCTAGCATCTGGGACGGATCACGGAGACACAAACACCGACTATGGAGCCTGTCTGGATCTGATAAACCAACCATTTCCTTGCATCCAGACCAAAGACAGGGTTTAGAGTCCGAATGGACGGAAACGGAAAGGATGGAGAAAGTCCTCATCACCCTGCATCGTCAGACCCAGTGGATTCTCAAGAGACAACTTTCCCCATCGTGATTCTCAGCTGGGAAGGTGGCCACTAGCCATGACGGCTGCTTAATTAATTCTTGGACGGAGTCAATTAGTGTTAATTAATTAGCAACAGGCTCGGAGACATTTGCCTCACGCTCTGCGGTAGCACAACGCCGCGGAAAAGAGGTCAGAGCCATGGTCCGTTGGCCACCCGGGCGCCGGTTGGCTTCGATGAGAATGGCGATGAACGGCGATGTTGATGAGAATGGCGATGGATGGGTGTTTACTCTCGATTCATGAAGAAAGTACGACAACGCCCCCAAAGGTCTGCCTCAGAGTGACTCCTCTCCCTGTGGCCAATGAGTTAACAGATAATGTAGGGTATCCCGTAAGGTAGACAGACAGGAGCACTACTGCGACTACTCATGCAACATCATCCTTCGAGCCAGACCAGCAACCAACCTTTCATTTCCTGATCTCCCCGGCCCGTTTGGTGAAACGTGTTCAAGCCTCTGTTGATCCGATCTTCATTTGGCGTCGGTGAAACGGCAGGCTGAATGGCCGTTGCCTGACTGTTTACCCGCCTAGAACCACTCCTTATGCTGCTGATGGCCTGCCTTAACTCCGTTGATAGATACCGTGTGGCTGTTCCCTCTTGGCTTCCGTGCCATGAATCATTCAACCGTGGAATGGAGACAGGGAGGCCACTCGGGACGTACTATAGGACGTACTATAGAATGCAACTATGCATCCGGGACTGGGGCCTTTTTTTCCTTCTTCAGCCTGGTACAGACACCAGACCACGCCGGATGGGGCTGGTCTGGTTGAGCAAGACAAGCGGATTTGTCGCCCAGTTCTACTCCGTAATGTGTCCGAGGCCTCCGATAGGATTAAGATTAGGATGAAGGCAAACGGACAAGAACCGTCGGGGGGGAAAGGCTTGCCACCGTTGAGCACCCGGGGAAACCTGCTTACATGGCAATGGGACGTTCATCACACGATGAGTGGGGAGGGAGAAGAACTCCGAAGGGCCCTCAGGTCCTCTCTCTCGTATGATATGTGAAAAATTCCCGCCAGACTAAAGAGAATGGATCCGGAGTCGCGCATTCCCACAACCCTGTGGAGAAGGCTGGAGAGCTGGAGGGACTGAAAAAGAACAAGGGAGAAGAAAAAAAAAATTGGATGGGATCCCATGCCAACCGTGTCCTTTTTTTTTTCCTTCCCACCCTCCTTTCCATGTAGGCTCCGAGGCCTGGTCCTATAGGGAAGCAAAGAAAAAGAGAAAACCGAAAAACACGGTAGGGATCATCTTCTTGACAGACGATAGGCCAACACGACAGACAATCCAACCCAGTCTAGTCCAGACTCAAGAAAGCTCATTTCCCACCAGGGCCAATCCGTTCATATGACGGGCCAATCCGTCGGCAGCTCTACCCACCGAGGATGCTCACGCCGGGCCTCTATTGGATTTTGCCGGGTTGAATGGCACTGGCCGCGGTCATTAATCTGATTTTGCCCCCCGTTGCTCATCTTTTACTGGACCGGTCATGGGGACTGGGTTCCATTGTCCAGTGTGAATGCACTATGCAGTGCATATCTGCTAGCCAATACCGGGTTAGACCACGAATGACTATTGCTATGACGGATCTTGCTGGTTCTATCTGGTATGGTCTGGTCTTGGGATCTTGCCCACATGCCGGGATTGTTCCATTTCCCTAGGCACTTCGTAGACAACCCGACATCCGAGGAGAGGACCAGGGGGGGGAAAGGCATGAATCATGGAGCATCCGGCAGTTCACCGCGGAAAATACCTGATTGGGAGAGTTGAGGGGGGTTTTCCATGCTCGGGGACCACGGTTCTTCCCAAGGAGGACAAGACCAGGACAAGATGGATAGACCGGCAAAAAGAAAGGGAAAAAATCTGATAGAGAGTACCAGACTCTGGCGGTACCACCCCGAATCGACACACAATGGCGCACATACCAGAGACCCTCTTGGCAGCTCATCCCCGTGGGACCGGAGAAGAGAGAAAAAATTAAAAAAAAAATACGAGGACGTCTGTCTCTCGTTGGAATTGTGGACACTGCGGCTTTCCACACCGAGGCCCTTCACTAAATGGCACAGTGAAACCCGAATTCTCATGGGAAACCACTGCCTCCGTCGATCAGGAACATCCGACGGTGCCGATATACTTTCGGCCAAGGGAATGAATTTTCTGAGGGAGTGTCCAACAGCAGGGGAATGTGCAACAACCACCACCACCACCAAGACCCCGTCGTCAAAACATAGTATACACTTACGCAGTGAAGAGAAAGGGGCTGTCAATCATTCCCGGGGAGGAAGTTCCAACCAACCGCCATCAACCATCACCAGCCATCGGCATCAACCAACGATGGCCGACGGCCGCGACAGAAAGGAGCTTTGCTAGTGGCCCGCTGTCAATAATACTGGCGCCTATAGCATTCCATCATTTGTGGTCCACCGCAAGTCCTTTTTCCGGCTCCACTCCGGACGAACGTTTCGGCAAATTTTACCCAGCTGGTCCTGGGTTGTCCGTTTCAGATTTGCCGACGGGGAAATGAATGCTGTTCCGCTGCTTGGTGGACGAGAGAGGGCTGAGTGCTTGACACTGGCAGAGGGTGAGGGAGAAAGAAAGGCCTGGCCTTGAAAGGGGCAGATTGAGATATAAACTTTGGATCAAGTGGAGGGTTGCCACGAGGGTGGTTTTCATTAGGTACTGGATTGGATCTCGTACCCTTTCATTTCCTTCTGGCTTTCTTCTGTCTTTCTTTGTTTGTTGTATGAGGAGGATTCTCGCCGTGACGCTTGCGGTCTGACCTCTCGATGAGATTGACACCGGGATCTTGCTGGCATGCTGTACGATGCACATCCAGCAATCTGATCCCTCCTACGACCCTGGAGAGTGCTCTGTGTGATCGATCACTGCAGGGCCCTCCGACCAGCCCGGGGACCTTCTTCTGCTCGGGGTCCACCAGGGATGATTATTGACCACAGAGTATGATCCAGGATGGATCTGTCCGAGCCAACGGACTGACTAGTCGGCCGTCAGGGGAGAGAGAGAGTTTGCCTCGCTCATGATCCGCCTCTCAACTTCTGCAGCCCGATATGCTTGAAACAAGGAGTGGAGAGCGTCGCCTTGGCTGGCTCCCATCCTCTTCTTTTCCGTTCGGACGGGTTTCTGGATCTCTAGTGCCAGATGCTATCAACGTGGAATCCGCACATACCACCGCTAGTGTCCACTAGCGGGCTCCATCCGCCCATGTCGGAGGCTACTTGACTTCCTATGCCCCGGACATCGTCGCGGTGGTCCAGGGGCGAGGAGTCCATGGAGTCAATGGGAGGGCAAACAATGGACCTGTGCATTTGTGTATCGTATTCGTAGAGCAGCGGAGGTGGTGAGGTCATTTCCACGCTTTGGAACCATGACGATACCCATCCAGAGAAACTCGGGACGATGCCCTGCCGAGCCATTAAATAATGAGATAGAATAACGGAAATAAATGTTTATCACGTCGTGCTGGTCGTTCCGCCGTTGACCGTTTGGCCTGACTGGGATTGGGGACTGATTCGAGTGGTGCATCTTCCCCCGTCAGTTGTACTTTCTGTACTTCTTGTCTTCTTCCTCTTCCTCTTCCTCTTCCTTCTTCCTTCTCTTCCTCTCTTCATCCATCATCCCCCCCCCACGCTCGTTTCCCTTTCATTCTCTCGTTTCTTTTTCCATCTCGTTCGGTCTTCTTTTCCACCGCCAATTCCTCGTCTTCTCTGTTTTTTCTCTCTCCCCTCCCCACGCCCTACCGACTCGGGAGCATGCCACTGGTCGGGGCTCCTACCTTGCGATTTCCTGTGTCCGGCGCTGCCTTCTAACGCTTTCCTCTGCCTGCACCGTCGCCGCGCCAGTCTATGCCGGTCTTTTCGCCGGCAACCCGCCTGGCTCCTTGAATGCAATTCGCGCCATTCCCACCACCATGGCGCATCCGTACCCCCCGCCCCAAGCCTCCTTGACCGGCTATCTGTCGGGTCCGATGCAACACATGCAGGAACCGCCGCTCTCGGCCTACTCCGTGCTGGGGACCGGACAGTATCCGGAGAGCGTCGCGCTGTGGCACAATCCACCCGCGCAACCTCCCCAGCCGGGCCTGCCCATCGCCACTTCGTATCCGCCGGCTCCGAAGCCGCCATCGCTCCTGCAACCGCTCCCGGACCAGAAAAAACACAAACGCACCAGAAGCGGCTGCTTCACCTGCCGATCCCGTCGCATCAAGTGTGACGAGGCCCGTCCCGTCTGTGACAGATGTCGAAAGGGCAATCGCGACTGCGTCTACCCATCCGCCTCCGCCGGCTCCGCCTCCAAAGCCGGATCCCGCTCCGGTGTGAAACCCAAAGCTCCGCGCCCTCAGTCGCAAGGCAGCGACTCGTCCGGCCTGGTCGAACAAGAGGAGGTCCGCGCGCTAGAACCCATTTTGGACGAGGAGGAAGAGGACGAGGACGAGGAAGAAGGGAGCGTGGGTTCGAGCGTGCGGTTATCGCCGGGGACGGGGCCGTCGCCAGCTGCTGCCCGGTCGAAGCAGGCGCTGCCCAAGAAGCAGAGCGCGCAATCTCTGGGGAGGCGCCCGGCAAAACAGCGCGTTGCTACCGCCACCACCGAGGGCCCGGTCTTCGGCAAGGACGCCAGCAGCTCGCCGTCGACAGAGGCGTCGTCCCGGTTCGAGTCGATCAGCGTGCGGTCGGCGAGCATCGGCTTGGCTGCCTACGAGTCGCCTGTGGTCCTGCCCAGTACGGCTCATCTCGCTGAGGATCTGCGGTTCTATCTCTCCTTCCATCAGGAATGCATGTCCTACCGACATTACTTTTTGCGCCCGCCCAGCGATCGGTTCGTCCACCAAAGTATCGTGGAATACGCCTTACGCTATGAGCCTCTGCTGTATGCCGTCGTGGGTTTCGCTGCGTATCATCATTGTGTCCAAACCGGTCGCGGCAAGCTCTACACCTTCCTCAAATATTATAATAAAGCGTTGACGTTGTTGCGAAAGTCCTTGGGTTCCGGGGAGCCGCATTGCGAAGCGACTTTGATCACCGTTCTGGTGCTTACCACTTTCGAGGTCGGTTTTTCCCCCAAATTCTCGTTGACAAGGCCGTCGCATCGAACAAAAAAGGCAGAGGCTGACTGGCTTTATCCAGGAATTCATAGGGGACTGGGTAAATTTAATCGACCACCACCAAGCCGCCCATGCCTTGATGCAGGAGCTGTTAACGCCCGAATCCGCGTGCACCAATCCGCTGCATCATCATATTTTCCTTTGGTATGCCCGATTTGATGTCGTGGCCGGAATTGTGGCCGGCAACGAGACGGTTTTAGGCCGGGAGTGGTACATTGCCAAGGAGGAATACGACGCCGAACAAGCCGCCATGCATCCCGACGATGCGGGAAAACAGCTTGCGTTAGCTGCATCGATCAATAGGCGGTTTGGGCTGGAAATGGCTTCGTTGTATGCTAAGCTATCGCGTGGGATGATCCCGTTTGACCAGTTTGTCGCTCAGAATGATCAATTGGAGCTGAACTTGGACCGCATCAAGCAGATCCTGGATCAGTACAACAATTCGGAGTTTGCGGTCTGGGACTACCCAAACAAGAGGCCTCTCACCGACGAGGATATCGTGGACCCCTACATCCCCGGGAGACTGCATCAAGGTCCCCTGTGGGACATCAACATCGCATGGATCGACTATTACTCCACCAAGGCCATGTTCAAGTACCAGTCACTTCTGTCGGTCAAGAAGTCGTCGTGGGAGGAGCTAGGTAGTCTGGCAATAGAACAGTGCCGCTTGATCGAGGCGATTGAACGGTGGCCAGAAAAGGAGAGCGGGTACATCTTTGCTTTCAAAAACAGTCTGGGGATGGCGAGTCTATTTTCTCCCAAGGATGATAAGCACGTCATGTGGAGTCGGAGGAAGTTCGCTCTCATGGAGCAAAACGGGTACGTTCGACTTGACTGGGGGACGAAATTCTGACATGCAAGCTGACCTCGTTCTTTCAAGATACGTGACTCCGCCCAAATTCCGACAGGCTCTGGCCGCAGTGTGGCAGTTGCCCGAGCTGAACCACTGGTGGCTTCCGCACGATGAGGGCTATCCGAACATCCTGCGCGAGGTCCGCGCGATGACCGAGGAGCGAACGAACAACCCGCGAGATAACTTCCGCGAGAGCGTACGCGACTTGAAGACGTTGTTCTGGAATATCAGCCTGGACGACACGGAGAGTGAAAACAGCCCGGTGTCGACCGGGCCGGAAGGACGGTGATGGGAATCCTGCGGGCGACCAGGACTCCACCTGTTTCAAATCCCTCGGGGCCTTCCCATTGCAGAAGCATTCCGTGAGTCCGTGACAGCCAGAAAAAGTGGCGAAGTCGACGCTCGATCGATCGTGGTGGACCCGATCGTGCTGGACAAGTCCCGTTAGGGTAATCCTCTCCGAGACCGTCGCGACGTCAAACCGTTGGGTGGCGCTCGTCCTCCCGAGCTTAAATTCTCTTATTCGTTTGTCCCTCGATCAACAGGGGGAGGAGGGGAGTTTTTCAATTTTCAGAAAAGAGGAAAAGAACTGGGCATCCCGTTTGCATCGGAACGGCCCGGGTCTGGCGTCCTTCGGTGCCGTTCCTGCTGGAGCCTCTACAATCTTCCAGTCTCTTTCTCTCTCCCCACTCGACCGGCTTTTTTGGAATGATCTGCGTCGCAAATTTTTGGTTTAGATTTTTTTTACCCCTCTCATCTTTTGGAGTCTTAGCGGCGTGGTGCATGGCGTACACTTGCGTGTGTGTGTCTGGTCTAGGCGCAATTGGATCTTTTGGAACAATACCCTTTGATACACTGCCTGACTTTTTTTACTGTTTGATTCTGGTTTCTTGGTTTATTATGCTTAGGAGAGTAGGGAACAGAACGCTTCTCGTTTGTCCTGGAGGGCCGGGTGGCACTCATATACATCGCATTTACATCATTGTCATACCTACATGATCTACAATAGTACTGGAACGCTGCCAGCGTGCCATCCTATTTCCTTTTTCTTTCTCGTCCGCCTCCTCTCTTTTCTGTCCTTTTATTCGTTGGGTTCTTTGGAGTAGCAGTTCCTGACCGGAAGACTCTTTGTCTGGTCTTGGATCTGGTCGCACAAACCCGTCCATATGCACTCTCGTCTACGACCTTCAGGATCTCGGAAAGGAACTTCGCGAGCTGGAATCACCGTCTCCAATCCTCCAGCTAATTCGCCCAGTCCGTCATCCCCGTCCACATTCTCGCCCCACGGCAAAGAATCCACGTCCACTTCCCACCCCAGCAGACACCGCAACACAACCCCGGCGCCAGCCTTGCTCATCACCGAATTCATCTCCTTGCACCCCTCGTCGCAGACACATTCAAGACATCCCTGTGGGGTCACGCACTGGCAGGCCTCGACGCGCGATACCGCCCGACGGAGAAGCACGTCAATAAATTCAAACGCTTTGCCTGCGATCCCGGAGCCGCATGATCCCCCCTTGGCGTCATAGAATGTCAACCGGGCTGGTCGTTGTCGCGCAGGCGGCTGCAGTAGTTTTCGGATGTTTTCCCTCTCGGCTGCAGTCTGATTCCGGGCGTCGACGGCCACTTTCAGGTTCTTGCCGAGTTCTTTCTTGGCGACCTTGCATTCGGTGCGGACATCGCCGGGGGAGGAGATGACGAAACTCGGGAGCAAGGAAAGAACGGCGTGTTCGGCGGCGTGGATCGCCGCGGCGATGTTCAGCTGTCGCGATTTGAGGATATCGAGCGCAGACTTGGGCACGTCCAACCACATGCCCTTGGTGAAAATGTCGATGGGCGGGTTATCCACCATCACGGCGTCCAGCACACGGCCGCGTTTATCGACCTTGAAGAAGCCATATACGACGGCGTGGATGCGGACAGAGCCATAGAAGGCGCGCGAAGGCGAGGATTGTAATGTCGTCGACGACGTCTGGGGAATGAAGCGCATAGTTTCCGTCTCGATAGGGTCGATATCCGTGTAATCGCGCTGCATGGTACCCCAGTCCACGTGCACGCGGACGACACGCGCGAATCGCTGGTCTGGATTGAGTTCTTTTACTAGGTACGTTCGTCCCTGGTGAAGGAAGATGCCACCTTCATAGATGGAGAAGAACGCCCGCGAGGCCTCGACTTCCTCGAGAACTGTGTTCCGAGCATTGGTGACGTCGATGACGGCGAAGTGTTGATCTTCTGTGTCACGGATGGAGACGCAACGCGAGGGCTGGGGGCGGAATCTTTCGTGGCAGTGATAGAAACCCAGCCCATCGCGCATCAGGCGTGTCGCTGCGACTTCGAGAAGTTGTTCGCCGAAGTAGACGCGATCTTCCTCCGGGCGTATGGGCATCTCGAACGCAGCACATTGTACATGTCCTTCGAGGATGAGTTCATTAGCCAGATCCACCTGCAACTCGCAATTGGGCCGAGTGAAGAGCTCCTCCGGGTTCTTCATATAGTGCTGGTCCGTGGGGAACTTATCGCCCACCAAGACGGAGAGGGAATCCTTGTTGCGACGTCCGGCACGTCCGCTTTGCTGACGCAGGTTGGATATGGAATAGGGGAAACCCAGGGTGATTACAGCGTCAAGGGATCCTATGTCAACACCCAGTTCCAGAGCGTTGGTGGCCACAATACCCATCAGCTGGCCTTCAAACATTTCTTTTTCAATGCGCCGGCGGTCTTGCGGACTGTACCCGCCTCGATAACCCATGACCAGATTGCCAACTTCCTGTCTTTCGAGGGCATGGAATTCGGCCCGCACGGCTTGCAGGAGGACTTCACACAGTCGTCGAACTCGGCAAAAAGCGATTACTCTCGTACCCCTAAGAATCAGTTGGCAAAACAGTCGCGCTGTTTCAGCGACAGCGTCGCCACGTCCGGAAGTAGGGTCGTCAGGGTCTTTAAAGGGCGTGTTCCAACAGATGAACTCCTTCCGACCTGACGGGGAACCGTCAAAATCTATCAACTTGACATCGTCAATCCCGAAAACCGCCTGCATATGGTATTCTGGGTTGGCCACAGTGGCCGAACAGGAAATGAACCGGACATGTCGGTTCCCTACCGCAGCACAAATTCGACGCAGTCGCCGCATAATGAAAGCGACATGGGATCCGAAAAGGCCGTTGTAGACGTGTAGCTCATCCACCACAACGAATTTCAAGTTTTTTAGGAACGTTCGCCAGGAGCTTTCCTGGGGCAAGATCGTGATATGCAGCATATCCGGGTTAGTGAAGATGATGCGTGCCTCGTCACGGATGAGATTCCGATTTTCCATGGGAGTATCGCCGTCAAAGGTCTCGACCATCGCATCCTGTAGGCCGTCTATGTACTGCAAGAGCTCTTTCATACTCCGTCTTTGGTCTTGTGCAAGTGCCTTAGTCGGAAATATGTACAATCCTCGACTCGCATGATCCTTTTCAAGTTCATGGAGCATTGGCACCTGGTAAATCAACGACTTGCCCGAGCTGGTAGATGTTGATACGATGACGTGGTGACCTTCATAAAGGTGGTTGATCGCCTCCGCCTGATGAGAATAGAACTGCGTAATGCCCTTGGTGTTATACAAGGCATTGACTAGGTTTTGCGACAACTGAAACGTCAAGTCACCGTAAATTGCAGATTGGGCCTCAAACACTCGATGCCCCTCGGGTACAATCTGCGCTGTGTACCAGTCCATCTCGCGAATCTCGTCGATGATCTGTGACATGTCCTTTCGCTCTTTGGGTATCTCCTTCGGTGCTTTCGACTTGGCCAGCGCATGGCGGTCAGTCTCACCTTCAGGGGCCACAGGAATCCAAGAATGCTTCTCCTGTTCCAGTTTTTCGACTGGATCTGTCCCATCGTCCTCACATTGTACTAGAAACGCGTCGATCGCATCGGCGAACTTCTTGTTTCGCTTCTCAATTAATCCAAGCATCTGCTTCTGGCTGTAAACCGGCATCTTCAAATCCTCGTCCTTCATTTTCCGGACCGGCTTCGTTGCCTCCCCAGTCTTGGGATGCTGTACTTCCCTTTTCAAATCTCCATCCACAAGCTCGAATAGCAACGTCTTGACCATCTCCGAGTCATCCCCAGGGTCATCCCGTCCATATGAATGAAGCATCTCCCTCTCCCCCGTGGTCATCACCTCCAATTTGGCCTCATCCACATACTCGAACCGTACAGCGCGCGGCACGAGCGTCTTCACGCGTGCAATATCTTCCACCGTCAGAGCATCGCCGCCCATCTGCCCCTGCACCGCGTTCTTAATATTCTCAAACGTCGTAGCAAAATGCTTCCGCGTACAGCAAAACGTATACACCAGGTTCAGCGCGCGATGGGTCCGCGACAGCTTCTTGAACGGCTCCGGCCACGGCCCCGACGGCGTTCTCCGTTTCGGGAGTGCTTTCTTAGTTGAGTCATTCGTCTGGCCTTTTCCTTTTCCTTTGCCTCTTTTCGGTCCGTCCGTAGAAGTAGGAGAGTTCGTCGTCGGTCTTTGCTGTTCCGAGGATGTCCTTGACGAGTGCTCATCATTGCTCGCAGTTTGCGTACCGGATTCTTGACCTTCGTCTTCCTCCGTGCGACGTCGCTTCACCATCCCCTGTTCCTCACCACCTTCGATAGCCGGCCTTATATCCTGCTTCAAAGCCACAGCATTATGACCCGCGATGGACGAATTCTCGGAATCCGACGTCTCAAGGGATGCTCTTTTTCGCTTCGACGCTGCAGCGCCAGCGAGGTCCGAAGATTGCGATTTGGGCCGTGTCGGCATCATGACGCCCCATGGTGTACTTTCCTTTATAGATCTGGAAGGAGGGATATACAGTGGATCTTTAACGGATGTAGAAGCGACGATTGAGCTACGGGAGGAGGGATTCTTCCAAGAAGGGAAAAGTAAATGCAGGCGACGGGGGAAGCGACGCGCTGCCACGTGATCTGTTCGGCCGTTTATCTAATATTGCCATATCGGGACTAGTTCGTTTATTTTGCCTCAGGCATGCAACGGCTAGGGATGACTGCCGCTTGGGTAAGGAGAGAGATGGAGAGACAAAGGAACATGTGGTGAGAGGAGGGGAAATTAGATTATGCACAAAGAAAATAGAAAAGAAGAGAGATAGAGAGAGCGTAGGGGAGGCAGGGAGGAATCAAGAGCGGGAGAAGTAAATTAAGAAAAAAGAATGTAATGCAATATGTCCAAACGACCAAGAAAGTAAGAAAAAGAGAGAACAAAGGAAGATGATTGCATAAGGATGGAATAAAAAAGATATAGAAAGAAGGAAGAATGGAAAAACCTCCAGTAGATCAATCCAGACCACCAAAACCAATCCAACTACATAAGTCGAGTCGAGCTCCAATACTCCGATCCAACCAACTCGACCAGACTCCTCATATCAAATGCAAAATGTCTACCCAATCGAGCCCCTGAAATGCTGATGTTTCACCTGACCTGTTATCCTTCCCTCTTTCTTTCTGTCCGCTTCTCCTTCTCGAAGATAAAATCTTCTCACTCTGGGTCGGGATCGAGGTATCGAACGTTGTGTGGACTGCTAATCAAGATCCCCTGATCCGAGGGAGATTTTTTTTTCTTTTATTATTTTTTCCCGGACCGATGAAACGAAGGGAGCCTGGGGACTGTTCTACTAGGTATAGTATGATATGTTCTGCCTCCGGCGACCTCAAATAATTGGCGGTTCTGGATGCAACGTGTATAAAGGGTTGATATGTTCGCTGCTCATTGTTCCTTAAGGAGGTCGCAAACGACCTGGTAAAGTTCCCTGGCGTGGTCTTCGTGTCCGGTCTAGAATGAGCGATATCGTTGATTAGCCACCGGCACTTTGTTCTGGACAAGGTATATTATATTAACTTACCCGCAGCAGGATGGGGACCGATCGGCCACTCTCGAGACTGGCCAGGTGGATCTGTTTCGAGTTCGGCTCGTTGCCCGAGGCGTCGCCAACCGTCATGCCTTTGAAGATGGGAGTGTTCAGCATCACACGCCCGACACCGTCGGCCCGCATGATCAATCGAGTGGATGCTTTGTCCTCCTTTCCATCTGTGACCTTGACGTTGATCTTGAAGGTGCCGATTCCGCGCTCACGCCACTCCTTGTCCGAGAACTGGAAGAGTTTCGCTTTGCAGGAGAAGTACGTCTTCTCCTCTTCTTCACCGGTCTCGACTGTCATGAGATATTAGCATCGGCGAAAGCTCGGAGGCGAAAAGAGGAGGGACATACTCGGCCGTTCGAAAAACCGCTCGTCGGTCTTATCCTGCTCGAATTCACCCGGACCACTATCGACATTCTCTTCTTTGTTCTTCTCCTCCTCCTCTTCCTCGTCGGCGGGAGCCCCAAACGGCTTGTCCTTGCTAGAGCTACTGAGGACACTCGGGACGGACGGGGAAGCGAAACTGGTGAGACCTGCTTTGGGCTGCGATGCCCCAAAGCCTCCGCTGAATCCCGAAAACCCAGACCCCAAAGCTGAGAATCCCGAAGAACCGGCGGCGGCGGCAAATCCAGTGGCGGCGGGTTTGGCTGCTTCCGTACCTTCGGGCGACTTGAAGACAGACGGGGTCGAGCTTCCTAGCGAGCCAAAAGGCGATTTCTCCGAGCCCGAGAAGGCAGCCAGGCTTGACGAGGCAAAAGCGGATGAGGATGTGGTGGCGGCCGGCTTCGATTCTTCCTCCTTCTTTGCTGGTGAAGCACCCAGCGACCCAAAGGGAGAGACGGTGGAGGTGTTGGCGAATGCGCTCGTGGCAGGGGCCTAGCCACAACAGAAAACATTAATATATGGTCGATCCCATCTCCACCACGTTCCTGCACGGACGGATTTACCTTCTCTCTTTCCTGCGAAGTGTCCCGATGTCTCTTCTTCTCGGGCTCCCCTTCGGCTGAAGTCTTCTCCGACAGCGCGCCATTCTCCGCAGCAGCAGTGGTCTTCTCGGATTCCATGGCACCGTCGTCAGTCTTCGTCTCATCCTTATCCAGCTGGTCCCTGCTCCTTTTCTTCTTCGGACTCAGGATCTTGCGCGAGAGATCATCCGCATTCTTCGACGGCGCCGGTTGTTGTCCTTCTTCGGTTTTCGAGACAGTCGCGTTCGCCTCTTCATAGCTCGAATCACGCGACCTCTTCCGTCTGTGGCCAGCGTCGTCCATTTCACCGTCGTCGTCGCTTTTCTCCGGCTCGTCGTCGTCGAACGATCGCTTGCGGCCTCGGCTGCTATCTCGGCTGGGGTTTCCGCCGTCTTGCGGTTGTGCTTGTTCGGTGAAAGATGTGGGGACGGACGTGATGGATGTTTCCTTTAGTTTGTTGCGCACGGGACGCTCGCCGCCTTCGTTATCGGAAGCTTGGGAGTCTTCGGCGGCTGCCGTTCCAACATGTCAGACCACGCTCCGTTGGAGGATATTCGAAACAATTATATCCGGGAGACCAGAACACCTCGTCCAGACTTCTAGAACTGCACGTACCTTGAGGATCCGTCGATTCCTTATGAACATCACCTAAAACCACAGCATCCACGTTAGTTGGTGGCTCCCGAGGACCGGAAAACCGGGCAAGTTCCAGGCGTTAAATACCTTCTGGGACAGGGTCTTTGCGGAGCTCAGACGCCATGTCTATTGCCTAGCGTTGAGACCGGGTGCGATCGGTGCTAGAGCCCAGGTGTGGCGACGAGAAAAGAGAATGGAGTGCTCCCCAAACACCAAAACAGAGCCTGCGGCTGGGGTCGTAACGTAATCGAGTCAAGGGACGGAAAAGAGGCGGGAAGCTAAGCAAGGCAGGGGAAGATGTTAGAGCATTGAGCGAAGAGCAAGACGAGGCCGAGCAGCGCAAGACGAAGGGGGAGGGGAGAAGAAAAACAACGAGCAGGTCCACACAGTGCGAGTGGATGAAGCAACTTCTGCCCACAGGTGGGGATGTGATATGCAATGCAAAGAGTAGCTTATCTTACCCACCAGGACTTGTCGGGGGTCTAGAAGAGTCTCGTCGAAGAGGAGGTCTCCAAAGAGTACGCAGAGACTGTGGGATGTTGTCAGGCCTGCGCTGGGAGACACGGGCGGGTCGGTCGATTCCTTGAGGGTGAGAAGGGAATCAAGCAGGCGAAGACGCTACTCGACTGAAAAGAGTCAGGTCAAGGACAAAAAAAAAAGGACAGACAGGAAGGACAGCAGAAGACAGCGAGGAGTGACGAGCTGCTTTGTTGTCGTCGGACGGCGAGATGGCTCGGGTCACCGCTCGGCCCCGCTGCTGTTCTCGGCACTTCATTCCTTTACCTGCGAGAGGTTGTTCTCGTCTAATGGATACATTGCGCACGAACTATGACACTTGGAAGATAAAATAGAGAAGATAAGAAAAAGGAAACGTTTCCTGCCCAAACATTCGCAGAAAGAGCATCTTGTAATAACCTCGCCCGGCTCCAACACGGCGCCCGGTGCTTCGTCCGCTTGCGGTTCTCTCGAAGTCCTTCAGCCAACGCTCCATGCACGCCCTTCTCTCCCTTAACTGATGAAGCAGAGACACCCAATGGCAATATAAAACACAAAAAGTGGGTAGACCGCAATCCCGACTCGGTTTCGCAGCACGCCCGACCCCCCCAGAATGCTTACACCGGCTGCCAAAGACCATGCGATCAGCACGAGATAAACCGGTATCCGGGCGATGGTCGGGAGACCCAAGGCACTTAGGAGGGCAGCGATCACGAGTGGGAAAAGGGTGTAGCCGATGATGCACACGGACTGGAAGAAGGAGCTGGAAGCGACGAGTCAGTATCAGGCATTGGCCATAGAGATGCATCGGGACACATACATATTTCCACCCAGCAGCTTGATCTGCAGAGTCACGACGGCTTCCCCGATCCACACGATCGAGAAAACCCCCGAGAAGACCAAATCCGACTGATCTTCACTGGCGCGGAAAGCCAAGAACATACTCAAAAGCAAACAGAAGATGAGCGGACCCCTGCACCACCCAACCGTGTTAGCATGCCATCATATGCGGTTTACCCCCATCCCCACTGCTGATATGGCCACGTACCAAAGATCCCAATCGCGCAATCCCTCGCTCATGCCACCCTGGAGGACCATATCGGCGTCCGGCCAGCGTCCGGCGATGTTCCTCAAGCCACCCCCGAACCCGGTGGCCTCTCCCCGTTCGGCCGCGCCAATCCCGCCCCCTCCGCGCTGTAGCATTCCACCGATCAAGTATTTCGGCCACAGAACCTGGCGCAGCTTCTCCCAGACTGCCAGCAGGTCGCGGGAAACGGTGTCCCAGACACTCTCGTCGATGGTGTTGTGCGTCGCGCGACGGTCCTCGCCGGGAATCGACGACGTCAGGTAATTGCCGGACAGGTTGCGACCTCCGGAGCTCGAGGACTCCGACTGGATGTTGCCTCGTAACGGGGCCGTGTCCGACGTATCGTGCAAGGGGTCATCGGCTTCGATGGCTATGGGGTGTTGGGGCGGTTTGCCCAGGAGTTAGTGATCGGTCGCGTGCCATTTGTCCATGCGTAGAGACTCAATTGCAACACTCACCGTCATCAGCATCAATCACGTCGTCATCCAGGATCGATTCATCGTCGTGAGAGTCCCGATGGGGATAGTGGGTGGATGCGCTGGCCATGGTAGGCACTGCTGATTGATAACTGGGCTCAGTTCAGGTGGTTATCCGGCGGGAGTCGGAATACGCGGACGGTAGCAGAGCCTGCCAAAGCAAGTGCGGTGGGAGCTACTGCAACAGGCCAGGTATGCCAAGCAAGGAATCTTCAGGTAACGAGAAAGCAGCAGACGTCAGGGATCCAGACAGGAAGAAGGAGAGCGAGCACTTTGGCGTCCGGAGAGGCTACAGTGGCATTACGTACGCGGCACGGGCCAAAAGAGGCAGGCGGAGAGAAGACAACGTGCACGCCTCAGGCAGGGACTGTCACCAGATCTGATATGCAGGCATCTATACATTCCATCTATGCATCTATCTATACACCTATATACACCCAAACGCCCTCCCAATATGCAGACATGTGAATCGGTTCACCTAGAACGCCAGAACAAGTGAACCCAAGTGTCTTAATAGGTAATGTACACGTTACATGAGCCAGGTCAAGGGACCCGAGCCTCGACCGAATCTGCGCCATTGGCACCATCGGCGCCATTAGCATCATCGGCGCCATTAGCATCATCGGCGCCATTAGCATCATCGGCATCATCGGTGCCATTGGTGCCACTGGCTTGGTCACGAAGTTCCAGCGCCCGAGACAGCTGCTGCGGAGTGGGTAACACGATCTTGCCGTCGAACTCACGTTGGACCTTTTTGTTGCTGTATTTCCGCAGCTTCTGCGACAGCTCTTCATATTCTTTTCGAAGCGGCTTGGGAATCTGCTTTCGCCGTTCGGTCTCCAAAACGGAATCCACCATGAATCTCAACCGTGCCAACATAACCATACCGCCAGGGCCGGAGACACTCTCGTATAGGTTCTTTTCGAGTTCAAGGGGGGGTTGCGGAGCGCGGGTTTGACCATGCTCGAAAGCCTCTTCCAACCGAGCCGCGTGAGGGCGCAAGGTATCGATGGCCACGGTCTGCAACTTGAGTCGCAGTTCTTGGCCAAGGGTTTCTAAAGAGCCTATCTTCGAGTCTTCTGCAACGCCGTTCAGTGACACGAGGAGCTGGGGTTTCTCCAGCAGATTTTGGATCAAATTAAAGTAAGCGTCTAGGGCCCTGGTGCTGGGAAGCGGAAGCCATGCTTCCTCCATGAGTCTCAGTATCTCGTTGGCATGCTTCAAAACATTCATGTTGTTGATGTCGCGGCGGCAGCATTTCAGCGCGATTTCAAACACATCCGGATGCAACTGGCGGGAGGGCAAGATCTCATCGCGCACAAGCTCCACGGCGACGCGACTGGAACGAGCGGCTTGCAAAACCCGCAGGTATTTTATGAATGAACGTTTGTCGGGTTGTACCCGGAATTTGGAATCGCCTTGCGTCATCAATTTCCAATACGCCTTTGCGGTACCCAATCCTTGAGTGACCATGGAGCACGATTCCAAAATACTAAAAAGCTCCCTGTTTGTCAGTGGGACATGCGATGGACCTTTGACTCCCGGCGAAGAGTCGTCCGGGACAACCGGGTTGAAAACATCATCGAGGTTCTCTTCCTCGGCTTCGGCTTCTACTTGCTCCTCTTCTGGGATCTCGGTCTCGGGTTGCGGTGGCCTGTACAGCCTTTCGCCCTGGTCGTCCACAAATGGAACGTCTTCCAAATCCTTCTGGTCAGCCCGTTCTCGCAAAGCCTCGGACGACCTGGACGATTTCGTGTTATAGGCGACTTTGCGGGGCTCTTTTGCCAGGATGGGGAGGCCAGTGGTCTGGTTGACCATCACGAACACCTCGTAGAACTCATAATCACCGGGGCCTTCCAAAAGTACTTTCGCCATGGAGTCCAGCAAGCGATTGTCGAGAGCGAAGTGTCCCTTCTTCCATCTATAAACAACATCGGCCCAAATTCGTTTAGCTTCCGTGACCCCTTGCACTCTTCTAGCCAAGATCGAATTCGTATCTTTGGGCGATATCTTTTTAAGGTCCACTACCAGCGTATCCAGAATGCCTTTCAGAATAATTGTATAAGTGATCGGTTCGGGGGAGCCCGGTCCCTCTTCAGGTAACTCGCTAGCAATTTGCCATAATGGGTCCATTACCCTGTGACGAGTACAGACTGTAAGCATTGCAGCTACGTTAAAGAGATCCGGGGCAGGTATGGATCGGAATATGCTCAGAGCCATATCCACTGGTCTGAACCCGGGTCTCGATTGTGCTTTACTCAGACCATCTAACATGATCGTATAGGTGCGCTCAGTTGGCTTGCGTCCCCGTTTTTTCATCTAAAAGGGAAGAAGTACCATGGTCAGTGACTCTCCTGTCCGCCGGCGGTTGGAATAACCAGGACACAGGGGAAAGGAACAACGCACATCATTGTAGAATCTAAAGGCAGACCGGCTAGACCCTTTATCGAAGCAGTATTGAAGGAGCTGATTCCATGCCACAAAGCAATCTATGCCCTGGCTTTGTGCCGTGCGTACCAACGCCACCGCCATAGCCTCGTCGCCGGCTTGCAGGGCACCCTGAACCCGTTCACTCAGTTTCACGGGATCACGAAGCCACTTCATTTCCATCTCAATCACCTTCCGTGAAATTTTGCGAGCCGAGGGGACAGAGTCGGATGATTTGTTTGCCATTGCAAGCGCATAGAGTTGTTCATCATCTTGTTTGGGGCGGCGGGATTTTTGACGCCGTCTGGTCGAATCCGACTCCGCGACAGCCTCGGACAAATTGTTATTCTCAGTAGAATAAGCCTTCACATTACCGAGCGGTTTCCATAGTCCTGTGCGCGGATAGGTTCGCGCAGTGGACGCACGTAACGGGGTGGCACTCGATCTTGATTGAAACGTTCTTATGCACCTCGGGCCCAGCACGGCTCTCGTCGCCATGGCGTTGCCAACGCTCGTCCGCAGAGCATTGACATTGTTGCAACGAAGCATTTGATATCGGAGCCGTTTTAGCGTCGATTGTTCTACCAAACAGAGGAACGGTAGGTTCGGAAAGGTAGTATAAGATCAAACACGGTTGGAGCGCTCGGAGGATGAAGTAGGAAATTAAACGGCTAAAGAAAAAGGAAGAGGATAAGAGATGAAATGAAAAGACACCCGACGAAGGCAACGATGCAACACCATAAAAGCGCCGGCGACAACAAATCTTGAGACCAGGAAGAACACCTGCAGCAGCACCGGGAGCAAAAAGACCAGAAAAACTGCTCGATCGCAAAAGCAAAGCGTCTGGAATCGGAGCAGCTCCCGGTCTAGGCGGGATGAGGTTAGCGTGCGTCGGACCCGGAGGAGCGTAAATCCGGCAGGACCGTACGTCGTATGCCTCAGGCAGCAGAGCGGCTGAGTCAGCGGTAGCCACCTCAGGCGCCGACGCCATCGCGACCATCGCCAGCGGTTTTTAGCTCGCGATGGCTCAGGTAGCAGCCGCTAGTTCAACCAGCATCTCGCTGACAATCGCCGCCGGGACCTAAGATAACTCTAAATTCCCAAGCCGCTCCCTCGTGGCTCGAGAGTCTGCTAAAGTAAGGTTCCATCCCTACAGATCTAGGGACTAGCTGCTAATTTAGCTCCGTCCCCGTCAAACGACCTTACATCCTGTATTCTAATTTCTGTGTGACCGACTAGTGCCATCTCGCTGTACTAACCAATTAGTTGCCCTTGGTTCGCCGGATTTTAAAGTTATTCTCATGCCTTTTTTTTATTTCCCCTGACATTGCCCTTGCCTCTACCCACCTGTGCATTCCACCGTTGAACCCCGTCCTGCGGTCAACCAACGCACATGCATGTACATGTACACGCTAGGCAGGTACCTTAGGTAGTAGCTCTCTCTTCCTACTCTAGTACTTACTACTGGGAAATACGGTCTTAGCTTTCTTTTGGCCAACCCATATCGGTTTTGGGGATATTTCTTCCGAACGTGCGACTCGTCGGGCTGACAGGTCACCAAGGGCCCGTCCATCTACCAGGTCCAATTCATCAACACCAAGCGGTATATTAATAACAGTTGAGAGAGTACCATCTGTACCGTAAATTCCTCCCTATCAACATGTACTGCCTATATGAAGGCATTCCAAATCCTCGGAGAAAGAGGTGGGTGAGAAAAAAAGAACAAAGGGGAAATAAAAAAAGGAAAAGATAAGACGCAAGCCACCAAACCGGCACTGAAACAAGTCACCGGGGCAAGAGATCACAACTGGATATTGCGCAAATTCGGGGACCAAAACCCAGGGTAACATAAATTTGGCCTCAGCATACACAAGAGTTGGCAAACGAGAAGCCACTGCAAGAATTTCACATACAACATCGGAGGAAAGTTTAGTGAGAACAAGGTCGACATAATCCACACTCGGGTGCAGACAGAAGGCAGAAGAAAGAGGCATTCGATGAAGACAAACGAGAGGGGGGAAAGAGACATAAGAAACGAACAAAAAAGAAAAGCTCAGCTAATGCAGAAAGCCCCGCCAGGCATCCTAATTCACAATCCGATGGCCCGTTACCCACGCAGGGAAAACAAAATAACAACTTCCCCCCAAAAGACTCGGGGACATTCTTTTGCTCATGCGATCTAATTCAAAAAAACATAACTGGGACAAAAGTGTAAGTCGCAAGGCCACTCTTTTTGACTGGAGCAATCAAGGCCAGAAAATGGTATCATGTGCGCAAGACTTTAGAGAATTAGATCCGGGTGGCGATGTGGGATTAGGAGATTTTGTTATTAGAGTATGCAACCTCAGACAAGTCAAGGAAGCGGGGATATCTATTGCGGGTAGCTGGCCGATTGGTTTTCTGCAAAGCCATCGTCGATCAGCTCCAAGCCCTTCTGCAATAGATCCGAGGACCGTTTTTCTCCATGAAATTCCCGGGGTTCTTTGTGGTATCTTTCTCCTTTCGTCTGGGTGGCGTAGATTCGTGTCTTCTTCTTTCTTTTTTGGTATTTTCATGGCCCGGTCCTAACCAACAATGCAAACACAACAAAGGGCTTGACTACTTACGTTGCTGATACACTTGGCCGCTCTGCCCGTAAGGAGAGTGAGGATAGTTCGGAGGATAGGCCATTTGTCCGTTGCCCTGGTAGACCATACCGCCGCCAGGGGCACCGTACTGACCGGGCACCTGGCCATCGGCAGGTTGGTATCCAATCGGAGGCAGCTGAGGCCGGACACCACCGGGGTAGGTGGGAGGTTGACCACCCTGCGGATCCGCAGGATTGGGGGCGTCGACCTGGTTGGCCTGGGCAGCCTGAGCGGCAGCGGCGCGCTCACGCTCCTCAGCGGCCTTGCGCTGAGCCTCTTCCTCCTTCTTGCGGGCCTTCCACTCCTTGCGAATTTCCTTGAATTCTAGAGAGTTGAGGTTAGCCTGGGTCGTGTCCGGGGAAATGAACACAGAGTGGACCAAACGAAAATAAAAATCATGAAAAAAAAAAAAAAAAAGAAAGAAAGAAAGAAACTGTCAAGAGAAAACATAGTACAGCTGGTAGACGGGAGGTCGAAGACAGCTTAACCTCAGCGCCGGCTTCTCACACTACTGCGATCCGCCCGCACTAAGGCCGTGTAACTAGACTAGTGGGTGGCACCCGCACTAGTCCCAGCCCAGGCATCTATCAACCCCTCCCGTAGCGTCGACACACATGCCATCGGAGATATAATGAGATAATAGTGGATGGGAGAATATTACACGTCAATCTGGGGGAGGATTCGAATAAAACATACCTTCTGGAGTACGCTTGTTTCCGTGGGACTGCATCGTCACGTGGGCATTCAGGTGGTTGAGAGTACCGTAGGCCTTCTCACACCCATTCCAACCACACTTGTACATGCGCTCAATTTCCTCATACCGGCGACGCGGTCTCTTATGCTGTTGCGCACCGGGGATCGGAACGAACGAGTAGACCTAGGTGGAAGCATGTGAGCCGGGGAACCAAACGAATCTCGAAAATGAAAAATCAAAAGATCAACAGGAAACAAAGAGTGCGCCGCATTCCCGGTCCCTGGAGGCAGCCCGATAGCGGCTCCCATATCCGGGGGCGTCCCAGACAAAACTAAACGCAGAAAGCGCAGCCTTTTGGAAACAGATGCCGAAATCACCAAAAACATACCTGGCCAGGGCGCGGCCCTGCGGTCGCAGCAGGGGAGGCGGGACCAACCGTTGTGGCAGGAGTGGTATAGGGTCCGGGCAGACCGTGTTGATGTTGCCCGTACCCATGCGACCATTCCGGACGCGTATACATCTGAGGAGGCGGCGGAGGGGGGTGACCTTGGTACTGAGCCATGTCATGGCCCTGGGGCTGGTAAGGCGAGTAGGGAGGAGGATAGGTGGGGCTGGAGGCCGCGATTGAGGGATCTATAGGAACGTCCGCGTCAGACTTCACGTTCGTGTGATGATTGCGATGGTCATGGTGCTGCCCATCATGGAGGGTGGTCATGGACGGACTTGTTGCTTGAGCCATACCTGCCGCGCCGCCGGCTTGAGTGTTGGGGGCGTGGTGGTACTGGTGCGGGCGGGCGAGGTACTCCGGATAAGCTGGAGAGCGCGCGGTGGGAGGAGGGTTCAGACCGTAGTCTGACTGCGGCGTGTTGGAGGACGAAATGTTGGCGGGTCGCACCTCGGGCTGAGGGGTGTACTGAGGGTTGGGGCGAACCTCAGGTTGAGGAGTGTATTGAGCAGTGGCAGCAGCAGAAGCTTGGTCTGCAGCTGAGAGTTCAGAATGCGTCGCGGCAGACGGTGGATATGGAAAGTGCGAACCTGACTGCGCGTACTCCGAGGCAGGTCTGTTGTCCATATAATACAGGTGTCGCCGCTACCGGGTAAATATCCCTGACAATCCTCCAAGCTAAAATAAGAAAAACCCGCGTGTCTGTTTAAAGACGCGTCGAGTGACACACAATGAGCTTTGTGGTTGTAAGATTTGAAGGTGCCGAACGATGGAAGTATGCAGCAGGGGAGTAGAGGTGGCTTTCAAGAGATCTGAGTAAGATCTCGTGGCAGTTTGCGTCGCGAGACTTTTTCTTTTCCCTCGCCGAGTGATTTGGGACGTACTGGTTTGTTTGGGGGGGGATGGAATTGAAGGCAAGCCAGGAAAGTCAAGGGGAAAACGTCCACACTGAAGCTGCGTATTGCAGTGGCTTTAGTGAATGGAGAAGAGAGGAGAGAATTAAGAAAAAGGGAAAAAGGAAAAAGATCGACGCGTGAAATTCAGTCACGAGAACTTGTAACGCTTTTTCAACGCACCGATAAGAAAAGTAATAAAAAAAAATAAGGTAATAAAAAAAGGATGTAAAAAAAAAAAAAAAAAAAAAAAAAAAAGAAGAGAGAGAAAGTGAGAGAGAGAGCACCAGATTAGGTTTTGATAATTGTGCCCTTTTCTTTTTAATTCTTTTCTTTTTGTGAGAAAAAAAAAATTTTTTTTCTTTTCTCCCCCCTTTTTTTTCACCCAAGAAAATCAAAAAGGGAAGGGAAATACAAGTCGCAAAGGTGGTGATGTTTTTTTTTTCCCTCTAGAGACAGTGGTGCTGGATCACGATGCTTAATTGCTTTAGTCACCTCTTAGGGTGACGGAGAATGCCTTGCAGGGTGGCGGTAGGCACAACAGCACGAGGAACCAGCGGGAGTGAAAAGGGACGGTGCTGTCTGCGCCCGGACGAGCTTGGGAGGTGAAGGTTTAGGAAGCAGCCAGGGCAGAGCCAGTTGCTCACTAGGTAGGGCCTAGCACGGAATGAAATAAAAGAAAATAAAATCAAATAAGAAAAACAACGGGAGTGAATAATGAATAGGTATCAAATCCACACGGCTCAAAAGGTGATAGCGCAAGAAACGATGTCTTGATCCAAGGGGGTCAATACGGTAGCACAGTCACCCTAAATTCGAGGCGGAGGGGAAAATGGTTCGACTTCGACCCGGAAAAGAAAAACCTGGGCAGAGGAGGCGGCCTAAAAGGCTTCGGACGGTCGAGCAGGAGGCTTTTCGGCAGGAGGAAAAACGCAGGTTAGAGCACCTCGTGGGATCCGAGGGTATGGTGGAGCGTGTGGGCCCGTAATTTTTCTTTCTTCTTTTGTCTCCCTTTATTTTTATTTTCGATTTTATTTTTCTCTCTCAGGGAGAACAGAGGCGATTTCAAAGAGGAGATCGGGAGAGAAAAAAAAAAGGTTGTAATGGAACCTAGACCTCCGTAGAGGAGGAGGTAACACTCCGTAATAACAAACAAGAACAAGAAGGGGGGGCGGTTTTGGTAAGTAATTGTTACTGGGGCCACCCTGGAGGATTAATTATCATTTGTTCTCTCGTTCAGACACTCTTCCTCTCCGAGCCTTTATTGTTATTATTTTTTCCCGGGTTTTTCCTCTTTTTTTCACCCTTGGATCGGAGCGCTGTCGCTTTGTGGTGACGGGTCCGTTGATAGTTGCCAGTAACTCGACCCACCCTCTTCTCGATGGAAATATGAGGGCTTAAGAAAAAAAAAAAGATTATTAACTTTTTTTCCTTTTTCTTTTGGCCCCCTTCCCCTCAGTTATTGTTGGCCTGTCCTGTGTTTCTCTCGTAACCCGGCTAAGCTTTCCTCGTCGGAGTGGTTTTTTTTTTTTTTTTTCTTGCTACCTCCGCTCTACTGTTCTACCTTTTTCTCTCCTTATAGGCGGAATCCTCCGATTCGAAGGAGAAAAAAAAAGGTGGCAAACAAAAGAAAAAATTTTCAACGCCCCCTTTTCCTTTCTCTTTCTGGCCCTCAAATTCTTTGTTCTTCCAAAAAATTCTTAACCCACCATTTGATGCGAATGGGTGTAGAGAAAAATAGATATGTAAAGCTGATGTCGAAACAGAAGTTTGATATGCCACCGGTGGCTAGGGGGAAAATTAGAGCTTGGAATAGTCTACCCGCGATTCGGGACGGACGGTGCGCGTCGCGAGTTTGGCCGCAGGGAGACTGTCGTGAACCTAGCGTATGCGCCCGTGGGTACCAATCCACGATCGTTGGCCAACGTTCTGGCGGCCTGGGTAGAGAATAAAGGGCCTTGGTTGAGCGAAGAAGGGCTAGGAGATGGCGTGCCCGAGGAACGACTTGAGCAACGGTCTGGGTGGATGGTGCGAGACTAGTAAAAAGAGGGTGTAGCGCAAGTCGGGGGGAAGCGATGACCGCGTGCAGGGTCCGTGGTGGAGGTAGCGACGGAGGAAAATCCCAGAAAAGCAAAGGGGTTACAGAAATTAAAATCCAAATAAATTAACCCCCATCCCAGTAAAAATAGCGCAGGCGCAAATTAAATCCAAGATTATCGCAGTATCAAATCCAGGAGACAGAGTAGCATCGAGCAATAAGCCCAGAAATAGCGGTTGATGCGGAAAGAGATGTGAGATGTGGAGTGGGAAGGGGGGGGTGGGAAAAGGGAAGACCAACCGCTGCTACTGGTGGGAAAAGGAGGATGAGGAAAGATACTGTAATGGGCGACCGCCGGGCACCTCTTCGGTCTGGTACAACTGCCGCTCCGGACGGATCCCAAGGAGGGGGGGGGAACGGAACAAAAAAACATCATTCAACCGAAGCATGATCCCAAAACTCGCCAATGGGACTGGTCGTGGCGGTGGGGTCGATTTCTGGATTGGGGCAACCGATGCCATCGAATTTCATATTCCCATGCTCGCAGAATCTTACCAGATTTCGCCTTTTCCTGGGGTCGACGATACTCCCGTTTGCGCGCCTGGTTCTTGGATCCTGTAGGTAATTCAAGGTGTATGTATTTAAACCCATGTACCAGATGTATGGCTGGCGTAACTCGGTAAAGAGACTATCTGCTAGCGCCTTCCACTGCGCAAGTCAGGAACGCGTCGGTGGAGAACACGAGGGTAAACAGCCCAATCGATGTCATGCAACAATCACGCCGTCGGACATTAGGTCCATTCTCAACCACAGTTGCACACTAGTGAATATGTATTTCATGTGCCAAATGATCTTTCTACAACAGCGCGTCGACGTCGAAGACGGGTCAATTGGTCGCTCAATTCACGCCTCCAGAAATCAAGGATCGAGTAAATATCTCGAGAATCTCATATCATCGCTAAGTTCAATGGATACAAACTGTCTAGGCTTATTAGGGGTTGGGGGAAGATTTAAACGTACTTGCCGGTGGTTGTGTTGAAAAACACTATACAGATGGATATCAGTGCCGGTCGGAGTACTAAGCCAAGCTCACTGTAACTCGGAGTATCAGTAAACCGCTCATTTATACTGCAGCCTACGGATATCGAGTCCATACGGAAAACAGATTTTGGAATCGTGATCAGAACAAACACAGCAAGTATGAGGTCAGCAGTCATCGGTTTGCATATCTAGGAGCATCAACTGACTTCGGGGTACTTACTATGATACTACATCGTAGCTAAGGTAGGGGCGAAGGCCGGAGCACCACTGGACGAGATGGATTTTGGCAGGAGACGGCTGTCAATCCTTGGTCGATTGCAATTGTCCGATAGGTTACTAGTGAGAAAAAAGGAGAGACCGGGGTTGGATTAAAATCGCGCTTGTTCAAATTAATCGTAGTATTGCCCATGGCATCGCGACATGGCAGGGTGCAGATGCTACCTCAGTGCCATAAAACATTTAATACAGAAAAAAAAAAAAATTTAAAAAAAAATGATTAATATTAAATAAAAAAGGTCGGGCGTATCAATGATATTAACAGCAAATCACCTGTTAATAATACCGGCAGTACTCCGGGAATCTGGGCAAAGCGAACCCAACTGAACCCAGCGGAGTATTATTTGATTTACTCTTGCCATGATCATTATCGTCGCACCCTTTTCCCACTTGAAAAAAAGGGGGAGAGTGGGCTGCGATTTGATAGGAAGACCATGCGCAAGGTAGGATAAAAAGGGACGCGCGAGATGCAAGGCTCCAACCTCGGAAAGGTTGTCTTCTGGGCGGAGGGCACGAACGGCCGGTGATTGGTGTCCTGACTGGGCCGTACCCCGCGCAGGCGGAACCCAACCAGACACTGCCGGTGAAGAGCAAGGAAGGAAACAAGATCCTGGCAGCTCACTAAGGCAGAGAGACCACCTATCCATCCCGTTGGAGAGTTCATCCTGGCGATTGTCCGCTGGACGGAGTATTGGCATCGTAGGCCTTCTGATTTGATGTCATTCTGCGGTCATTCTACTGTCCCTTTGCATGGCTGTCATACCCTGTACGGACCAGATCGATCAGAGACATCCGCTAAGAAAAAACAATGCGTATTATGTCTGGCAGGTCACAAGACAGCATCACTTATCATGCAACACCCCTGGTGTCTACTCGGTGGATCAAAGCAATCGATAATAGCAGATGCTATTGATATCTACTGCTGGGGAACGATGTCAAGAAGGCAGGTACCCCGTCCCTTCAATCTCGAACCAACAGGGTAGGTATTACGGCGGAGACTGTTCCATGCCTTTCCTAATCCTCAGCAGCCAGCCAAGGCCTTGCTTGGATCAATGTCGCGGCATTCAAGATGGAAGTAGACATTCCTCCGGTCCCGATCAATCGCGGTAATGTCCGTAATCTCCATGACCGAGGCCGGTCTGGCCTGGGTACAGGGCCTGGGTGGGATGAGTAACGGTGAGCGATGGGACGGAATCTTGACTGCCATCCCCGGATATTGTATGGGGTTTTAGTGCCCTAACTAGGCAGATGCTACGACGATATTCCGCAGTTACTACACCCAGTATACATGGATGGCGTTTCCGCCCAGGGAGGTCGAACGGTACTCGGCGTCGATACCCATCTGCTCTGTACGGTGCGTTTCGGATGCTGGCCGATGACCCATGATCCATGGACAACCGTCGATCGGGTTTAAACACCCCCTTTTCGGTAAACTACTCCACCGCCTCAACTTGGTAAGGAGGCTGGAGGCTGATCAATTCTATCTGGTTACTCATAGAAATGCAGCGACTTCGGACACTGGCCAAAGGATATATCCAGGTGTCTTCACATATTTATCCTACTTTTTTTTCCCTCGGTCGAGTCATGCTTGGTGTATGGCACTTCGTGGCTACCGTACCTCCATGCTCCATAATTAATACCTCTGGTATTATTATGTACGGCACGTAAAGTCGGTACGGGCCCACCCTGACAACACAGAACTGTACTCCGTATGACTCGACTGTCCGATCCTTATGAATTTTTGGATGGGCCACCGATATGCACATGAAAGGGGTAATCGCTCGGTTCCGAATAATGAGGTCGAGAGATTCAAAGTTAAAACGGAGAAAAAGAAAATTGGCTGCATTTCGGCTTTTTTCTGTCTCTTTCTACATATTTCTGCCCCTTTTATACGCATGGTCACGGAACATGCACTGTTTTTATATCTTTAGTCTATCCGTGCTGCGTACTGAGTAGTGCATGCGGATAGACTGCTGGTTTTATGTCCGTGTCCAGGCTATTTTGGTGCTTAGTTATGATCTCACTTGCTCCACGTGGGCATAATTGACCACAAGGAGTCTAGGAGCACCGACTACTGACATACTCCGTGGTTAGCTGCTGAGTCGCTGACGGACTTTAACAGTACCCCAACCAGACGGAGTACGACGCTAAACCTTCAGTTCGATATAGATTGTAGACTACTACTCCATACATCGACTCGCGATTCTCAACTGACATGGCTGTTCGGGGTTATCCAGAAGCACTGATGGCAAAGCAGATTTTCCCTCCAATCATTGTCTACATTCCTTTCCCTCCTTCGTAATTTTCTGCTCACTTAACCTTTCTTTCCTCCTTTCCTCCTCTTTTTTTTTACCCTCTCATTCTTCCCTTCCTAGGCCAGTAAAGTTTTAATCTCCCCTTCCTGACTGGCTTATCACCCTTGGCATTGGTCAATAAAGGCGGGGTGGCGGCTCCGACAATTGGACGACGGCAAAGGATTATATTTTATCTCGCACAGTGCATGCACCAAGCAGACGGCTGTCATAGGTCGAGCAGAACCCTGTCGACGATTCTATGCCGAATGGCGAAATTCCTCTGGCATCCTTGTCATATCCCGGATTTTGCCGAGCGAAGGGTTACATCCTGCTCCGTACCAGGCAGAGATACCCTGCCCATGCATTGATACTCTGGCGTCTTTAACGCCTACCTAGCAGCCTAGCGGTCCAGCCATCCGAATTACTCGTACCTCGATGCCCTTGACTCGGATCCAATGGGTCGCAGTGCCTATCTGGCTTAGATGAACCTGCCACTACTAGTTCAGGATAGCTCCGCGGTTCCCTCTTCCGTGCCCCCTTCTGGTGTGTGGAGTGCAAGAATGGGGCCATGGGTACGGTGATTTGTTATGATCACTTTTTAAGAAAAGGCGGTATTGGCCCCGTCTCCAAACCCAAAAGTCAATTTAATCAAAAATAATAATAATCAAAAGCAAAACAAAAAAAAAAAAAGTGCACGTCGTACTCCGTAAATAGATACTTAATTCAAACGAGATGGCCCGAGAGCCAGGGGGGAAGTGCGAGCCAATGAGAGCACCGTCAAATATTAACAGACCAGGCCTTGGGAAGGTCGATAAACCCGGGGGGCATATGATAGGTGCGTCGTATATAATAAAGTGGTACCTCTTGGAGAATCCGGGACCAGATGGTCGCATAATCCAAGCTCGCCCCCGTGGCCAGCCTCCTCGGAGCTCAACCCACCCAGAGCACCAGGCCACGGGAGATAAACAGTGCTAGATATCCCATGGATTTGAGCCTTTGCGGCGGGGCGGGCTAGGATGAAAAGGGCCAAATTAATTTAGCTAGATACGGAGGCCTCCGTGCTCCGTTCTCGCACCGAAGAAAGGCTGTCGGTTGATAGTGGATTGAGCTCTGGTTCTTTCGAGGACACCGCCGAAGAGTTGGCCCACTGTCTCACCCGTGACCGGATCAATATGCCCCCCCCCCCATGGACCACTAGTCGCATACTAGGTCGACTAGGCCAGACGAGGTACCTCTGGCAGGTAGACTACTCCGTAGTCCGTACTTTGTAGGAGTAGGTCGAGATAGCAGTCGACACTGCCCGGGCATCTCGTGCTACCCTAGGCATATTGACATCAGAACAGATCATATCACCTCATATTAATTCCTCTACTCCTAACGCACATGGCAGCGTCAATGCTAGGTATCGTGCCCCTATTGCAACCAGCCTCTCCGGGCTTCGGTCATTAGGTAACCGATATGTGTCACAGATTGTTCAGCACTGGATATACTCGGCAAAGAGCCACTTCTCCTCCGTTCTTATCTATTCTTGCACGGAGTGTTGTTGTCCTGTCGAGAATGGAGCACGGAGTATCTCAGGGGCACCTCAGTATCAACAAGTACTTTGTGATTACTATACGATATACGCAGCGTCGTAGTATGATTTTGGCCGGTCCGCGGAGAACCCAATTAGGCAGGTGGTGGATATCGGGCGACCTCTTTCGACGCCTACATACTCCGTGGTCCTGGACGGAGGACAACTTTACATCGAACCTTCACGAAGCTCTCGTAGAAACATTCGCATGGACTCTGCATGTCTCCAAATGTCCGCTTTCATCATTATGATCACAGCATCGTAGCGCTGGAAAAAAATGTTACATGTTCCATGCATATTCCACGTCCGTCAAGAGATCTGTTAGGCTAGACTGCCTCAGGTGTCAAGTCAGATACTCTGTACGCAGTAGCTTTTTTTTATTTTTTTATTTTTTTTTTTGGCCTCCTCTCCTTGGTCCTCCTCCGGTACCACCAGAATGCCGGCGCTGGCTCGCGCCATTTCTTATTACGTTAGTGTTAGTCCCGGTGCCTCTGGGACGACCAATCCCGTTGGCTTCGCGATATTATCAGCGGAAATCCCGACTTCCGCGCATTGGACCACCAGGCTAACCCCCTAACGAGTCGCAGCAGTTAACCTTTCTGCCCCCCCCTTACCCGAACCAGGGCCGGCTGGCTTCGAAATGCCCCTAGGCTGGTTGGGGGTTAGTCCAATATGCCTAAAACTGCATATGCTTTGGCGCTTGTAATCTACGGTGGAGTCGGTAGGTATGTGTTACGCCGTCCAGGACCCATGTTATGTCCCCGTACATACTTACAATACATACCTGGCTCCGTATCTCACGGAATCTGTTGTCTACGTCTGGATACCTGTTGATCGGTGTAGAGCTGTCAAAGATATCTATTTCATATATATGGGTATACATAGTCTACCTTGATCGTTGCATAGAGGCACGGTCTAATCGTTGGAATTTTCCGGCCGTGTCCTGTATTCGATCTCTCCCCGATTTCTAATTTCCAATTCTAATGTCCTCGTACTGGACGACGTACAGGAACAAATGACACTTACTAGCCTGCAAAGGGGGACCCACCGGAGCCACGGGCTCTCGGCGGCTTTGTTACACGCGATATCTTACGGTAAGATACACTTTGCTAACCCACGGATGGTCCGATCTGGGTTTCCCGACGCGCTATGGAACTGTCTTGGGTGGTATGGGTTCCATTGTCTTGGAGGGTGAGGGGAATACTCCGTATACTCTGTAATGATAGCGATAATTATGAAAACAAATTCACGCGCACACCCACAGAGAGAGACATCAGGAGAAAGGCAGCGCGTGGGATGCAAAAAAGGCAAACCGGCCGCATCCTCCCCCTCAATGGAGGGAATCTACTCCCTGCGCTCTTCAATGCCTGCCATCGAAATCCTTTTCATCCTTCCCCCTTTTCTTCCTTTCTCCCTCTCGCTCTCACTCTCACCAAATTGATTGCTGGCATTCTCCACATCCACAGTAACCTCGCCAGCACGCCTGATCTCGGCTACACTATTCCTACGGAGGTCCATCTTCCCTCCCCGCAATTGAGCCTCCATCCCCGGAAAGCTGGCCTCCTTTCGCTCGGGGATCGGCAGATTCCTGGTTCATGTAATATGGATTGGCGGCTGTCTTTTCCTAGACCATGTTCCCAGCTCGGTTACTGAATATTGAGCAGGTACTCTCTTTCCCGATGGAGAGAGCCATTGAATGGCTGTATTCTCCACCCGCTGTGCTCACTGCCCCGCCTATCCCCGAGAAGCCCCAGGGGAGAAAGGGGAGGGAAAGGAGAGACCGCAGCGGCTAACTCACCGATGAATCAATGATTTTGGATTACTATGATTAATGAAAAAACAGAGAGAGAGAAGAAGGGAAAGAGACAAAAAAAAAAAAAAAAAACCGAACTCGATCTGAAGATGATCGCTCTGGCTTTCTGGGTTAACTGGACAAGGCACCGGAGGGTTTGCTGAATGCTGACCCAATTGGCGGCCATTCACATGGAACGGTATGTGCTTACTCGCTCTAGTCATTCCATTGCATACGGAAAATTATGCTCCGTCAAGCTACAGACGACAACTCCGCGAGAATTTCTCCGTGTTGACGAGCCATCTATATGAAGATGGCCTGGACTCTAGAGAAGCCTGAGTCGATGTGTACTATTGCTTGCTGTGTGGCTCTTGCATCGCTTTATTTCACACCAGTCGAATCCTCGAGATCATGCTAGTTCTCCGGCAGCTTCTGGCCATTGCCGTGGCCAATACCATCCTAGCAATTGCAGCTTTCCCCTCCAAGCCGCCAGGCAAGCAATCGTTTGACTGGGATGCTACACGATACTTGTTCGTGCCTCGAGATCGTTTCTTATCACCGCAGTCTGTAGCCACGCGCTCTGAACTAACCGCTCTATTGCATCCAGAATTGCCTTCGGTGACTCGTATACGTACGTGCAAGGCACATATGGCCATCAGAACTACAGCTTCATCGGAGATCAGCTGAACTTCGAATATGATGCCAAAACCTTGCTCACGAACAAGATCGTTCAGAACCAGGTTCGCAGATCCAATGAGCTGGCTGTCGCGTAACTGACACAAGAACCTCGTCATGTCATGATAGACTGCCACGGCAGAAGGTGGCCCGAACTGGGTCGAGTTCCTCACTGATTGCGGAGTCCACAAGGGACTCACCTCGCCGCGGAGCTGTAGAAAGCAACAACTCTGGGACTTTGCGTTCGCGGGCGCAGACATCTCAGTCGAACAGTAAGCACAGGAATCGCCTTGGTGGTTCATGATGGGCAAGTTGCCTGACTTGCCACAGTCTGCCCCTTCATCACAACTTCACCGTCTCCCTCGTCAACCAGGTCTCCCAGTACAAGAAATTCGGGTATCCCGTCCTCAAGCACGTAGTCAATCCATCCCAGACATTAGTCGCCATCTGGATCGGCATCAACGACATCAACGACAGCGCCAAGTACAGCGTCGATTTCCCTAGTTTCTACAATAAACTGATGGACACGCTGTTCTCCTCCGTGCAAGACCTCTACGGTCTCGGCTACCGCTCCTACCTCTTCATGAACCTGCCCCCTCTGGACCGAACTCCCAGCAATCAGGCTCGGGCCAGCCCCAGCCCCAACGCGACCCAAGTCGCGTGGTTCAACGAGGCGCTGGAGCAGCACGCAGGGGTTTTCCAGACGGCACACGCCGACACGAATGTCCTCGTCTTTGACGCGCACAGGACACTCAGCGATATGATGGATCATCCCGCGCAGTACGGCATCGTGAACACGACACATTTCTGCGCCGGGTATGACCAGCCCGATATCGACTGGAATTATCGGGCGCATGGGTGTCCAACGCCATTGGATTCGTATTTTTGGTTCAACTCGGGCCATTTGACGAGCCATACGCATCAGAAGCTAACGGAGGTCTTGGAGAAGCGGTTGGGGGAGTGGAGTGAATGAGCGATGTTTTAGATATCGCCAGGCGGGTGTAGTTTAGCGACACAAGCTCGAGAAGCTAATCGCTAGCATGGGATACAATTGAATAAAATATTTACTACTTACAAGCTACGGCGCAGTTTATTTGAATGGTCATTTTCATCAAGAATGCCACATGTTTGTATCCCTCGTTGAAGCAGGCATACACATGGTTATATATATACCTGCTAAAGCACATACTGAACATAAATCAACCCAAACACCACAACCCGGGTGTCAACACAATAGAAATGTAAACACACTATACCACTAATTTGTATAACATGTTGCTCACCGCTATTAATTTCAAACATATCAATAATTGAGGGTAAGCATGAGATTCTAGACCCAGGGCCGGAGGGATACGACCAATGAATGCGTTTAATATCTACAGAACCGAAATCTCTACACCAACGGTGAGAAATATATTAACCGAACCAGGAACAGAAGAAGTAGAATATCCTATAAATAAGCTAAAGAGGGAGGGATGGTAAATAACCGTGATTTTGATATACTCCGTAGAGGATAAACGGCAACACAAGAAAATAAGACTTGCTTTCCCTAACCACTCTTGGCAAAAATACCACCAAAAACAAAACAAAACAAGAACAGACCGAAATGAAAAAGATATCACCTGCAGTGGCTCGGGATGACCGACCATCTGGATCGCTCTAATGCACTGGGGGGATGGTTGCATTACATGATTGCTGCCTGGACGAAGACCGGAATCCGAATCTACGGGGAAATGATATGGATCTGATTCCCGGGCGATTCTAAATTAATAGTATAACACCACTCTTAGGCGTCCAATTGTCTCCGTCTGTTCGACATAGGCGCAGTACTAGTTACAAGCCAAAGCTGGGCGTTGAGTTCAACCAGTATACTAAGGGGCACCCCGGCCACACTACTGCACGGTAACACAGAAGCAGACAAGAGCCTAATGCATACGGAGTGCTAAGAAATCGAATGCACAATGAACCTGGATATGTAAAACAATAAGTACACTCCCCCTAATATTGGCATGCAAGACTGCAGCTACAGCGATCTAATCGTATCCGGCTCCAGGAACAAGATATCGAAACTTTTTGTTGGAGACAAAGAAATGACAATAAAGACAAAGAAAAGTTAAAAATTAACACATATCCCGTAAGCGGCTGGAACAAACTGAAGCCTTGAAATCCTTGTTGGGAAGGATGGAACCCCTATGAACTGAGCAAAAAAACACATAACTGTCTATCGTGACTTTCGACGAACGCCGCCCGTACCGAGTTACGAAGGAAAGAAGCTGAACCTGAGACGAAAACGAAAAAGCAAGGTCTACCGGTGACAATTACAAGCTCATTGACTGAGACTGGGCATCATGATCTGTTTTGGTTGGTTTTTTACCAGCGGCGGTTGTTTCCAAGAGGCGCCGCGTTAGAAGCGGTGAAGTTGCCTCCACGGCCACGGCCGCGGCCACCCCAGCGGCCGTAACCGCCGTGGTGACCACCGCCTCCGCTGTAGCGGACCATCTCGGCGAGACGGGGATCAATCTGCTGCTTGGCCTCAGTAAGGATGGTGATCAAGTCACGAGCCTGCTTAGAATCTGTGCAAGGAAAGCATCGTTAGTATGGCGTTGCCGGTGCGGCACATATCGAGCGGAGAACTTACTGTCAGTGGTGAAAAGGGTGATGGCGGTACCCTTGGCACCGGCACGACCAGTTCGACCGATACGGTGAACGTAGTCCTCCGAGTTGTTGGGGTAGTCATAGTTCAGCACATGAGTAATGTCGCGAACATCTTCAAACAAACTTATGTTAGCAAACGGAGCATTAGTTGTAATAGCAACGTGGCCGAGGAGCCCTTTCTCAGTCGTGTGAGACTTGATGCATCTCTCTCTCTCTCTCTCTCTCGCGGAAATTTGATATCAAGATCCGGTGGGGTGAATCCATGGGCTGGCAGATATCACAGTCCTGGAGCAACCTTGGAATGCAGTTTCAAAGTCGTCGGAACAGCAAAATACAAGTGACCCCCCCACTCTACCTAGGTTAACAGATAGAGATGGGGAATCCCGACAGAGGATGTCAAAATACGTCTGTTATACTGCACTGTGAGTCCAAGGTCCTCCTGGTATAAGGAACCATTTCGAACGACTCGACGAAAGCCTGGACGAGTCATGCACACCAACATGGGTTTCAAAGAGAGTCGAGCACCGTGCCATTGTCACACAACCTCAATACGGGTGAGGGTGCTTCTTGAGGAAGAAGACAAAGGAAAGGGGGAGGAGGGGGGAGGAAAGGGGGGTTAAATCGCAATTATATCATACCAATACCACGGGAAGCCACATCGGTGGCCACCATGATTGGGCTCTTGCCCGTCTTGAATTCGTTCAAGACCCAATCTCTTTCCTGTTGCTGCTTGTCGCCGTGAATCGCTATATGAACAGTCAGTAACGCGAACGCCGAGATTGGAACAAAGCCAAATGGGCAGGAAAAACTTACAAAGTGCGGGCCATCCGTCCTGACGAAGGAAACGAGTGATCTCGTCAGCAATACGCTTGGTGCCGGTGAAGATAAGGCACTTGTTGCCGCGGTTCTCCATGATCTTCTCGAGGTGCTTAATCATTCTATCGCGCTTCTCCATATCCGAAACGACTTCGACAATCTGGGTGATGCGGTGGTTGGCCGAAAGTTCCATGGAACCGATGTTGACCTGGATGTAGTCGTTGAGGAAGTCAGAGGCGAGCTGACGGACTTCCTTGGGCCACGTGGCGGACCACATGCAGGTCTGACGGTCGGGACGGATCTGTCCGATGATCTTGCGGATCTGGGGCTCGAAACCCATGTCCAGCATGCGATCGGCCTCATCAAGAACCAGGTAGGTGACACGACGAAGGTTGGTACGTCCGGCCTCGAGCATGTCGATCAGACGACCAGGGGTGGCAATGCAGACCTCAACACCACGGCTCAGATCACGGATCTGGGGACCCTTGGGGACACCACCGTACACACAGGTGTTGCGAATGCGAGAGGACTTTCCGAACTTGGTGATTTCGGCCTGAATCTGAACCGCCAATTCACGGGTGGGGGCGAGAACAAGAACGATAGGACCATCGCCGGGGGCGAGAAGGGGCTGGGCGTTGATGTGCACGATGGCAGGGAGACAGTAACTGAGGGTCTTTCCGGAACCAGTCTCGGCGATACCGACAACGTCGCGACCGGAGAGAGCCATGGGCCAACCCTGAGACTGGATGGAGGTGGGGCGCTCAAAGCCCTGAGACTTGACTTCGGTCAGGACATACTGAGGGAATCCAGCCTCGTCGAAGGTCTCGACAGGGCGAGGGATGTTGCGTCCCTGAACGGACATCTCGCTCTTCTTGCGGAAGTCATCCACCTCACGCTGGGTGCGGGCGGTGACATCGGGGTGTTCCTTGTAGAAAGACTTCTCGAACTTGGGGAGGGAGTCAAGGTCTATGGACGGCAAGGTTAGTATCGTGTCACAAAGGGATGACAGAGACGGTGCTGTCTCAAGGAATCAAACATACCCCAGTCCTGCTTCTTCAGGCCAGAGCCGAGGTTCGACATGCGATCTCCGGCACCAGCACCACCGCCCCCTCTTCCATAGCCGCCGCCGCCCCCGTAGCCACCTCCGTAGCCACCGCTGGAGCCGCCACCGTAACCACCACCACCATAGCCGCCTCCGTTGGAGTAGCCGTTGGAGTAACCGCCACCACCGCCGTTTCTAGAACTAGAGCAAACCATGTTAGCCTGAGATGTTTCCGCTGGGGAAGTTGAGATGAAAGTGAGGGATGAGCGTGGGTTGCATTGCGCGCTAGATCCTGCAGTTGAGACCGACGCTAAGACAAGGCAGTGCTGAAACGAGCGATCCCAGCCAAATTGTCGAGTCGGTCCCTGACAAAACGAGCGCAATAAACGCGACGCTGCATCGCTCCAAATCAAATCTCAACGAGTGCAAGATAGACATACCGGTAGGAGTCGCGCTGGTATCCGCCGCCGTAAGACATGGTTATCGCAGATTTTGTTGTATTCTAGGGAAAAACAGAAAACAAAAGACCGGAAGGAGTTGAACGAGCAACTGTACGCGGAGACAACAGCGTCTCCAGGAGAAAAGAGAGATGCAAGGATATCAAGGAAGAAGAAGATGGAAAGAGAGGACAAGGGGATGGAGATGAAGAGAAAGAAGAAGGATGGGGGAAGAGAAAGGAGAAAAAAAAAGTTGCTCGGGCGGGAAGGAAGAAAGAAAAACGAAAAAAAAAGAAGGCGAAGAGGCGACACTTGCCTGCTCCGGCTAGACTGCCTCCCGAGCGGCCAATGACCGCCGCCGTTCGCTGCCAGGATTTTTCACCGCCTCCGAGACGGCGACATCCCGAAATGGAAAGTTATCCCGGTTCCGGTGGCGGATTGTGTTTGTCCTGTTTGTCTGTTTGTCTCGATTCTGCTATGGAAGTACTCTGTAGTAGTTCTAGTTCATCTGCACTACACCTGCCCTTCACCTTCCCTTCACTCCTTCTTCTCCCCCAGTCCCATGTCCCAGAAACTGATCTCCAGCTCCGTCGCCCGAATAAAGATCCCAATCAATTCCTCCACCCGACTCGGCGAAACCTCGCACATGTGTCTTTCCAGTAGTTCTACTCGTCGGTTAGTTTCCGTGTCCACGTCTGGCGGTGTATGCGGACGCATGGCCTCTTACCCGATCCTAGGCAAACTGCCTGCGTGTAGTCATCTGCTACGTAGTTCTCAATCCATTTCCAGTACCGATTGCCTTCCCGAACGGTGTCTTTCTCGCCGTACAATCGCTGAGCAATGGCGCCGTATCCGAGCAGACAAGGCGCCAGAGCCATCTGGAGTGCGAGCCAATCCTCTGATTGACCGACGTCGAGGATGTACCGACTATACGCGGTGCATGCTAATATGTCCCAAACAATCCGTCTTAGTCACGGCGAGGATGGCAGAAAGCGCGGATTACTCACCAATGGTTTCCGGGTGCTTTTCCATCAGCTCCTTGGATAGTCCGAAGGAGGCACAGTAGTCCAGGTGCAGCGCGGTTTCACGTTGGATATGTAGGACAATTTGAGCCGACTGCGATGGTGCAAGTCCGAGTCAGCTTCTAAACAGACCCGAAATTAAAATCGAAATGGATCACTCACCGCAGCAATGGACTCCATGTTCTTTCCCTTATACGCGGCCAGTGCATTGCTCCGGGCGAAGTGGACCTGAGCACGCACACAGTTGGTTAGCATTTGCAGATGTACGACCAGACCGAGAAGGATAGATGATGCTTACGAGGTAAAGATAATCCTGCACAAGATACTCCTTGAAGCGCCCCACAGGAAGTTTACCAGAGCCAATGCCCAGAACAAAGTCATGCTCCGTGAACTTCTTCCACACTGGTCGAACATTGGGATGATCCAGAACATACTCCACAAATCGTCCCCTGACCATAATCATCAGTAGCCAAACAATGCGTCTGCACCTGGGAACGACTCACGGGGCAAAAGGCATCGTATACATAGAATGGAAATGGTTGATTGGACCACTTCCCTTCCCAATATCAAGGCTGGTCTTGATACCGGCCTCAACAAATCGCACGGCCGCTTGGACGGCGCGTTGCAAATTTTTCCCCAAGGCCAGGTTGGCCGCGATGGCAGAGGCAAGAGAGCAGCCCGTGCCGTGGGTGTTCTTCGTCACCAGGAAGTCAGTCTCAAACAAAGTGACATTTTCGCCGTCAAAAAGCACATCGATGACTGTTGTCGCCTCTTGCGGGTTGCGAGCCGTCTCATGTGCTTTCGTAAGTGGCAGATGTCCCCCTTTGAGAAGAACAGCCTTAGGCCCCAAAGCACAAATTTGCTTTGCTAGACTGATGAGCTCCGAAACGTCCTTTGGCTCAGGCACTTCCAGACCAGAGTCCTTGAGTAACAACTGCGCTTCGGGGATGTTCGGCGTGAGAATGGTCGTTAGCGGCAATAGTTTCGTTCGAAGGCCCTGCACGGCAGCTTCGGGTAGTAGCTGGGCCCCGCTTGTAGACACCATAACCTAGAACATTATGCATTAGAGATGAAGCGCCCTTCGCCATCCGAGAAGACCGGGGAGAGAAAGCTACCGGATCCAGCACCACCGAAGGAACTCGGTGCGACACCAGAGCCTCGGCGACCACATCAATTGTTTCGGCGGATGAGAGCATGCCTTTTTTTCTGGTCAGGTAAAAGAACTGTCATGTTGATCAAGGACAGGAAAGCCTACCAAATTTGACAACATCAGCTCCGACATCTTCCAAACCGGCATTGATTTGCTTCTTGACAAATTCAGCCGGAACCACGAAGATATCCTGCACCCCGAGGGTGTTTTGCGCCGTTAAGCCCGTGGTCGCAGTCAGGGCGTAACAGCCATGGGCGGCTAGAACCCTCTGATCCGCCTCTAGACCGCTAAATGCAGAGGATGTGCATTAGTTTGACCGTTGTTGGGAGGGCTAAAAGTTGGAGGGGATACGGAGACAGAGATTAACATACGCGCCACCTGAACTGTCGGACCCGGCGATGACTAGAACTCGCTTAATCGACATGATAGGCAGTCGGAGAGCAAAACAACCGCAAGCGAATGTACCCGAAAGGTGTCGAGGATGGATGATGGAGTCGAGAAGAAGTATGCATCCTGACCGGGGAGGAATTGCGGAAGTAGGCAGACTTGGTGGGGTGTGGGCCCGCCGCGGTCTTTGGGTCAGTCAACTTTCGATAAGATGAAGTCATTTGTTGACTTGTTCAAGTTAGAGAAACAGATGCAAATGCAATTGATTATTTCATGCCTAAAGTTCATTCATCCCATCATCCAAGCCGAGCTGCCCTATCCACAAATAATAACGAAAATATCGAGAGCTATCCTAGTATATACAAAAATTACCCATCAACCCCGGCCACAGAACGGCCTAGGGTAGCATAAAGCGAAATAGACTATCCATTTCCACCCATTGGCGACCGCATTTTTTCAGATAAGCATCTACTACGCCCTTGACCGTTCCAAATCTCTCACGGTTGAATGAAACCAGCGCTGCAACGCTGTCTTTCTTTTCCCCATCAGCCTCCTTCTCCACAACGCGGCGAGCCTTTTCCACATCCCAAAGACCGGCGAAGTAGAGGAGCTGGTTATAGATCCGCTTCTCTGAATACTCATAGGTCATCCGGCCAAGGCAGCCTTCAGCGTGGCCCCGGGGACCAAGACACCGTCGTCCGTACACGCTCATCTGTCGGGTTCGGTTGCCACAGGCAGTATCATCACAGACAAGCCAGCCCTCGTAGTATTTGGAAGTCTGGGCCCGGATTTGGCTCTCCAGCTGGGCAACGATCGTCAAGATCGAGAATTGTTTCTGGCAGGAAGCATTCGGGCAAATGACACCGTGGGCATTGCACATGTGAGAAGAGTTTGCCAACCCTTCAAAGACCGATTTTTCCTTGCAGAATCGACAGGTGAGCGTCAGCCGGGCAGCATTTTCAAAACGAACGGAGTCCGGGATCTGTGACTCCAGTGGGGTGATCTCCGCATTCTGTTGACTGTTTCCACCAGAGGAAGTATTGATTTGGTATTTGCGAACATCCAAACCCAAGCATTCGGCCAGCCGAACCGCATCGGTGCCAGGAATTGGGGCACACAGACGCTCGATAGGGGGGAAGATTTGTTTGAGAAGATAAAACTCAACGTCGGGCTTGAGCTCCGAGCCGCTCTTCATCACATCTTGAAGCGTGTAGGACCGCTTGGCCGGGGGCAGAGAGGCCGTCTCTGAATCTCCATTGGTCACAATATAAGAGATAACATCGTTAGGCCTGACCGACTTGCCACGAGCAAGTTCACGAAGAGCAACCTGGGCCGGCGGCATCGTTTCTTTATTAGGATATTCTTCGGGACGTTTGGAGAGTTTCTGTGGTAAGAGAAAAGAAGGTCAGTAGGCGGTAGGAAACACCAGTAAGGAGATCAAACATACCGTGTAGATCACATATTTCTGAACGGGGATAGTAAATTCCCGCATCTTGTCCGCTAACTCGCGTAGGTAGTCGTGAACCCGGTTGAGGACGATCTCTTGATCATCGCCGGAGAGGACCTCGTTCAAGAGTCTCTGGGAGACTTCCTTGGACAGCGCACAGTATTCACGTCGCTTCATGTCGAGACCCTTGACTTCCAGCTTGTCCACATATTTGCCATCTACTTCGGTCATGTTCACGGCAGCATATTTCTTCTTCGCATGCAGGAGAAGGCGACGGAAGATATTATCAATATCGATCTCCAAGAGACGGTATCTCTCGTTGACCGATTTCTTGAATTCCTCCCCGACCTTGAATGCATCACTGATAGTATCCATGTTCGTGTTGATCATGACGGAGTCAGTATCACCATAGATGACCCTCAGCTGTTTCGACTCGGCCAGTTCCTTGGTGCTCCTGAGAATTTCACGACCTTTGAATGTGGTGAGCATTGCCAAAGGACGAGCGTAGAAACGACTCTGTGTGTATCCCAGACACCCATACATGGAGTTGGCCGTCAGCTTAAAGGCCAGCTGCTTGGTGTCCCACAGCGCAAGTTGCTCGGGAGTTGCACGCTTGTCTTTCATCAACTTTTTCACTTGTTGCCGACGACCGACAAGAGTTGAAATTAGTCGAGGCAAGATACCCTGATCCTCGTCGGAAGAAGGGACCTCGGGCACCTTCTCTTCGTTCTCATTCTCAGCCTGGAGGAGATATCATCAGTATATGCCAATGTAAATACGTAGGGCCAACTCACAGTTGCAGTCCGTTCCACCGTTGTGAAACAGATGTTGTACTCCTGAATGATGCTGGGATACAAACTGTTGAAATCCATGACCAGAACAAACTTGTCATAGAGACCCTTCTCGGGTTCGAAAACGAGACCACCCTTGTACTTGTCCTTCTTTTTCTTGTCCGTCGTATCATCGTCATCGCCCTCCAGCAGCTTTTCTTCTGCCTTTTGCAACTTGGACGAATATTTATCCGGACAGATGTACTTGTTGCGATGGAATTCATGGAGCAGAATGTATTCGTTTCTCTCGGCACGCGTACCGCTGAGTGTTCGCGCCCATGAATTACCGGCAATGTTTGTGAGAACCTTGGTTAGAGGCAACATCTGCAGTCGCAATACCAATGCGGCGATGAAATAGGTATCGGCATCGCAATGGTTCACGAAGTTCATGAGACCTTCCTTCGAGTTGGCCCACGTTTTCAACGCTGCCTCGGTGTCCAATTCCTGCCGTGTGTTTCCTTGTCCAAGGTACAGTTCACACATCTCCGTCAAACTCCACGACTGACATTTCATCATCAGAGACTAGCAGCAGTTAGTAACAAACCCCAGGACTCAAAGGTTGATAAGCCTACCTTGCCCATATCGTTACCCACGTCACACATCAACCGTCCCGCAATCAGATGCCTCTCAGCGAAGAAGCCACCCCCCCTGTTAAAATTCTTGGGCCAGTCCCCACGCTTGAGTCGACCCAGTCGATGCCAACCAGGGGATTTCTTTTCTTTCAGCCTGTTGAGCAGAATGCTGAGATCTACTTCCTGCAGTTGATGGCCCATCAAGACGTCAGGATCCATCTTCTCGAACAAAGCAAGAAATTTGCTGAGCAAGAACTGTTCACTCTTCTCAAGCATGATAGTGCCTCGTTGCTTTCGAGTCTCAGCTTCGAAATGCATGGGGTAGGAAGAGCCCACAGGCCGCATGACTGTGAACGTTTTGCAAGGCAGTCTCTCTGGGGGCGTCGTGTCCGTGAGGGAAACATTCTCGTACACGCGAGCACTTGCGACCAGGATTTCTTGCTTATTCTCCTTCACATTGAGTTGTGTCCGGAATGAAAGACTCATCAACGTAAGAGGCGGCGAGTCTAGATTCTCGGAGTCGGGAACAGGAGAGATAAGCGCAGGTTTCGAGGCCTGGCATTCGAATTTACACCAGGATGCATTGTTAACGGCAGAGAAGTCAGCCTCCTCGATTTTGAGCCAACAGGGACCCATAATATTCTTCCATAGAACGAATTGTTCGAACAAAGAGGTGTTGGTTCCGAATACGTTGGAGAATGTTTCTCCCTTGGTGTCCATCGGTAGTGCCGGTTTATCGTAAGGGTACAGCAATTTGAGGTACTCGGCCTCTTTCGGGATACCGGGCATCTCGAACGCGTATTTGCGAGTACACGGCTTGATCTTGTGCATCCCTACTTTCAATCGCGACATCATACCGTCGACTTCCTGATAAACATCATTCATTTCGACTTCGTCATCCGTGGCCCGGTTATGCTTGTGCCTGTGTTCTCGGGGAAGAAAGTAGAGCTTTCGCAGGATGTTGTCGACTTTAACGAAAGCGCTAGCAAAAGCACCCGTCTGCTTGTTCTTGACTTTTCCAAACAAGCACAGACTGCCATTGACTTCGGTGAAGTCCAGCCAGAACATGCGCAGGCTACCATCTGCCTCGACAACGTCCTGCGCTCGCAGCTTACCCGGTGTTCGCGTCTCCGTCGCCGGGCTGTTGAGAACATTCAACTTGCTCCGCACATCATTCCAAGACGCATCGACAACATCAGGGGCCGCTTTCATAGGCGAGGAGCTTGCTGGCGTGGGCAGAATCTCCTTCTTGAGCTTGGGCGGCGGCCGACTTCCAGCCATGTTCACGCTTGCTACCTTCGCTTCGTGGTCTCCAGTAGCTTCGGCCACCTCCATCAAGTCATTGTCGTCGTCATCAAACTCCTCGGTTTTCACGGGAACGGCAGTTTTCCTCTCCACAGCCTTGCTCGTGGGCGATGAGGGCATCGGATCGCTCATCGGCACATCGTCGTCATCGTCGGCGGCGGGAAGAGGTTCGTCATCGTTGTCCAAATCAAGTGCCGATTTTTCTTCGCCCGGCGAAACGGGATCGCTGTTCTCGTCCTTTTGGGTTCGGGGTTTCTTTTCGGGCCGTGTTCTCTGGGCTAGCGGTGGGGAAAGGATGCGCACTTTGCGCCGCGTCTCCGACTTGATGACATTCTGAGGCGGAGGCACATGGTTCGAAACGACATTGGTGTCGACCTCTCCAAGAAGATCAGCCATGAAAGCATCATCTTCCGCGGTGGCCACAGGCTTGAAAGGAACCGGTTAGCCTCTCTTCCCTCAAACCGTCCAACAGACACTCGTTTCAAAAACGCGCGCGGACAACTCACCTTCGGTTTTGACGCAGCAGCAGCTTGGCCCTTGTTGAAGTATTTGGAAATGCCATTGTTCATCTTCTCTTGCCGCTGTTTCTCCTCCTCTCGTTTCCGCTTCGCAGCCTTGCTATTGGCGGGCAGTCCATCGTCGTCACTCTCACTATCGTAATATCCGGCCGACTGCTCATTCCAGACCTCGCGACCGTCATCCGCGTACCCTTCGCCATTGTCATCAACAACGAAGTCGTCCTCGTCCAGCCGATTGCGGATAATCTTCTTGTATCCGTCGTCGTCGACCTCTTCGTAGATGTCACCCTGATCTTCGACTTCGTAGGTCGAAAGACGCTTCTTTCCTGCGGCTCGCAGGGCTCGTAGCTCGGCCAATTTCGCCCGGGAAGAAGCCATGGCGCTTGTGGAATTATTGCGGACCACTGGCTTCCATTAATCGCTTTTCAGGTGAAAGCGTCGCGTTGGTCGAGACCCGTGGAGGAGACGGGGAAGGGCGTGGACTTGGGAAGGGGGACGGACAGTCGCTGGTGGGCGGCACGCGGAGAAAACCACGCGTTGCAACGCGAGCGGGACGCGCTCTCCGCCAATCCCCGTTAAGTGGTTTTTTGCCGCCGTCAGCATCGCTCTTTTACTATTTTATTATGGCTGCCGACGAGGTATTTACTGTCCTACTGCAGATCTTGAATAGATTACCTCTGCATCAGTTTGATTCGGTTTCATTTTCTTTCCAGAACCAATCATTGCTCCTTTTCTCTCCTCACTAGAAAAACCCGCGTGGGCTTCTGACGAACTACTTAGATTACCGAAATAGGAACAATTAACAGACACTCGTTTCTCCCAGGCGCCATTACTGGCCAATTAATCCGACATTTCAGCGTCGGAGTCCATGTCACTGAATTCCTCTGCGTTCGGTTCATTAGCAATGATTGGGAGAATGTCAGGATAGACGCAACTAACCTTGTGCTAAACCAAAATCAAACGACCCATCCAGCTTGGTCTTCAGAGTCTCGCGGATTACAGTTTGCGCTTCTTCGGTGATATTCGCATCTGTGGTGGCGTTTAAGATCGACAAGCTGAACCCGTGATTGCCCGGTCCTAGGCGCGAGATGAAGTCGAGGATCCCGCGAGACGTGAACTCGCTCAGGGCGTGGATGACGAGGCTCCGAAGATTGGGGAGACACTGGAACGATTTCCACACCTCGTCGTTCAGGTAGTCGCCGCTGATCCATAGTCGGTTCAAGTGGGGGAGAAACGGAGTCAATACTGCAATATGGTTGAGCGAGAAGCCATCGGAAATGTCCTTGAGTTCAAGCTCTTCCAGATTGTTCAGCTGCAAGAGTGCTTGCACAAATACTTCGTTTTCGATGTAGTTTTCAGTTGATTCTCCGCGGAGATAGAGGCTTCGTAGAGACTGTTGTGAGCCAAGAGCCTCGTGGAAAGCTCGACTTTGAGACATTATGTAACCCTCCAACGAGAGACTGGACAGTTGAAACCCGTCTTCAGTGAGGACCTGCGACAGCAGGTTCGGATCGTCAACGAACTTCCGGAGATCAAGGCGCTTCAATGCTTTGCAACTGCGTATCCATTCAGCAACGCGCGTTATGATGGAATAGAACTCGTCGGTTTTGGCTGTGGGGATTGAGTCCGTTAGGACCAAGACCTCCAGCTCTGGTGGTGCTGCCAATGTGGGAAGTTCCGCGATCGCTTCGATGGACAAGCTTGTGAGCTTCAGTTCTCTTAGAGAATCTAGGTGGCATCCCAACGCCTTGATCGAGCGCGGGCCTAAATGAGAGTAACTGAATACTTCGAAATACTCCAGGGTGTTGGGGCTCAATTCATTCAGGAACTCCTCGCAGTCGGTCTCGGCAGTCTTGGACGCCCTGATCACAATTAGCAAATCATATGTTAGGAGGTCCCATGATAGCATACCATCCGTAAATTGTGAGTTGCTTGAAGTCAGGACAATGGGCACGGAGTTTATCACCCGCATGGTCTGTTAGAGCGGCCCCAGACCAGACGGACAAGGTTCGCAACAACGGCAGACGTTCGAGCCATTCGACTAATGTAGATGATGAAACTATAGCACTAGTATTTAGAGACGAGTTTCTTCATGTATCTGAGGTCTGAATGGCTTACTGTTGCAGGACATTCCTCGTATCGATGTTGCTCTCTCGACGATCGCTACAGTAGTAGTCAGACTTTACTCCGTACAGCCATTCGAAAACGACGCAGCCCCTTTTAATCTATGCAAGGACATATACGGATGTACTTACCCCCACCAAGCTTGGTCATGATCCATTCATTGTCGGGAAAAATCCTCGAGGAACGAAGTCGCTTGCTCCCTTTGGACGAATAGTCTTTGGACACGAAATCCAGTACTTCAGGGGTGAAGAAATCCCTATAACACATTCAGCATCCCAGGCACTAGACTTTCTCGCACATAAGCAAGAAGCTTCCTTACTGTTTGATCTTCCCGGTAAACCCCGAGTCTTTCAGAAGATAATCCAGATCATCGAGATCCAAATAGCGGATATAACTATAGTAAGGCAGATAAGTCTGGCCGAACGTAGACAGCACGATTGAACGCCACATAAGCGCCCATTTGCGAGCCAGCGTCGGCGCCGGTCTCCGGTTTCTCAACTGCTCGTCATCGGTTCCTCCGCTTCTTACTGGCGAGGTGTTATACAATCTAGCGTCGTCGCCGACAATGTCAGCAAGAAAGTTCACACCCACAAGGTAGGAGCTTAAACCCTCACTTGTATAGAGATGTCAATGCAAACTCAGTAAAGCATTTTGACGAGAGAGCACATTGGTACAGGCTGTTGTAGTCCTTCTCATCTCCGAGGATATCCAGAATCATATAGAGAACATCCCCAGGCAGGACGAGCGTCATTTTGACTGGAAAATGTTCTTTTACCCGTCCCAAAGCAGAGTGCTTGCAGGACCAGGACGTGTCATTTACACGTAAATATCTCAATTCTGAGTGATTCCGACACGATGCTTCGTCCACCGCGAGGTTCTGGGAAGGCGCTGACGCTTGGAAGAGGCAGCGCCTTACATCCAGCTCGATTATGTAAGCACGCGTCGTGTTTGGCCGCTGACGTGAACCGGCCAATGCATCCCCGGGAATCAACCACGGCCATTTATACTTCTTGCTTGGACATTATCTGCTTGGGTTTTGGCGAGATTTGATTTCCGGAGACGATTGAGGCTATAATCACGTTAAGGAGGAGCCATGACAACCCTCTCTTTTGCACTTGCGCCCCAGGCGTTAATCCAGCTGCATGATGCTCTGATATGCCTGTCCAAGTTCGACGAAACCGTTGTGATGGAGGCGGAATACGATCTTGTGGGTTTCTCTTGGACTATTAAAATGGTGGAGGGAATATGGTGCGGCTGACGATTGACATCCAGCTTCGTCTGAGTGTTCTCAATTCCACAAAAACAAGCTATTCTGCCTTTGCGCTAGACGCAAACCGCTTTTTCCAGGATTACTCGTTTGGGGTCCTGCGAGATGCCAATTCAGCCAGGAACAGGCAACCCAATAAGTTCTGCTGCCAGGTGTACTTGAAAGTGAGGACAATCCAGGCTTGCCAACAATTTTCTGGCTAACATTGACCACAGGCCCTGCTCTCTGTGTTCAAGGGTAGAATGGGTGGACGTAACAAGGACACTGCAGTAGAGCGCTGCGAGGTCGATCTATACGAGGACTACGACACTGCGGAATGTCGACTAATTATCAAGATGATTTGTGGGCTTGGTGCGTGTCTGTGGAGTTTGTGTCATCCACTGGTTTCGAGTACTGACGACCTATAGGTGTGATAAAATCCTACAAACTCACATATGAACCGACTACTGCCCAACATGCCGTTTTTGACAGGTCTAAAACGACAAACGAGTGGAGCATTGAGCCTAGGTTTCTTAGAGAGATCACCGATCATTTTAGTCCGTCTGCAGAACAACTAGATATCTATTCCGAAGCTGGGAAAGTTATATTTACAAGTTTCACGACAAAAATTGCCGAAGGAAAAGGTGTGTTGTTCTCAAAGGGTGAATTGAGCCAGGCTAACTTGGGCAGAGGTTCTCAAGCAACCGGTGCACACATCGGTTGCCATCGACAAAAAGGATTTCAGTCATTTCTTGGCCCAAGACGGTATACACCTTGCAATTAGCCTGAAAGATTTTAAAGCCGTGATCGCCCATGCCGAGACAGCAGGTGCAATCATCACTGCCCGATACACTCGACCCTCTCGGCCAATGCAGCTCGCGTACGATCTCGAGGGCCATAGGTCTGAATTCACCCTGATGACAACGGGTGATCCAGGCGCAGATGATGGTCCAGACTCTTCGCGCCCCCAGGAGTTGTCGGCGAGGCAAACGCCTGCCCCTATACAATCCAACACAAGCCGGCCGTCCCAGCCGCGTCCAAGCAGTAGAGCCACGGATGTGAGGCAGATGCCTCCCCCGACTTCTCGCAGTCGATCTATTCGGCCACTCACGGGGACTTCTGCCCGCAATACCCAAACGCAACCACAGACACAATCCGAGACTCAGCCACCACCAGCATCGATCAACTTTGAAAGTCTCTTTGTGCCGGCGGATGATGACGGGCAGTGGGATGTCCCTAACGACGAGGAAGAAGAAACAGAAGACGTGTTGGGCTGGGACGCAATGGGCGACCAGGTTCGTGCATCAAAAGTAATAATCCGCGTGAACGATTTTGCTAACGGAGACAATAGGATATTGACGGTCTCGGCCAGCGTTTGCGGGATACTCAGCCCAGTATGCAACGAGGCGATCAAGCGACAACAAACGAGGAAGAAGAGATGGGCATTCCTCCAACACAGCGCATGTCACAGGTAAGACAATTGCTCCCGTTTGTATCCTGGCTCAACTGACACCCCATAGCTTCATGGTCTCGGTCTTTTCGACTGAGTAAGATCGCCCGGCTTTCTGATCTTAGCGGTGCTATGCAGCCGGTGGTTATCGCTGGGGCAGCAACAGGACCCGCGGAGAGAAACAGGGAAGACAACATCACCTGCTAGTAATGATCCAGCTAGTGGCACACCCCGCCCCGATCCCAACAACTGCGGAGTTATCCTCAGCCGGCAAAGGGATTCGCTTATACTCTCCCTTGACATTCCCCTGTGCATCAGTGTCCGGACCGCAGTTGCCATGCTCCCCCCAGCCAAACGCCACCACGCTCCGATCATCAAGGAGCGCCAGTGCATGTTCACTTCCAACAGCAATTTCCCTCGATACGGGTAAATCGACAGGCGGAAGCTGGCCGCGATCATTCCGGCCCCAGCACACAATCGAAGAGTCTTTCTGATGTACATAAATCCCATGCCAACTAGCATAAACACCACGATACCCTTCCAACGCACTCGGCGCCGGAACCCCAGATAGAATATTCCACTTATCACCCGACGACCCCAGCACTGCAAACTGCCCCGTGGCCTGGTCCCCAGTCACCACTGTAAATTCACGACCACAGGCCACATCCCCAGTCGCCACGAAAGGCACGTTATCGATCTTCACCGGCGACCAGGCGATCTTCGACGCGACGGCCGATCCCCCCAGCTGGCCTTTCCTCGCCCCTCCCCATCCATACACCTCCCCGTTCGACAGCACAGCAACCGTATGTCCCATGCTGCTGGCAATCCCCTGAATCTTCGTCCCCGGGGGCGGGAAATCCGGGATCCTCGTCGCGGCCGGCGCCCGTGCACACTCCGGCCCGAGTCCCAGTTCCCCTTTGGCTCCGGATCCCAGCACGAACACGGCGTCGCGGTCGCGGTCCTCCTCTCCGCCGCTCGACGGCACGAGAAAGGTGGCTTCCCAGGTCGCCGAGATCCCCTTGAACGTGTCATACGACCGCCCCGTCGACGTGTCGTTGACAATCACCTGCCGAAAGCTGAACAGTGGGTCGGGGGAGGGGCTCTGTCCGCATCTCCCGTCCTCGTTGCACCCAGCAGCGTAGACCGCTCCGTTGGCGAACAGCACTAGAGTGTGGTTACCACCCGCGACAATACGCTGAATGCCGGTCTCAGGTAGGCTTCTGTCGGGGGTAGACGATGAGCGGGTTGATGCTTGCTCGTCAAACAGGCACGGTGCGGGGACCGAGACATCTTCAACGTGACCGATACCCAGCTGGCCAGATCCGTTGGAGCCGAACGAGAAAAGAGGCATTCTTCGATAGTGAAACAAAGTTCGATCCACCAATTTGTTGTCTTTTCCCCCTCACTTTTCCTCACGGGACTTCGAGTGCTGCCAAGCTTCTCCGACCTTCGAGAAACCTGGTTTCCACCGCCTACCGAATCAGAGGCGGCCCACTCGTGATCACTTGCCTCGGTCCGGAAACGGCCTGCTTAGCGGAACCACGGTCTCTCGCACCACGGAATTAGCTCGGGACAGCTGACCCGGCTGCAAATCCCGGTGAGATGATTCATGATTGCTACGGTGGTGGATCTGGTTTCCACTCGGGAATGATTTAATGGGTTTTTACTGAAAAAGGCAAAGAGCTCGTTAGAGTATGTAACATTAATCAAGTTTCTATATACTTCGGTGGGTATTCGTAGCCTGTGTACAGAACTTCTCCGCAATAAAGATAAGAAGGCTAAAATATGGATGCATGTACAACGAGCACGCAATTCATCATGCAAAGTCGCCTCGTCAAAGTGATAAAAAAATAAATAGGAAGGGTCAATATTATAATGCGAGAAGGGTATTGGGAAGATGAGATGCTGTGCTTATTTTTCGGACTTTTCGTTGAAGGAATCGGATGAATCGCCGTCCTGTGCGGCGGGAGGGAGGGCGAAATTATCTGACTTGGCGGTTTGCTCCATGGGTCGGAACATCGGGCTCGTGCGATGGAAGTAGGCGTGGACATGGCCTTCCAAAAGACTGTCGTCCGTGTCCATCTCGAGCTCCTCGCCCTTGTTCTGTTCGGCGACCTTGCGGGACATCGCGGTCTCCCACTCGGCACGGTACTCTTCCACCTTGCTCTTGTAATCCGCCTCGGCGTCGTAGTGCTTGCCCTTGCCGGTGATCCGCTCCCAGATAGACAGGTGCTTGGAGTGAACGGCCGGGCCATGATATTCATGTTCACGGCCGTCACGAATGTACGTCCAGCGACGCTCCTGCTCCTTCAGGTCAAGTCCGGTGGTATCGGGGAGGAAGATCAGAGTCAAGACCATTCCGGCGAGACCGAACCAGGGAACCACGTAGAACTTGGTTTGCGTGTCGATGTAATTGTAGAGGACAGATGCCAAGAGCGCTCCCGACTTACCAGCAGCCGCAGAGAGGCCGTGGGCCGTGGCACGAATGGGCGTCGGGAAGACCTCGGCGGCAACCAAGAAAGTCACCGAGTTGGGGCCGAACTGGTTAAAGAAGGAGCTCAGGAAGTACATGGCTTGGAACTCATGGATGTGCTCCGGCGAAGTGTAGTATTCATAGTTGAAAGCGGGAACGATGAAAAGGATGAAGCACATCATGAATCCGATCATCTGCATCCACTTGCGGCCGTAAAGCTTGTTGTCGATGAGGAACGAGGCGCAGTAGTAGCCGACCAGCGACACGCCAACGTTGACCAAGTTCCAAAGCCAGGTGGGCATGATGGAATCGGAAGCGGGGCTGATGACCTTGATAAATTCGGACTGGAACAGCTTGTTACCGTAGAAGAAGACATCGTTGGCAAACCAGCCACCAGCAGTCGCCAGGATACGGAATCCAAAATGGTGGAAAGTCAAACGGAGCGAGTTGAAGTCGTAGCCGGTAACAGACGCCTTCTTCTTGGCGGAGGCCAGCTGCTTACTAGCGGCCTTCATGTGGTAGGCACGGTAGTAGACCAGCCACAACGTACCAACGGCGGGGATGGCGAAGGAAATTCGGTAAGTCCATTGGGCGGACACGGAGGAGTAGGGCGGGTTACCACTGCCGTGGTGGAAGCACAGCAGCAGAATGATGAGCAGAACCTGGTTGAAAAACTGACCCCAGCCCTGCATCAAAAAGGCACTAGTGACTTTTCGGCCACGGTGCAGACGATCTTCTTTAGTCGAGACTTTTCCGGAACCAACGGCATTCTCCATGCCACTCGTCGCGGTCATGGGATATTCACCACCTATGGAATCATCGTGTCAGACCCGAAATTAAAATCGCCGGTTTTTTTTTTTGGTCCACGGGATGAGGACTTACCAACACCGATGCCGTAAAAGAACAACGACCAGGCATAACAGATGACCCAGCCATTCTGGGTGACACCCCAGGCGGCGGTCAGCATCAGCAACCCGATAAACATGATTGCCGCGTCCTGAATCAGACCCCATCGTCGGCCGAGCCTGATTGTCGTATTAGAAAATAAAGTTCGCAGGAAAAGTGATTAAGCTTCTCAGCCCGTTTCCTGATAGGGAAGCCGTACCAGTCGCCCAGAATTCCAACCAAGATTTGTCCCACTATAATACCGCAGATTTCAAGATAGTCGATGGCATCCAGCCAGTGGGCATTGCAGATCTCCTTGTCATCCCAGCACGATTTGAAGGCAGCCTGGAAGAGGGGTTTCAGGTTTCCGATCGAGAAGAGCACGTAACTAGAGACGCGATCCGTTAGCTTCCTCTCTCACTCTCCAATGGGTCGCCCAAGGACATCCGAGCACTTACCCCTCCAGACCCAATCCCGCCCCAGGAAGCACCATGTTCCGAAAATAGTAAGAGATGGGGGACAGGGGATCCTGCTTGGTCATCTCCCATATCGAGCCCAGCTCGCGCTTGGCTTCCCCGGCGTCGTAGGAGCCCACAAACTTGACGCGGCGGAAGAACGACAGATCCGCCCAGTAGGTGCCGTCCGGGGTGTAGCTGTCTTCGGGACGAATCAGAGCGTCAAAGGCGCCCTTCTCGTTGATGTCCATGTTCTCGAGAGGCTGATGGGTCCCCGACATGTCGGGCCCGTGAGGAGCACGAGGGCCAAAGTCGGTCATTGTGTGGTCGACTGCTGAAGCGCTGGAGCACCGACGATCCGACAAGTACCTCTTGGCCTGCAAGGCAAGGGAATTAGAGGCGGGAGTGGACGCGCTTGGTATCCCTCAGGATGACCGTTCGTCAGGAGAGTTGTGGAAGGCGTCACACACAATGTCAGCCAAGTCGGACAAGGTTGGTATCAACTTATATGAAGACGGGCGATGGCAGAAGAAAAATCTCTGGGCGGAGGCGGACGAGAGCCAGCGGGCCTACAGGCTCCAGGCACATGCCGAAATCCCGCCTTATGATAAGTCGACGCAGGTGTGGTTAGATCCAGTGTAGGGCCAGGATCCACGGGCGAAGGAATCATGTCAGTGGTAGTTGGCGGGCGAGCAACTCCATTGCCCAGACCAAGGAACAGCAGCCACAGTGACCGACTGGTGTTAGTGGGTGGGATTGCGGTGGCTCTCATTTGTCAATCGACTCCATTTCGACCGGAGGAAGTGGGTGTGGTGGTTCAAGCCGGAATTGTCACGAAAAGGGTTTTTGGTTTTTTGATTTTTTTTTTTTTTTTTTTTTTTTTTTTTTTTTTTTTCTTTTACTCCGTAGTTTATTTAATTTTTTTTTTTGCCATCGGGGCCGTCGGAGGACTCCGCAGGCAGTAGTCGCCCTGTCTAGTGCGGGCGCGGCGGAACCGCCTCATTACCAGTGCGGAAGGCGGGACGATTGTTCACCTCCCAACTTCCGCTGCCGGCCAATGAAGAGCGCACGTGGCGGCAGAATCTGAACCCGATCGTCATGACCGCCTTCTAGAAGCAGATCCCTCTCCACCCATTAGCCAATCGAATTCTCCGTCGCCGCACGAGCAGCGACCGCCCGCTCAGCCACGGAGATTCGACTCGCCCAGCAAAGTGAGAGGGAGAAAGACGGGCTCACGGAAGGCCAACAACGCAATTCTCCGGGGAATCTCCAACACGAAGAGGGGCAGCGACAAGTGCCCATGCAGGATTACAGATTACACCGAGTGTGACGGTGCGTCCCCGGGCTGCGTAGCAAACGGTGGCAGGGATGAGATCTCGACTCCGCATTAGCCCCGTCCTCCGTACCACCTCCTGCTACTTCCGACCGAGTGCGACATCGAAGACAGGGAACATACCTTATCCAGTTCCAGTTGCATGGCCCAAGAGGGTAACTGGGCATGTGCCTCCTCGATCTGCCTGTCTCCCCCTCCGAACGTGGTTGCATGCAAGGGAGTCCGTCAAGGCTGGCTTTTGGTCGGTCTGATGATATCATCCGGTCGAGCCCTCGTTCGCATTCTACTCCGTACATGGTTCCAGGGCTGATCACGGAACCTCCGTTGATTTTTTTTTGTTTTATTTTTTCCCTTCTATCCTAGGTTCCGAGTACTTCCCCTCCCTCTTCTCCCCTCGTTGACGGGCCGTAAACTCGTGGTGCAGTCCGATGCTGGCATTGGCCGGCGGCATGGCATCTTGGCGTTCGAGCGATGCGCCCGCAGCCAGTCAAGTGTCGCGCTGCGATCACGTTCCTCCAGGGTCGTCGTAAGTGCGGAGATCGCTACCGCCTACTACCGGGTGGGCACTAAACGAAGGAAGCAGCCTACTCCGTACGGGGGAGATTTGAACGTCGATTAGCATTTGCCCGCGCAGAAGTTGTTTGGTTAGTGTTCCAGAGTTGCGATTAAGGGCGTACCCACTCGCATGCCACATGGATGCATGGTCGGCAGCAAGGAGGTAGGTCATCACATGGGCCACCCTCATGGCCAACTACTCGCTATCAAGGCCGTTCATTCCTCCTGGATCTGGCTGGATCCTGCTGGGTCCTGCTAAAGGGAGACGGCATTTCGCTTTGTTACACTCGCCCGAACCCATAACAACGGCTAGGTCCAGGATGCTCGGTCCTGTACAACTCCGAGTCCAAACGGCGTAGAGCCGCGGGTCTAGATTCCGGTGTTATGGCCCCTGCTGGTTCGATTATCACTGTTGATCCAAATATTATTATCAACCCATCCGGTCCCGGTGGCAGCATCAGGATGCCCAAGTTCCACATCTCGGAAATCACCGGTCCTATGTTTAGGCTGTACTGCGTATGGCCTCATTCGGCCGGCATCTAGCACCTCGAACGATGTCATTCCTCGGACAAACCGGCTGACAGTACGACGTTTGAAGTTCAAGATCCCTGGTCATCAATCTAAACTGACTTTGGCCCCTTGATATCCACAAGGTCTTGTACAATGCTTAACGGTGCTTGATGGTAGTCAAGCTCCTTAGCTGACCAGCAGAGGAAGACTAGCAACAAAACGGCGCACGGTGTGAGGCCACAAGGCCGAGCGAGCCCCAGGCATTGGCCAGTCAGTTGAGGCAATGATGATATGTCATGACTCGTGACTCCTTCTCGTGCGTCTTCCCAGTCATCCTGAGCAGTCGAGGCCCACCGCAGAACGGAGTTGCCATCAGACTGGGTTAGATCGGTGAGATGAGCATGCAAGCTCCCTGCATGCGATCGGGATGCAGCAGGCGACCAGATGACTGTCACTGCATGTGGCGCATGTACCTGATGATCCGTGATAACCGACCGGACTTTTTTTGCTTTTGATTTTTTGACTTTTTTGACCGCCCCCTTGAGTCCGTCCTGTTGATTTTGTTTACCTCCCTTTGTCGAAGAGGAAAGCTGGAAATTCCATGGCCGGCTCCAGGCGCCAGCTTTCTCATGACCTCCTTACCTCGACTGAACAACGATTTTTTTTTTTTTTTCACGTCTCGTCAATCGGGGATTTGATCAAGTTGATCAGCCGCCCAGAGATCGCCAGGCCATGATGTGGCATACCCCTTGCCTTCTGCATACACATAAACAGTGGTGAGCCTAGTAGGTCCATGCTGTCCAGGCTTCAGTTGTATGTACAGTCACACCCTGCTGATGTCAATGTGATCTCAAAATCATACAAACGACTGCCTGCATAGGCAATCCGCATGCTATATGCAATCGGCAGCAAGAGCACGGCGACAAGGTTTAACAACTCATACTGAGTTGTTCCCGTCCTACATATCGATGCAGGATCGGCAAGGCGGATTCCTCGAGGTAGCAACCCTACGGCTGCGAGCTTTCAGCCTTGAGGCCCCAGCGAAAATCTTGTTCTATACCTGTCATACTTACTTGGACCGGGACAATGCATATGTAGGTGTGAAATCATAAGTGATATCACATCTCGATATGATCGGCAGAGTTCTAGGAAAGTATTTCACATGAATGTGATCTTGGTATCATGAAGCATGGACAAAAGAATCAAGACTTCTGGTTCTAATCTTGGAATGATGATGCCTAAACATGACTTGGCAACTCAACCAGGCAGTGCCCTCCCGCGAACATCAATTCTCAACAACTGGCATTCCCACTCAGACAGTCAACACCCTTGAAGCTAACAACAGTGCGATATACTATTTTTACTCCTTGGTCGAGGCGCAGCAACTGCAAATATACTTCTTGGTCTATCAATTTGCCTGCTCAAGTTCAAACACCCCCTTCTCTGTTTGCTAAGACTTCAAACAACACAGAATTCTAAAGATAGTCTAGCAAACATTGATCAATTTGGCAGCCTTCAGACGATTATAGAATTTCATCTTAACAATGTTGTCAGTTTCGGACTCGTGATTGCAAGCCAGAGGAACATACCTTTGTTGGCTGACAAGAGAGGGCGTGCCTCGGCAAGTGAACAACTTGTGTGTTTATCAGCAGCTGGAGTAGTCAAACATATCGTATCCCTGTCATGTTTGTTGAAATTAAAAGCCATAGGGCTAGGCGGCAGGGATCGCCTCGCCCCTGGCGTCGTTTGTTAAAGGAGGGCGGTTACTCTCGGCATTGATGCTGCGGCAAAGATTTCGATCAAGTCCAGGGAAAGCGATCGTTATTATGTCGTTTTGATTTTAAACTGAACCAAGCAGCCCGAGGGAATGAAGGAGCTGGCTGTCAACCCTGTTGCTTTCTCTCAGTTGGTTCCGCACAATTCGGGTTTGTCAATGAACACCGACCTTATCTTTTGTTTTATGAGGCTGTAGTGGAATTCTAAGGTGTTGTAGGTGTTGTAGCATATTTGATCTATTTAATACTTTCAATTTGTGGTAGACCTTCCATAGAACACTGTCAGTTCAAGTAAGCATGGACATTCTTAGGAGACGTCTCGGTTGAAGTCCGTTGATTTGAACACCTGGAAGCCCTCGTACACGCACCCACGGAATAGCTTTTTTCTCCCCCCCCCCCCCCAATCTACTTAATTATGTGTTCTAGATAAAACTGAGAATTACAAGCAAGATGTCTATTATATGATAAAGTATTAGTTACTATCAAAAGGTTCTACACATGGCCTAGATACTTAGTCAATTTGCTTTCCCTTGGTGTGAGCTACCCGGGATTGTAATCCAACCCATGTATAACTTACATGTGAACAAAGAGTCTTTCAAATTGCATGCGCTCAAATAGGCTGATCCCATTGCCATGTAAGTCTGAGACATATCAGTAGTACTATGTCGAGGTGAGATCTTGGCTGGTGCATTCAACGGGTATGTGTTTCCAGTATATATATCGCTGTTGCCACCACTACCAGTATTAAACAGAGTAAAGAGAGGATTTAAACCATGTTACTGAATACTAGAGTAGAACGTCAGTTATCTTACTAGAAAACGGTTTGTCAAATAAACGCAATTGCACAATATGCCTAGTTCAGGTAATGATCTATCCCTTCGTGCCGAAATGCGGATGATATTTCCAGGACATACTTGGATCTACTAATGATAGTCCTCGATAGAATCATGGCATTTGGAACACATTCAGAGGAGCTCGCATTAAAGATCATGCAAAATTACCACACATACTTCCACCATGCATGAACTAGGTATCATGTAAGGGCACCTGAGCAAACATCCGAGACTATACCATCCACGCACCAAACCTACATGGAAATCACATAGTAAATCTTGAAGATGGATCGCGAATTGCCCCCGACCCGAGCAGATCCCTTACAGGAGGTAGACCCGGTGCAAGCATACCAGAGGCTGGGACACGCATTCCACCACCCGGCCGGACATACCCAGCATTCTTGCCCGTTGGTGTCTTGCCCACGTGAGGCGAGGCCTGGTGATGCAATGATGTTTTCTGCCACTGGGATTTCTCCCCCGGCCATCGTGCGGAATGCGGGGGTTTTGCGCGGGTGAAGGCCTTTATGTAGAGGGATTGCTCGTCCGTGGTTCTCTTCGTAGAAGATCTGCTCTGTTTTGAATAACTAGGTTTTCGTCAGCCGTTTCTTTTCTTGTCTTTCTTTATTTTTATTATTTATTTTTAATTATTTTAGAGTTATCTGGACCAGAGCAGCAATTTCAAGATGGGCCGTTTGATCGGGCTATTACCCACGGTAGCTGCTTTTGTGGCCTTCATTCTGAGTATACTATGCCTCTTTGCAGGGACACAGAAGAATTTGCTGTCATCGGCCGATATCCTGACGGTTTGCTGGTCTGCCCGAGTGGTGCCTGTGAGGCTGCTGACTGGGTAATAGCTGTATACATCCACCGTTGGAAACGGAACCGAGGCCCATGATTTCTATTCGATACATGTGATGACTTACTGCGAGGGGTTCATGAACTCGAAAGAAGAGAGGAACCTGACGGGATGTTCTAAGCGCTCCATGCTGTTCTCCTTCGACCCGTCGGAAGTGTTGCTAGAAGAGACAGGGAATACCACGTCACTAGACAGACTAGGATGGCCAAGCGCCATCAGCGAAGATTTCCGAGCGTTTAAGATTACCTATCAGAGTTTGGGGGTGTTCTACTGCATCGGAGTGGGACTGGCAGGGTTAGCGATCCTGGTGAGGCTCTTTTTTATGCTTTTCCGAAGGACGAGACAGTCGGCGATAGAGTTGGCATCGTTGTTGGTAAGTTTTAAGGGCGACTGACGTCAGCACTGAGAGATAAGACTGATACCGTGCGTTTCACCCAGATCGGCTTTGTTATGATCAGTATTGCCTCGATCATCACGACGGTGATCATGTTCCAATTTGTGAACCTCGTCAACTACCACGGGGAAGCCTCGGACGTGAGTGCCAAGCACGGCCGGGAATTTTTGGCCATGAGCTGGGCAGCGGCCGGGTTGTTGCTGGTCGGAAGTGTCGCAAGCCTGGCCATGGTTCTGGTCGATCGAGGCCGGGCCGAAGAGGAGCCTCCGTCACCACCTCCACGGCCGGACACACCCAAATCCGAGATGGCCGGCGACGCGGAGTCGATAAAATCGGCGAAGTCGAAGTATTGAGGACCAGTACGGAATGGGCTCCGAATGGAAACAGAAAGAAGGCTAAAACGGCTCCGTGGAAGTGCAGAGAAGAGGGTAGAAATGCCCCGAAGAGCCGAGAGCCCGGGGGAACCAGAGCGTTGTGCAAATAGAAGCGATCGTGAAAATAATAGTTATCTCCTTAGACGGATTGGTGGACCCACCGCGATGCCCGACAGATAGCCTGCCGGACGAGCGTTGATGATCACATTGCGTAGTCGACGATATCTTTTCATCATTTCGCTCGAGTCTGGACTCCATCGTCCTGACTTCATCGATAAGGGATCTAGTCCTCAACCCTGCACCCCAGCACTCCGGGGTATGTCGTCAAAAGCGAAGGGGGCAAAAACTGGGTCAACCGGGAAGTCGACGTCAGGAGTGGAGATTTGGCGACGCGCCCATCAAATGACGACGCCGCATTGCCCGTTGGTCGCACATAAAGATTGCGACTACACTGCTAGAGTCCGTCGGGTGGAGCAGGGTCTGCTATCATGCTATCATAATGACATTGCCTCTGTCTTCGGCATGTCGCAGCCGAATGGGCATTCAGGCGACGGGGTCCATTGTAGGATTGTAGGATTGTGCGAGAGCAGCTGAGACCCCAAACAACATGCGCTCGTCTCTCGAATGAACCGGCAGATGCGGCCGACATCCCGAGGGCAGAGCGAGGGAATTGTCAATGGCGCCGGAACAGTTGAGGCGCGGAACGAACCGGATTGGAAAGTGGCTTGGAATGACCTCTCCATGGGCCAACATCTTGTGATTCCGGCGCTCTGGCCGGACGACAGATGGCCGAGCCACTCGTATTGGGTGCCTGACGGCCGCCAGTGAAATCCCCGGACGGTTGGCAAATCATCGTGAAGGCGTCGTCGTGCCCAATGAGCGGCGTGAGGAAGTCACGATAGTTTGGCAGGTTTGGCAGGTTTGGACTTCTGCCCCTCCCCCACTTGGCCTTCATCGTGCCTTCCGGTTTCTACCTCGTTCCCCCTCTCTTTGTGTCACCTCATATAAACCCCCTCGTCCTCCCTCTCTCCCTCTGCTTTTCTTCTTTCTCTCCAACGTTCACCTCCAGATCGAACTTGCCCATCATCTATCTATCCATCCATCCATCTCCATCTTCTTCTTCCTCTACTTTACTTGCTCTTCCTCTTCTACAACCACTAGCTTCTATCATCCCCTCAGTCATGGCGAAGAAGGCTGTTCAGTTTGGCGGTGGTAACATCGGCCGCGGCTTTGTCGCCGAGTTCCTCCACACTGCTGGATACGAGGTTGTCTTTGTTGATGTCGTCGACAGCGTCATCAACTCCTTGAACGAGTCTAGCTCCTACAACGTGACTGAGATCAGTGAGGAAGGTGAAACCACCAAGACCATCACCAACTACCGTGCCATCAACTCCAAGCACAACGAGAGCGACGTCGTGCAGGAGATTGCCTCCGCCGACGTGGTCACCTGCGCCGTCGGCCCCAACATTCTTAAGTTCATCGCTCCCGTCATCGCCAAGGGTATCGATGCCCGCACCGAGGCGAAGCCCTTGGCGGTCATCGCCTGTGAGAACGCCATCGGCGCCACGGATACCCTGCACGGCTTCATCAAAGAGAACACCAACCCTGACCGTCTCACCTCTCTCTACGACCGCGCGCAGTTCGCCAACTCCGCCATCGATCGCATCGTCCCCAACCAGCCTGCTGATAGTGGACTGAATGTGCGCATCGAGAAATTCTACGAGTGGGTGGTCGAGAAGACTCCCTTCGGCGAGACTGGTCACCCTGACATTCCGGCCATCCACTGGGTCGACAACCTGGAACCCTACATCGAGCGCAAGCTCTTTACCGTCAACACCGGCCATGCCACCACCGCGTACTATGGTTACAACCGCGGCAAGAAGACCATCGCCGAGGCCCTGAGTGACGAGGAGATCCGTAGCATTGTGCACAAGGTCCTTGACGAGACTGCGTCGCTGATCGTGGCCAAGCATGGCATCTCCGAGCAGGAGCAGCAGGAATATGTCAACAAGATTGTGAGCCGGATAAGCAACCCTTACCTCGAGGACCAGGTGGGGCGAGTCGGCCGTGCCCCCGTGCGCAAGCTTTCCCGCAAGGAACGGTTCATCGGCCCTGCGTCGCAGCTCGCCGAGCGCGGTATGTCGTTTGAGAACCTGCTGGGTGCTGCCGAGATGGCGCTGCGCTTCCAGAATGTCCCCGGCGATGAGGAGAGCGTTGAATTGGCTCGCGTTCTCAAGGAAAACAAGGTTGACGGTGCCACCACCCAGCTTACCGGACTGGAAGAAGGTCATCCATTGTATGCCCCTATGCTCGCCCGTGTGCACCAAGTTCAGCAGGAGGCCCAATAAGCAGATCGCACGTTTGGTAAACGCCTCGCGCTTTCGCTCTTGGCCAAGTGCCTTATCGCTTGAGTCCGACGACACGGAGGCGATGTGAACAGGTTGAACCGCAGGACGGAACTCTCACCGCATGGGAAACGGCGAAAATTCGGGTTGGACGGAGCATATGGGATCTCGGAGCAGCATCTTCTTTATGTGTAATGTCGACTTGGGTGCAGGACAGCTGAGTCTAATGAATCACGAGTATGCATTTTACCTGATACGTCCCGCGTATGATTTGCTCTGTTGCCGTAGATCGAATCAATCCTGTAGACCTCAACTCCATCACAGCTTGCTATCCAGCCAGACGGGCTTCCGCTTCTCCACAAACGCCCGCAATCCCTCCTTGATATTCTCGCCGTCGTTAAGCTTCTTCGACCAGCCCTCCACCAGCAACCGACTGCCCTCCTCCGCGCCGACTCCTTCCCATCCCATCTTCACCCCTTCCCGGCTCACGATCACCGCGTCGGGACTGTTGCCCGCGATCTGCGCCGCCACCTCCAGCGCTCTGCGCACCACGTCCTGCTCGGCGGCAACCACCTCGTTCACAAACCCCCATCGTTCCGCCTCCTGCGCCGTCACCCGCCGCCCCGTCAGCACCATCTCCATCGCCCGCTGCCGTCCCACCGTCCGGATCAACCGCGGCAGCGCCCCGGCAATCGCCACCACCCCGCGCTGCACCTCGGGGAACCCGAAGAACGCCTTGGGGCTGGCGACCACCAGGTCGGCATTGATAATCATTTCGCAGCCGCCGCCGAGACAGAGGCCGTTGACGGCGCAGATGACGGGCTTTTTGCCGCCGCGGCGCGAGAGCCCGCCGAATCCGGTGGCGGGCTGTCGGGGGGACTTTTGCTGCTGGGAATGGGATTGGGATTGGGAGTCGTTCCATTCTAGAGATTATCCAATCGTCAGTCGGGCTGGTGTAGAGGAAATGAACTTCTCGGCACACAACATGCAATGAGGCAAGGTAGGGAAGGGAGTAAGGTAAATACCTTTTAGATCAGCCCCAGCGCAGAACGCCCTCCCTTCACCGGTCAACACGCCCACGCGGATACTCGGCTCCTCGTCCATCCATTCCCAGATGGCGTGGAGTTCCTCGTGGCCGGTGCCGTTGATGCAGTTGAGGTCGCGTGGCCGGGAGAGCGTGACGAGAAGGACGTGCGGGGTGGGGAAGCTGAGGCGGGAGTATTGCGGTTGGGGGGGAGGGATTTGGAATGTCATTCTGATCGATTAATATATTAATAAGGGTTTCTTTTTTCCTCACGATTCAAATTACAAAGTCGGGGATTCTGGATGGGTGGATTGAGGACAGTTGTTGAAGTGATGTTGTTGATTAGTTATAAGTCCGGGGGAAGGTCGAGATGCCGAGGCCCGAATAAATTGGATGTGGGGAATCGCTTTAGGCGCAGGACTGGGCTCTACTTTCGTGCGACTACTCGCCCTGACGCTGACATTATTGGAGAAATGTAACTGTAAATGAAAACCCACTGGTGCCATGGCTATGTCTCTATCCACAGAGCCGTCTCATGCCCACTCAACGCCCTAACTCCTTCAGACAGGTTAATAATAATAGAATATCAGGATTCGACCGCGCTGTTCATGTCGCTTCTACGCCTTGTTTATCCAGCCACTGTGCACCATAAAATCGTAAATTCGCCCCGTTTTCGTCGCGTCAATCTAGGTGGGAGATTGTTAGCGGGTGATACTCGGACCGGACAGAAAGGTGTCGCCAGCCTTACCTTGCAGATAGTTCGTGCGTCTTTCTTCTTTAAACTGCCTCCCTGCTTCATGGCCTCCTTTAATAGAGTCTCCTTGACCACGAGATACGGTTTCGGCTGGATGTGAAGCACGTTGCACACCTCAACCTCTTCCTTGGTCAGCAGGTGGAGGTCGGGCGCGCCGTCGTTCTCCAGCTTCCAGGGGATGATTCCGTTGAGGGGCTGCACGACGAACTTCGTCTTGGCCGGCTGCGGCGTCGGAATCCCGTCTCCGCCGCTGGCAAATGCCCGATCGAAGTCATTGAGCGGCTGGTTGACGGGTTCGGGGGGTTTGGGTGCGCCGGAGGCCTTCTGGAGGCGCAACGGCAGCTCCGGCGTGGTCAACTGGCTGGCGGCCGAGGGCTGCTCGGGGAGTTGTGATTGCTTCGGGCGATTGCTGGCAAACCGGTCGAACGAACCCTGGGGCGCCATTTTCTGCTGACGAGACTGCTTTTCCTGCTCGTACTTCTCTCCGCCCTTGAGGTCGCCGATGCCCATCTGGCGCCACTCCTGTAGCTGCGAGATGGCCAGTCGTAGATTATGTTCATACTCGAGGCCCTTGTTGAATTCCTCGAAATCGTCGTGATTCATCATCCGCGCAAACGGCTTGCCTTTGTTCAGAAGATCCCGCTCTTCTTTCGTACGCTTCTTCTCCAACGCCGTGTTCTTCCGGTACTCGAGGAGGGCGTGTTCAAAGAGAATCTTCTTGCGCTCCGTTCGCGCGGTCAATCGGGAGTTGTAGATATCCACCACCGTCATCTTCAGCTCCATCTCGGCGTCGAGTTCCCCGTTGACGGTTTCTCCCGCGCCCGGCTCGAACGCCATGTGTTGGACTGCCTCTTCGGCGTCGTTCAAGAACTCCGTTTCAAATTCCAATCGGCCCGGCATGTAGCCCTGTACTTCGTGGCAGGCCGGTACACTAGCCGTGGGTTTCTGCTTCGGCGTTGTCGGCGGTGCCGCCTTGGCTGCATCCTTGCGCTCCTCGATGCGACGTTTCTTCCGCGCTTGGAACTCCTCCTTGGGAATCGAGTCGGACAGTCGTGTATCCTCCGGGTCGGCGCGTTCGGGGAGCGGGAAATTGGGACTGTCCACGTAGGTGCCGAGATAGTGATCCCGGACCTCCTCCTTGGTCCGATATCCACCGATGTGGTCGGCGATATCAGCCCAGGATCCTAAGCCGTAGATATCGGCGCCCTCCAAAAGCAGCAGCTCCTCATCGGCGCCCCAGTCCTCGTCAAAGATGGGCACCGAGTTCTGCTCGATCACCTGGTATCTGTGTGTCGACGGGTCGTGGTTCTTCGACTTCTCTCCGGCGGAAAAACAGGGAACGCAAAGGTCGTATTCATGGCAGGCGGGGTCGGCGCAGGATACGCGCACCTAATGGGAGAGACGGTCAGACATGTCTGAGGTCCAGAAGGCCCGGACGCAGCCGCACCGCGGCATCCAGTAGCTAGCGCCTCCCCTCCCCTCCAGAAACGAGCGATTTGACCTACCGTCGAAGTCACATCCACCGAGCAGATATCGCAGTGATATTTGGTTCCTGCCTCCGTGCCGCGCGAGGCGGTCTTCTTTCGAATTACACCCATCGGTCGCGGGGCCCTTTCATCCTCCACTAGATCCTGAGCCGTTTCGAACCACGTGAAAGCCCTCCAGAAAAGGCAGAGGGCTATCGATAGAGGGATCGGATCGGGATAGGAGTATGCGCGGGGAAAGGGTGAGCTCGGTGAGCCGGGAACAAACGGTGTGGTTCAAGAGAGAAAACAAGGGGATGCCGTCTCCGCAATCGGGTGGGGATCTGCCAAGAGAAAAATGACTGGTCGATCGATCGGCAACAAATCCAGGGGGCGAAGGAAAAGGGCAGAGGCCAAATGAGACGACGATAATAATGCGCTGGGGGGGGGGGTGCTTGCGGGTAAGGTCGATGAAGTCGCAGTTAACTTCGGTAGATGGCGCATCGCCAGATCCCGACACGCGGAAGTGCGGCCTGGGGCAGCGGGCGGTGGCTGGGCGGTGGCTGAGCCCGACGGGGCAAGCCGCGGAGGCGCTGACATAAGCGGCCGTGCACCGCCCCAGGGGGAACGGGCAGCCAGGCACCCAGGCCGCCAGGCATCAAGGCACGCAGGCAGCGACGTTCCGGGGCCAATCACGGGGGCGGGTTTGGCCCCCTCTTCGGCCGCCTTCTTTTCCCCTCTTCAGCCTCTGTTCAGTCTCTCTCGTCTTTCCCTTCGGCTTATCTCTCGCTGTCTCTCTCTCGCTGTGTCTCGCGTTCTCTACGTCTCTCTCTCTTTCTCGCTCTCTCCTCAGCCCGGGTCGTTGCTTGGGATCTCCTGCTGTGACCCTGGTTGCCCCCCTCACCCCCCTGTCCGTTCTCCGATTTCCCTCTCTGTGTGTTGCTGACCGCTGTGGCTGTGGCGGCCCTGCAGTCCTGTAACGGCACGGGTGATTCCCACCATACCCTCTGGGGTTAAAGAAATTGTTACTTGTCTTTTCTTTTTCTATCATTTTACCCTCTCTCGCTATCTCCCTCTCTCCTTTTCTCTCCCTCTCGGTTGTTTTCCTTGGTATTTATTAGCCTGTTCCGTCGATACTTCCGCCCGTCCACGACCCCGTTTCCCGCAAACCCCCCCCTAGCGACACTAAAGCCCGCCGTCATCATGTCGTGGAAACTCACCAAAAGTATGTTCAGTTGGTCTTCCCTTCCTCCCTCCATACCAAGATGACGGACGTCATGTCCTTCCGCTGGCACCTGCTAACGTCTTGGTTCTTCCCCCGATAGAATTGAAGGAAACTCACCTGGCTCCTTTGACCCAAACCTTTGCGCGATCCTCTTCCACATCAACCATCAAGGGTGAATCGGGCGAGGAAACTCCGGTGACCCCTCAACCCTCCAACATCTCAACGGCCAGCACCAATGGAATAAGTAGGTGTTTTCTTTTTTTCCGCCGTCGGAAATAACAGCAGCCTGGCCCCGTTCTAACATGTGATACAAGGTGCCTCGGAATCGCTCGTTTCCCCTCCGGTGGCCCCCGTCAAGCCCGGTATCTTGATAGTCACCTTGCATGAAGGTCAGGGCTTCGCCTTATCCCCACACTACCAGCAGATCTTCAACTCGCATTTCCAAAACAACAATGGCTATGGCATGCGACCAAGCTCTTCCTCGTCCCATTCGACTCAGGGGCAGGCAGCGTCGTTCGTACAAAGCGCCCGTCCGCAGTCGACCAGCGGGGGTATCAATGCCGCCCCTACGATCCACGGCCGGTACTCCACCAAATATCTCCCTTACGCCCTGCTCGATTTCGAAAAGAACCAGGTCTTCGTGGATGCGGTTTCGGGGACCCCTGAGAACCCCCTCTGGGCCGGAGACAACACCGCGTTCAAGTTCGATGTGTCCCGTAAGACGGAGCTGAATGTGCAGCTGTATCTGCGAAATCCCGCGGCCCGGCCTGGTGCCGGTCGGAGTGAGGATATCTTCCTCGGAGCGGTCAAGGTGCACCCTCGTTTCGAAGAAGCCCAGCCCTTCGTGGAGGACCCCAAGCTCAGCAAGAAGGACAACCAAAAAGCCGCCGCCGCTCATACGGAGCAGGAACGTCATTTGGGCCAGCTCGGGGCTGAATGGCTCGATCTCCAGTTCGGAACCGGCTCGATCAGGATCGGCGTCTCCTTCGTGGAGAACAAGCAGCGCAGTCTGAAGCTGGAGGATTTCGATCTGCTGAAGGTCGTGGGTAAGGGTAGCTTCGGCAAAGTCATGCAGGTCATGAAGAAGGATACGGGCCGTATTTACGCTCTCAAAACTATCCGCAAGGCTCACATCATCTCGCGATCGGAAGTCACGCACACCCTTGCCGAGAGATCGGTGCTGGCTCAGATCAACAACCCTTTTATCGTCCCCCTGAAATTCTCCTTCCAATCTCCCGAGAAACTCTACCTGGTTCTGGCGTTCGTCAACGGTGGTGAATTGTTCCATCATCTCCAGCGCGAACAACGCTTCGACATCAACCGCGCTCGTTTCTACACCGCCGAACTTCTCTGTGCCCTGGAGTGTTTGCATGGCTTCAAGGTCATCTACCGTGATCTCAAACCCGAGAACATCCTTTTAGATTACACCGGACACATCGCCCTTTGCGATTTCGGTCTGTGCAAGCTAGACATGAAGGACGAGGATAGAACCAACAGTCAGACAATCCCCCGCTTCGTCCCCGGCGCATCGACTAACCTTCTTCGCAGCGTTCTGTGGAACCCCTGAGTACCTTGCTCCTGAACTGTTGCTTGGCAATGGCTACACGAAAGCCGTCGATTGGTGGACGCTGGGTGTCCTCCTTTACGAGATGTTGACGGGTCTTCCGCCATTCTACGATGAGAACACCAACGACATGTACCGAAAGATTCTGCAGGAGCCCCTGACTTTCCCCAGCAGCGATGTCGTTCCGCCCGCCGCCCGGGATCTTCTGACCAGACTTCTGGACCGCGACCCTCAGCGTCGATTGGGCGCCAACGGTGCCGCGGAAATCAAGTCGCATCATTTCTTTGCGAACATCGATTGGCGCAAGCTGCTTCAGAGAAAGTATGAGCCAAGCTTCCGGCCGAACGTGGTATGTTATAAACCCTAGTCCCCACTTCCAGTGCCTTGGTCCTAACCGATTTTTCCCATAGCTGGACGCTCGTGACACTGCCAACTTCGATCGCGAATTTACGCAAGAGGCTCCTCAGGACTCCTACGTGGATGGACCGGTCTTGTCTCAGACCATGCAGCAGCAATTCGAGGGTTGGTCTTACAACCGGCCGGTTGCG